CGTGGTAGCAGAAGTCTTTGATACCTCAAGAAGTGTGTCATCTGTAAGGCCAGACATCTTGGTTCAGAGTCCCCAAAAAGATCACACACGTTCTCTGTTATTAAGAATACAGTAACAAGAGGAAGAGGAGATTTGAATGAGCTGACAATGGAAACCTCAGAGAGAGCAGAAGACTCACAAGGCATTCAGTGCTCCTCTTCCACTGAATGAAAGAGGAAGCTGGAAGCACTCAACAAGAGAGAATGGAGATGCCTTCTTTGGTCCTAGAACAAACACAGCCAAACCAAAGCAGAGCCGGCAACAGAAGACATCCACAACCAAGACAACCCAGTAGCTCTGTGTCAAAAGGTAACCACTCTTGTAACGATACGCCTTTGTGGAAAAGCACAAGAACCAAAGGAGCACCACTGCAATGCTAGCAATGGCAGAAGCAGTGTCAGAATCCATTACCAGGGCAAAGAATCCAGAACTCTTCCACAAACACTTCCAAGGACTACCATGACAGTCCCATCCACACCGGAGCAATTCGAGTCTCCTCACTACCACTCCATTGTTGGGCAGAAACTCCTTCTAGTGGACTGGAATCGATGTGGAATACTGTACTGTCCTGATGGAAGATGCTCTGGCAAACTCAAGAATACAAGGACAAACTGGTCACACAACAAGACCTTGTTCCCCTATCTTTGGCATCACTGGTCCTCCTTCTTGGTGCATGGTCATGTCGATGGAGTGTCAGTGCTGCAAGAGACTGTTCAGTGCCAACAGTGCAGAAGTGCTCGTATCGATCCCAGACCATGCTTCATTGCTCTATCCAGTGGAGTCCAAGTATGCTCTACCTAACAAGACTTGTCACTTGGACAGAACAGCTACTGAAGTGTTCGACACTATAATGGTTACCTATGGAAATGGAGAACTCTGCAGCCGGCTCATCTACAATGCAATCAACAGACAGTTCATTAGGGCCATGGCATCATACTTCTCCTATTGGCAGGAAGTGAAACAGATCCAGATCCCTTTCTTCAAAAGATGGAACTTACATCAGACAGTATCCTCCCCTTGGTGACACCATCCGTGACATCTATGATGCTGCTTGTGCTTCAAACAGGAATCCGTGGAGGATCAGTGACAACCAAAGGCACACAAGAGGGATCCAAAGTGTCAAGTGCAACAAAGGAATCTTCTTCCAAGACCATACATTCCAGGTTGTCAAGAACTACAGCAAGAGTCTGGTGTGCTGCTGTGTTGGGATGCTGCTACTGAGACTGAGAGATTGCTTCAGCATTCTGGTTCCCACCACCAAGCAATCCACTTCTCCCATGCTGCCATGCAGCTAGAAGGAGGAGCAACTTCAACCAGCTGCCATGTACAGTGATACCTGGCCCCACAAGGATGACTATTGGGAGCTGCTCTTTCCAGGTATCGAGGGAAGGCTAGGCCTGTTTCATTATGAGAAGAGGATACTGTCAACTTTGAGAAAGGGACACATTGATCACTATCAAGCTATGTCAGACCTCTTAGATTGCTTGTATGTGTACTCACCTGATGACTATGAGAAGCTGCTGCATGCTCTGAAACATGGTCTACTATCCACCAATGGCAAGTGTTACTCTATGGCTGAGATCTCCGACATGCAAGCTCCAAGGTTTCAGAGCTAGGTACTCCAAGTATCTAAGGAAGAAATGAGAGAACCAGAGACAATGAGACAGAAGTTGCAACAGTGTTCTGCAGATACAAGGTGACTGCCAGTGATGGTAGCCAGCCAGGACAGGGCGACTCGATCCAGTCAAGAACTTTACCTTGTTTACTTCTGATACCAAACCAGCAGTAGAGAACTGTGTTGACAAAGCCATTCACTTGGCTGATCCCCTGGCACTGGAAGACATGTATGACACCATCCTACCATCACCCAATTCCAAGCACAACCTCCCAGAGTACCTATCAAGGAGAGGAGATCCAAGTTAGAAGCGTTCCATGACAAGTTTGCCCATTTTGGCAATGGTGGAATGAGAAGAAGCCTGCTGATGCACTCAACTTGGCTGGAACTGCAAGATACAACCTCAAGATTCGCCACAAGAGAGCCTCCTGTCAAGAATCAGGGGCAGAAAGGAAGTCAATTCCAGCTGGATGGGAGAAGGTGGTTCCATATTGGAACCATTCAGAGTGGCTTACCTGAATGAAATGGCACAAGCTGTGGGTGTGGAGGAACCATTTCCTCATTCAGAGCCACTACCACAGGATACCGGAGAAAGATTCTTTTCTGAGTTTATTCTTGGATTCAAGCCACACAGACAAAAGTATGCACCAAATGATTCTTGTTTGTGCGTGGCTTGTACAGGACCAGAACCACCGACTCCACCAGCAATCGAGCCACCAAATCTACCAGCAACAGCAATGGTTCCACCCGCGCCGCCTCCACCACCACCACCACCACCTCCACCACCTCCACCACCTCCACCACCTGCAGTGCCACAAACAAGAAATGTTTATGTTGGTAATTTGATTCTATATCAGCAACAACAACAACTTCAATGATGCAACTTGCCATGCAAATGCGCAATTCCAACCAATACTGCCATCTCCTTTCCAGCCACCTCCACCGATTGGCTGCTGTCAGAGATACTGCAGTGGTTGACTCATAGGAGAGGAAGACCACCTCATGATGCTAATTGCCAATCAAGATTGACTGGGTATGGAAGTAGCAACAACAATCAATGTTTAGATCCACCAAATTCATTTCTAATTTAGCCAGTAACTTACATATCATTGCCAATGAAATCAACAGCCATAGTCTCACTCATCTCAGTCAAATGCTTGAAGGAAATCTTCTTCTTGTAGTCATACCAGTGCAACAATAATAATGCCAAGCATCCATCACACTCTGTCCTTCAAGGGAGGACACCTCATAGCTCTCACTGACCCTTTCCCTCACTAACCAATAGATGCACTCAATGAAGATGTCCTTCCTTTCACAGGGATGTGGCGACGGCGACTCCAGCATTTCAGAAAGGTGGAGAAAAGCTCTGTACCATTTTGGACTTTTCTGAAGGCCTGAAGCTAACATGTAATCCATGATGTCCGTCATGGCAGGAGGAAGTGGCTTGCATGCTCCTTGCAATATCATCTCCTCAAGAACAGTCACTTCCAGGCTTGTTGTGGCCAAACAGAAGTTATCCTCATCATCACTGTTGTACCCACAAATGACATACTTGCAGTGACTCCATGCCTTGTAACTCTCAGCTCATTGAATGGGTATCTGTTGACACTTTGCAGCCACTTGGAGAAGACCGGTGTAATTGCGATCCTCATTGTCGAGTTGCCGCGTTGTGGTAGTTGGTCGGTATCAGTAGAGGAAGTGGTAGTGGGTCGGTATCGGTAGAGGAGGAGCGTCGGTGGAGTAGTAGTAGTAATAGTTGTTGTTGTGGTGTTGCAAGAGTCTTGCCCCTACCCACGTAGTCGCTGACTTCAAGACAAACTAAGCAAAAGAAGGTTGGTCGATCTCGTGTCGGTCGCTCTCGTGTCAGTGGTGGTGTTGTTGTTCGAAGGTTGGACTGAGCCTCGGTAGTGGACGACTGAGCGGACTGAGCGTCGGTAGTGGTAGGATAGAAGGACGAAGATCGTTCGGTGGACGGGGGATACAACGATTAGTAGCATGCCATTGTCAACAACAACTTTAGAAAACAACAACAACAACAACAACAACAGCAGCAGCAACAACAACAACAGCAGCATTCTTACCTTTTCGAGTACCACCTTTTTGAATTTATGGGAAGGTTTGGTGCGAGCGAAGGAAAGGAGTAGCCGTTGAAGATTCCAGCGATTTGAATTCCTGTGATGCGATGGTGATGTCTTTGCTGACATATACATTGTTCTTCGGACGTCTTACCCATGGTTCGATACTTAACGGAAGGGGGGCGGTTGACCAGGTCATTGCCGTTTCCCCTCTTTTTGGTGCATTACTGGCATTTTCGTTTAGCCCTGCCTGCTCTCCAACCGGAATTCGGAATCCAAAGGTTAACCCTCTCCCTTTCTTTTTTCTTTTCCCTCCCCCGCGCTGGTGCCTGACCCCCCCTAAAAGTCGACTGTACCGGTAGGAGGTGACAAGGCATGCTCATGGGTGTTGTCGAGGCGTGTCAAAGCAGGTGTCAAAGCACAGGCTTCTACTTCTGTCTTTTCACCAAATTAACTGGCTTTTGAACCTGTGACGCAATCGTTCTTCCATTCTCTTCGATCTGTTTCCACGCCTTGCGATTTTCGAACCAACACAAGAACTCCAATCTGCCACCGAAGCTCTTGCAACCTACCTCAGGATTCCGTCATCGCATCCAGAAACAAGATAGATGAGCAAGAGAGATCAGATTGAATCATTGCACTTCTGACAGGATCAGCAACAAGAGACGAAACAGTGTCGTTGAGTTCAAATTATCTCATAAGTTTTTTTAAAACGAGACGAAGAAGATTTCCTGATTAAAGACTTGCCAATTCACCATGTTGCTATTACCCAAATTCATCCCACTGGCTTTGGCCGCATTATTGTTGCCCAACACGACTGCCTTCAATCTGCCTGCATCGAGTAAATTGTCGTCGGCTCCACGGTTGTCAATAAATTCTCGCCTTTTACCGTCCTTGCACTCTACCAATACCAAGTCGTCATCCCGGCTTCATCTCAGCAGTGGTAGCACAGAACAAACAGAACGACAGTTGCAGTTACTAGATTATAACTTGGAAAATGGAAAGTTGGGTGATGCCATTCAGTTGCTCCAATCGAATCCAGACCTCGTGTCGTTCGATGGCGCAGACGGACAAAAACGATGGAATGCCATTTTTGACACTATCGAAGAACAAACGGCCTTGGCCGAGGAAACGGTAGAACAAGTCAATACAAGACGCATGGCCGAATTCCCAACCACATCCACAGCCCGCACGGAAATGACGCAAATGTATCAAACCCTCAAAGATATTGGACAGCTGCGTGTCTTTGGCGCTGTTCCATCTCGCATGCCACCGGCTGCCGGAAGTCATGCCGTGCGGCCGTCCATGTTGGAAGAAATCACCGACTTACCCATGAAGGCACTTACGCCACAACCATCCAATACACTCTTGTATGCAGGAGTCGCCGTGGCACTCTTGGAAGGCGTGCTCAGTGTGGCAACGGGCATCAATCTCAATTTACTGGTATTCGCAACCCTGACGGCCTTTGGCATCGACAGAATATTGCTGAATGGAGCCATCTTGGAATCTGCGTACAAAATACTCAATCCAGATGTGCAAAATAAAATTCAACGACATGAAGCAGGACACTTCCTGTGTGCCTATCTGCTGGGGTGTCCTGTGGAAGGATGCGTCTTGGATGCTTGGGCTGCCTTGCAAGATGCGCGCTTTGGAACAGGACGACAAGTCACGGCTGGAACGTCCTTTTTTGACCCCGTTCTCTCGCAGCAAATCAATGAACGAGGAGGGCAAGTCACTCGATCGTCCGTTGACCGATACAGTATTATCGTCAGTAAGTTCGGTAGCTGCACTTTTGTGATATTATTTGCACGATTTTTTGACTGACCAATTCTTCTATGCATGGCTGGACACACCTACACACACACACAATAATACACAGTGGCAGGAATTGCCGCCGAAGCAATACACTATGGTCAAGCCGATGGAGGTGCCGGAGATGAAATGGCATTGATTGCCTTTTTGTCGCAAATGAATGCCAACGTCGGCAGCGGTGCAGCGACTTGGAACAACGTCTCGATTCGAAATCAAGCACGATGGGGAGCCCTACAATCTGTGTTGATTCTTCGTGAATACAAGGCCTGTTACGAAGCATTGGTGCAGGCATTAGACAACGGAGGGTCTCTTGGTGAATGCATTTATGCCATTGAGAAGGCAGCTCGCGACAATCAGCTGGGACCCTTGAAGGAGCCGCTGGGCTATATTGTGGAGCTTGCGGGAGACGAAGAGCAGTGGGTGACGGAACCACCAGAGGGGTCTGAAACTGCATCTGCTGCTGTCATGAAAGAGACCGCATCCGTTGCTGCTCAACCCGTCAACGGAAAGGAGTCCTTGGCAAAGCTGAATGAGTACCGCAAGGAGGTGGAAGAAAAGCTAAAATCGATTGACGAAAAGTTGCATGGGATCAGCAAGGACTAGCTAGACAGAGAAATGAATGAATTCCTGCCCAAGATTGTGCAAAGAAGACTACAAATGGAACATAGATTCCCTATTGATATCTTGTTTCTAGTAACAGGTTTCGCAACTAGCAGCAACAACGCCAAAGTGAATTGTTCCGAATTTGAAGTTTAAGTACCCAATGATAGACAACTAAAGTTTCAATTTTCAAAAAATATGTATGCACAGCACTTTTCATTAGAACAGCACAAACAAATCAATGAAGAGACCAACACTCAATGATCAATCTCAACTAACAGCCCTTATCACTCTTGGGTTACCTCGAAAGGCTGCTTTTCCTAAACTTTCAAGTTTCGGCATTCTCGGAAGCTTCCATGGCAATTCTTCCCGAACTCTAGCATCTACATGTAAATCTTCGTCCCGATGTCAGGTACTTTTACGGTACGTGTAGACAGCTCTCCTAGCTTGATTTGAAACCGCGAATCAAAATCAATCGTGCTGAGTAATTGTGAGAATTCGAGGCATCGAAGGTGTCAACGTGTGTGTCAACGGCATTGTCCTTGCATTGATAGGTCAATGCTTCGTTTGCAATCAACCAAATCCGTCATCTTGATTGTTGCTTTCTCATTGCGGCTTTCCCTTTCCCACCACACAGTTTCCCATTACTTGGGGTTGCTGGTTGCTTGCTTGGATTATTGCTGCTGCTACACACTGAAGTTCTGTGAGAGATACACAAGTACCAGAAGAAAAAAGGACAAGAGCACTCAATTGTCTGACACCTTCGGCGAGCATTGGTTCTCCTAATCTGTGAGGTTTTCTGCCATGGTATCCGTTCCTTCTATGAGGTCATTGCTGCATGCGTTGACCGTGTCATGGTGCTTTTTGGTGATATTGCCGGAGGTAGCCAATGCCTTTCCGAGCTCCAAGTTCCCACGAAGTAGCAGGGCCACCTTGGCATCAACCAAGACGTCCACCAGTCTTTCCATGAGCTTTTCGTATCAAAGTTTCTTTCAGCGAACACCCCCCAGGAAGACCTCAAAAACAGCAACTGCCAAGCAACCCAAGATGCTATGGTATCGAGATCGAGACTCTACGGAAGAACAAATGACTTTGACACACAAGGCCCCAGCCCTGGCACACGTGCGACCACGACAGGAGCAGTCTCTCCCAGCAGCACGTCAAGACTTTGCGCATGATGCATTCATGAGAAATAATCCCACCGAAGAAAACCCTGCAAGCACCCTCCTAAAGAACCTGGTTGGAGGCATTGATCTTTCATTGTTGGAAAAAACTTGTCTCAGCCATGCATCGTCTCTGGCGGTATTGTGGACATTGACCTCCATGGCCCTCATCTGGGGATCTGGGAGCATGACAGCTGCCATGGCAGACCCTCTGGACTTTTGGGGGTCCCTGCATTGGAACTCCAACAGTGCTGGCATTGGTTTGGGTTCAGGGATTGACATGCTGGGCGGCAGAACTTTTAGTTCCATACTTGACTGGACCATCACCCCAGCAAGGATACTGGAAGGTATCATTGCCACTGTACCTTTGGTGGGAATGGGTACTTATTTGGTGGAGAGATCAGAACATTCCCCAGCCTATCACATCCAGTTCTCCATCAGTGAGACCGTCATGGAACTATTTGGACGTCGAAAACGTGACGCAATCGTCACCAGCGATGCCAGTCAATCTGCTTCCACTACAACCCTGCAAGTGCTGTTCTTTAGCCTGATCATTGCGGCTGTGTCGGCAATATCAGAAGAGCTCATATTCCGGGGTCTCATACCGGCTCTGTTGGTCTCGTACACTCATTCTGTTGGATGGGCTTTGCTCGGACAGGCCATCTTGTTTGGTTTCGGACAAATCCAGAACCGGTCATCCTTTGCTGAGAATGGAGTATTTACCATGATGCAGTGTCTGAATGGAGTATGGTATGGAGCCATCTACCTGGCTGGTGGTGGTGATATCGTCCCTGTCATGATTTCCCATATCCTGTATGAAATGCACATCTTTGTGGGGACATGGAAGGCAATGAATGACCAAATGGACTACAAGGAAGATTCATGTCGTCATCATACATCTGAAAAGAAGATCGATTCTCTGCTTGCTAGCAGTCAAAGCAGAAGCCGTGCTTCGAAGAGAGCACAGAGACCAAAGGATCTTGTCGGACAAAGATTGATGGCACCAGAAACTCTAGAGCTGGGTCAAGCATTCTTTTATGCCTTTGATCATGAGCATCGAGGAACGCTGTCATTGGTTGATGTCAAAAGGGCGGTGAGCTATGCTTTTCTTCAGGATGATGATCCAACCATGACTGCCTCCGAGCCGCCCAGTGATGTTCAAACAACTGCTGTCTTTTACAAGATACTTCAGCAGCGGTCAGCGCTATCAGGAAGCGGATCGGAAGAACGCCTGTATCTGCCCGAGTTTCTTCGACTTTTGTTCACTCTCAAGTCCAAGTCCTGGCACTCGGGGCGGGAATAGTGCCTTCGCTGCTAGCTAGCTAGACTTGCATGTTCCTTGCCTGTCCTTGGCCGTGCTGGGGGCTCCAATTTTGCCCATACGGAGTCAGCACAACATACACCCTTGCCAAAATGCATGTATACTACGCTACGACAACAAGCAAAAGAAACATTGCTAAAAGAAATAATCAGTAAACACAATTCATTGCATTGCAAACCGATTCAATCAAGCTATTGTCTGCTTAGTTCCGGTGCTATTGTGGACACAAAAGAGAGAAAGGTCTAAAGCTAGTAGTGACACTTTTTACAAGAACAACATGGAAACCCGTTCAAGAGGTCTCCGAGAGACATGATGTTGACGTTGGATACGGAGGAGGCGGGAACCGAAACAATGGTACCCCATTGAGTTAAGGCCATCAAAGCAACTGCATTTCGTTGTGTGGAAAAATGCAGCTCTGTACCAATAGATGAGCTGGTCGCGAGGCCCTCCAGGGTCGGCGAAACCAAAAGCCCTCGTAAAGATCGATAGAATGAAGCACGGTGACATCCAAACCCCCGAAAACTATTTCTTGCTCTCCTTTTTACTGTCCTTCTTCGATTTCTTCTCGGATTTGCTGTCTTTCTTGCTGTCTTTCTTCTTCTTGTCCTTGTCAGAAGATTCCTTCTTTGACTTCTTTTCCTTTTTGTCCTTGTCCTTGTCACTTTTGCTCTCCTTCTTGGATTTCTTTTCCTTTTTGTCCTTGTCCTTATCACTTTTACTCTCCTTCTTGGATTTCTTTTCCTTCTTGCTATCCTTTTTCTTGCTGTCCTTTGATTTCTTATCCTTCTTGTCCTTGTCCTTCTTGGCGGCATCGTCACCCTCTTTCCCGCCGTCCTCATCGGGACTAGCGGAACCATCCGAGCCGTCCTCCGCCAACTCCTCTTCACTTGAGTAAGACCCTTCGTCAATGTCGTCGTCAGACACAACGCTGCCTTCGTCAGAAGATGACCCGGATCCCGATTCGTCGTCCGATGAACCACCTCCTTCGCCTTCGTTTGCCTGGCCATTGTTGGCATCCCCCCCTGCACTACGAGCTCCACCGTTGTTGGGCACAAAGGGCGCGTCGTCTTCATTGTTGTCAAAGCTCTCCCAGGTCTCCATCTCCTCTACCAACCCCTGCAAGATGTCGCCACACTTGGCTCCTTGGATGACATCATCAGGCATCAGTTCCAACACTTTCAGTAGACCCAGACGAACATTCATGATTCGATCATCTTTCATGTCCACCGCTGGAGTCAGCAAATCGTCAATCAGAAGGCTCTTTATATGCTTTTGTTCGGCGGCAGTCATGCGCAAGTAAGGTCCCTCGGGCTCAAAGTCTGATTTGTTGCTGAACTGGGATTTGAACTTGGATACCAAGAGAGGTACAGGGTCGAGTGCACCGTTGCTACTGTTCTTGGTAGCCTCAGAGACGTCAACACCGTCCATGGAAAAGTCTCCAAACTGCAGTGCAAGGCCTGCCGCAGCACAGATTCGACAGTACAGCTGTCGTTGATTAAAGTTGGTTCGACCTGCCGCACCCTTAGGCTTGATTCGTAGAATGCTCTCTTTGAGCCAAGAAATGGCCTCGGAGCATGCTTCCTTACTCCAAGCTTTGGCGTCTTTGTCACTCTTTCCCTTTTCCCAGGTCTGAATGTTTTCCGGACAATACGCCCGCAGCAGCATTGGCACGGCCCAGATGGCATCATCTCGAACAATGTTGATGGCGTCAAGGACCAGAACCTTAATTATTGGCCACACAAACTCTTTAATATCAGCGGGGCTGATCAAACCCAGCAAGTCTGGCAACGACCGAGCGAGATAGTCTCGTTGTCTCCAGTTCAGAACGAGCGGATTGGTGGCACTGCGTTTTTTGGACCCCAAAAATTCTTCCCCAAGAATGACTTCGCTCCACACAGCTAGGTAGGATTGTCGTTCTTCGGGTTTGAGTAGTGACAAGAGCGATGGGAAATTTCGAAAGACATTGAGGCGCACGGAATCATCGGGATCCCGGAGGAAGAATTCTTTGAATATGGGCATGATATCCTTCGACGCCAAATCGGGTCCTAGAATATGAGCAACCGTATGCAAGCTGGACGCAAGGCATCGTTTGACGGGGAGCGGTGGTGGTGGAGGAGGTGCGTTGGGATCGGCTTCGGCATCGCCTTCGGCCGCCTTGTTTCCCCCCATGGCAGCCTGTGTGTTTTCGTCTTCGTACTTTGGATTCAGTAGCTTCAGAAAACATGTCTTTAACAGCCCTTCCCAATGCTCTTCACCCAATACCAATGCTACAGCCGGATAGGAGTAGGCACAGTATACTCTCATTTCGGCATCCGTGTTTTCGTCACCCGTCGTGACCATGGCCAGAGCGGCAAAGTATTCCAACAGGGTTCCCACCACTGATTCTAGATCCTCCTTTGGCGGTGCATGTTCTCGTCGATGCGTGACAACGGAGTGCAACGATAACGATGACAATCGACTTGCTCGCAGGAACTGCGGTAATGCCTTTTGTAGTTTCTCCAAGTGTGTCAACTTTTGATTCAGGATATCTTCAATATTGACGGCGATGGGTGTTGGCGCCGCCGTGGTAGCCGCAGAGGAATTGAGTCGACTGACCATACTGCTGGCATGGGGAAAGAATTGAGCGACAATCCCAGTATGATTGCTTCCATCGGATTCGGAAATGCCTGGTAAAATGGCATGAAGTGCCGAATCGACGTATGGGTAAAAGGAAGCAATGAAGGGACCCAGGAACTGCATCATTCCATGTCGGACCAATCGACTGGAATCGCCAATTAATCGTTCGACAATGGGTATTAACCGTGTGCGTCGTAGATCCTGCAAGAGTGCTTTTTGTTCGGCATCGGTTTCTCGACTGGCCAGTATCATAAACGATCTACTCATATCGACCAAGCATTCTCCAGTGGATTTTCGTACACGGTACAGATCGTCGTTGGAGAGTTTTTCAAAGGCGGGTAGTATTTTGGATTGTGCCATTTCGACACTGGAACCACCGAGTACTCGTGGCAATGCTTGAGCTGCCGATCGTCGTACTCGAAAGCTGCCATCTTCTGCCAGGGACAGAACGGCTGGCAGTACCAATGTTTGTACTAGCTGTGATGGGATGGTACCCTTGTGTTCGGCCGCAGCACCACCCACTTCGGCCAGCAAGTTGGCTGCTGTGATGCGCAAATCTTCTTGCAAGGCATCTGCCTCATTAGTGGGTTTTCCCTTTTTGTTGGTGGACGTGGTGGCACCGGCTGTTTCCTTGACGAGTTTGAGTGGAATGGGTAGAATGAATTTTCCGACATCGTCCGGTTGGAGCTGTAGTGCGAGTCCTGCCAGTGCATCGGATGCCGATCGTCGTACATCAATGTCGGGGTCGGTAACGAGTTGTCGTATATGATGTACCACCACGACGGAACAAACGGCCTTGTAGCCCTTGTCGTAGTAATCCTTGTTGAGTAGTGGGTTGTCAATCATTTGCTGTACGGCGTATTCTTTTTGGAAACCGATATTTTGTACCATGGCGACGAGACTGACGGGCAATATTTGTGCAGCGACATGCTGTCGAATGACACTTTCAGGGTCTTGTACCAAGTGTTCAAAGACCGGTAGGAGGGCTTCCAGGGTTGGAGCAGATCTGTTGGGTAGTTTGGTTCCGAATGAGACAAATGTAGCCATGGAGTAGTTTGTCGTTGGTTGGTTAGGGTGTGTTAGGTAGGAGCAGGAAATGAGGAAATAATGGAGGAGGGGTATCACAAGAATCGAATGAATCAGGGAGACAGATAGGTTGAGCCGTGGGATGGTCGGGGGTAGCATGGCATCAGATGATAAGGATTGTTGAGTATTTCAGGAAAAGTATCATATCAAGAAGGAGACAATGGAAAAGACGAGATAAAGAAAGGCAGAGATTCGAGATAAGCAAAGATGAGAAAGACAGGAAAAATGAGATGATCCCAACGATAAAAGCAGGACCCAGCTTCCATGGCAACATGTCTGACTCGACTCAACTCACCCCACAGTTTCGGCTGTTTCAGCCAACATTTTGACATGCACCAGTCTCTGGAGAGCAATACTGGATCTACAATAGCGTACCACTCTATCGAGCAGAGGCAAGTCATCATCAACCGTCAAGTCTTCAAATCGGAGGGACTCGTCATCCTCTCCATCTGGTGCGGCTTCGCCTGCCTCCATTCTTCTTCTTCTCTTGGCAGATTGTTATAAGGACGGATAGAGATCAGAAAGTGGAGTAGGGTACGTTCAAGCTTGTCTGGAGTTTGTCTCGCTTCAGATACGGCAGATACCGATCTGATAAATGAGACAGGGAGCACAAAACGTCGTGTCCGGATGTTTGTGTCCGGATCCGTCCAGGCTCAGCCCAACTTAGCCCAGCTAGCTAGTAGTAGCTAGCTAGTGTGTAGTGTCGTCGTGCTTGCTTGCTAAGGCTTGTGTGCCTTGGCAGGTGGTAGCTATGGTAGCCAGCCACTATAGTACAGTATCAAGCTGCAACTCAAACAACAACGGCCAAGATTTGTTTGGTTGGCCATTGTCGAATGGTCGAGACATGCCATCATGGGCATTCCAGCCATGCAGTGCGTGCCCTTCAAAGACCCAATTAGGGTTGGAGATCATGTTGTGGCGTCACAACAACAGAACTATTCCTATCCCCAAACTCCAGGGCTTCTGATAGCTCCAAGAGGTCCAAAGGCCAGCAAATTCCACTCTACCGGTATCTCTAAGCTATTTGGTCTCCCAGACCACGCTCCTTTTGGTTTCCCCCTCAGTTGCACTCCGAAATCGATTTGCCCGCGTTTACTGTGTAAATTAGAGTACCGACACTTCAGTTGCAGAATCAACGGTCATGTGTATCCGTAAGTACCAAACCTGTACTTAACGTGTTTTAACGTCTGTACATGTGTGTGTGCCCTTTTAAAACTTAGATCGATTCGTGGATAAAAAGAACCGTTGAAGTTACTAAGGTTAAGGCTAAACTGAATTACAGAGGATTCCATCCAATCGTCCATCAAGTCTTTTTTGAAGGCACAGCGCTGACTTCTCTCCCTCATTGAATTGCTATGGCAAACAGGAGAGAAATCCGAGCTTGACCGACAAGAATCGATCGATCGATCGATCGATCGAACGACTGGTACGGTGGTACGGAGGTAAGCATACCTATAATCAAAGAGTGTTATTGAAGGTGCAGATTCGAAAGCCATCCACCATTGAATTTCTATGGACCACAGGAAGGCAGTCAGATCTCGGCCGTCAACATGTGAGTTGTTTTATTTATTCGAGTCGATCGATCGCACCTCTATTACCTCTGTTATCCAAGCCTCACTCAAGCTGGTTGACTCTGGTACAGAAGCGAAAGCCATCCCTCATTGAATCCTATGGACCGGGGGAAGGCAGTCAGTTCTCGGCCCATGACGGCCAAGTTGGTGCAATTTGAAAAGCAAGGGTAAGTGGCTGGTTTTCTTCAGTTCAGCACAGAAAACAAAACTCATATCTATTTGTTGTTTTCTCTGCTGCACTGCCGACGGCCGGCGAACTACCATTGTCGAGTCCTTTTGGATTGACCGCTCCGGATAACAAGAAGATGAGAGGCTACGGCTACGGAGGAGGAGGCTCTGTTAAGTCCAGCCCTACCAACAGCCTGAACAGAGGAGCCTATCGTCGTCGAGTCATTAAAAGGCAACAGCCATCGGAAGAGGCAACAACACACAAGAGAGTGGATCCTCCTACCGGATTCATCCCTTCTTGTTATTTCCTACTGTTTTGGTGGCTGGTGATTCCTGTGTCGGTACCCATTTTCCTGTATGCGCAAGTCAAGTACTGTTGCCACTAGCTATACAGCTATACGGCAGCTGGCTACAATGGCTGGATTGACAATATTCGGTTGTGCGTGTATTCGTCATAAAGATCCAATGCGAGGTAACCGAGTGCAGCGAGCAAAGTCGAACCTGAGTGTGTTCGGTACTGTTGCCACTGTCACCGATCGATGAACTCTACGATAGCTGGCTACGATGGCTGGATTGACAATGTTCGATTGTGCATGTATTCGTCATAAGGATCCAATGCAAGGTACCGGTAACGGAGTGTAGCCAGTAAAACGGAACCTGAGCGTGTTCGATACTGTTGCCACTGTCACCCATTGATGTAACTCTACGGTAACTGGCTACAATGGCTGGATTGACAATCTTCGGTTGTGCATGTATTCGTCATTAGGATCCAATGCGAGGTACCGGTAACCGTAGCGAGCAAAGCCGAACTTTCGGTACTGTTGCCACTGTCGTCGATGTAGCTATACCGCAGCCGGCTACAATGGGTGGATTCATAATGTTCGGTTGTGCATGTAGTCTATCCGTCATAAAGATCCAATGCAAGATACCGGCAACGGAGTGTAGCCTGCAAAGCGGAACCTGAGTGTGTTCGGTACTGTTGCCGATGTAACTGTACGGTAGTGGACTACAATGGTTGGATTAACAATAGTCGGTTTTGTGCATGTATTCGTCATAAGGATCCAATGCGAGGTAACCGAGTGCAGCGAGCAAAGCGGAACCTGAGTGTGTTCGGTACTGTTGCCACTGTCACTGATCGATGAACTCTACTGTAACTGGCTACGATGGCTGGATTGACAATGTTCGGTTGTGCATGTATTCGTCATAAGGATCCAATGCAAGGTACCGGTAACGGAGTGTAGCCAGTAAAGCGGAACCTGAGTGTGTTCGGTACTGTTGACACTGTCACAGATCGATGTAACTCTCTGCCTACGGTAGGTACCGTAGCTGGCTATACAATGGCTGGATTGCATGTATTGGATCCAAGTAGCGAGCAAACTGAGGAAACAGGAGACCAACGCTGAAAAGAAGCCGAATACTAGCTACGGTAGAAGCTCTGGCTAGCTAGGTAGAAGCTCTAGCTACGTGTACTGGGAGGCAAAAGATAGAGATGGTTTTCTGTTGATTAATTAATTGATACTTCTAAAGTTATAAAAGAAGAAAGGTGCCCTCATTGTCTGAGCCGTTGTTGCCCCAGAGCTGCAGAGTGATCCCATAGCTTGGTTCAAACTGTCCATCACTGTGCACTCCAATTCTTCCGTTCCTGTCACACCTAACTAAGGGGTATCAGAGTAAGAGTCCCAGAATAACATGCATGCATCATGTACATGTATGTTGGTTCCTCGTTTTCACTTACTTGCTCTTGGGACCCAATCCACCCCAGGGGGGCAGAACCTCATCAGACTTCCTCACTCAGAGTGCAGTACTTGCGTTGTGGATGAGGAGTTGAAAGCGACTTGAAGCATCCTGAGGCAGTAAGCAACCTGCAAAAGATGAAGGCGAGGAAAAAGGAAAGTAGGCGGCCATCGTTTCAGATTTAGGGTTCAGGGGAAGAATTTGCAACAGCTTCACCGTTCGTTCCGACTTCCGACAAACATCAACTCCGTCATCATTCCAGCACCGACGAAACAGACTCGACTCAGACAACCCAAAACGTTTGTGAGCGAAGGAATAGTTGTACTGTATAAAATGGCCAAGTCCAAGACAAAGAGGAGCAAGATCCCCAATAACGCTACAATTCGTCGAGAAGTTCGTCCGATACTAACATCGCGAAATCATCTCGATCCACTAGTAGCGACGTCTCCGTCCTTAGGCAGCAATTCTGTTTCTCCATCCAGTGCATGTACGAGTGGTAATAGTGAAACAATTATTAAACCCTACACTCCCCTGTCTGCGGCTGGTCTGACGTTGGATGGAACAACAACAACAACAACAATACCACAGACTCCTCATCATCAGCAACCAGAAGATCCACTGGCGAACCCCGCCCGATTTGCCACTCATCATCACAACAACCAACAGAAGCGTGTGGATGCACCTTCCTTTCAGATTCACATGACAACGGCACAATTCAAACAGGCACTCGATCGATTTGGAACCGAAACAGAAGAAACAACAACAACACGCAGAAGAAATTTCATCACCATGTCGTCACCACTACACCCATCCACTCCTGCCTCTACTGCTAGTAGTAACTGCAGTGTCATGACGGGTGCCGTGGCCTGTTTGTGCTCGGCGACACTGGGCGCTGGAATACTGGCGTTGCCCTATGCCATGGCCGAAGCAGGACTCGTTTGTGGCATGGGATTGCTGCTTTTGAGTGCCATGGCCACGGCATTTTCCATTCAATTGCTCGTACAGGCCATGCAAGTCGTTTACTATCATTCTCATAACAACATGACAACAAAAGAAAAAACCTACGAAGACCTTGTGGAAATTTGTCTCGGAACCACTGCCCGACGAATTGCCGAAGCTTCCATGCTCCTGTTTTGTGGAGGAGGGGCCGTGTCCTATGTGATTGCCGTGGGAGATATCGTACAACAATCGGGGCTCTTGGAGCATTTGGCATCCTCATTGTCTCCAACGGCTGCCAGGGCCCTGGCCATGACGGTCGTGTGGATTCTCGCCATGGTGCCTCTTTCCATGCTCCGGACCATGAAGAGCTTGGAATGTACCAGCTCTATTGGGATTGCCAGTATTGCCACGTTGGTTGTGGCGGCCCTCTATCATTACTTGGAACATCATACGCAACAACCACAAGAGCAACAACAACTACTAAACGATGATCATCAATCCATTCTCGCGCCGACACAAGGAATTCTTTCCGTCCTGCGAGCATGTCCCATTATACTCTTTGCATTCTCCTGTCAAGTCAATGTTTGTGCCATTTATGATGAAATGAAAGGAGACAATGACCACCCAGGAGAACAAGGACATCATCATAATCAGTCGACTCATGAACTCACTCAACCACCACAAATAATCTGCAATGACGAAGAAACACCCACCACCAGTTCGTCCAGCAGTGCATCACCACAACAACCACAACAACAATCCACCAATGCTACTAATTTTACATCCAAGTATCGTCGCATGATCCTCGTGACGTGGATAGCAGTGGGCATTTGCGCCCTCCTCTATTCCTCCATTTCCATTATTGCACTCTTGGATTTTGGATCCCAACACATGACACCCAACATTTTGTCAAGTTACAATCCCGAATCCATCATGCAAGTCGCATTCATTGGAATGGCACTGGCAGTCGTATTGGCGTATCCCTTGAATATTTTCCCCGCAAGGGCCACCTTGTTGGGAATGTGTCGAACATCACAACAAGAAAACAACATAGTCATTGTGGATGACATGCCGGCGTCTCCCACGGCATCTTTCAGCCATAACAACAACAATGCCTTGACCGAACCACTCTTGGCCAATGACGACAACAATAGCACGTCGGGTTCCTTCCATAGTGCGGCGTCAGCACACCACGACGAAGCGGCGTCGGCACAACACGATGAAGCGACACTGGCAACCTCCAATGTGGCCATGTCGCCGACCAGACACAACAATCACTTTGATATTATTACAGACGAAACTACTGCCGACGCTGGTTGGTTGGGGCATGTAGCAGTGACACTGTTCTTGACGGGGGCATCCCTGGGTCTTGCTATTGTGGCACCCAACATTTCCGTGGTATTTGGACTGTTGGGAGGGACGTGCACCAGCGTCATGGGATTTATTCTACCCGGATTGTTGGGGTACATGACGGCCAATGACTTTTATCAGGTGGACCAAAATGATAATAATAATGAGGCAAACCGAGGCGCCGCGGCTCGGACACGAGTCCTGTCACTGCTCTTGGTCGTGGCCGGGGTCTTGATTGGAATCATCACCACAGCTGTCACGGTCTACAGCACATTCATTGCAACTACTACTCAACCCCAACACAACAACAACTCAATTTTGACTCTTGCTACACGTCACCATAATTCATAATCAATAGGAACACTAGCTAGATGTTTATGAAACCTCTTCGTTTTGTTTGCTTTTCATTCTACCCGAAACTTACACTTCGGTCCTGGCTTGATAGCTCCGGTAGAGAGTTGCGCGACTGACTGTGCATCATTGAAGACGTGCACGTCGTAGTTCCCTCGAGGCTTGCAATGAAGATTCGAGGGTTTTCTTCAAGTATCAACCGTCCGGCGACTCTTTCGTTCTTGTGTGTGTGTTACAGGGGGACATATCCCAACAACACGTAGAAGATTGCCCAGAAGATACAGTTCTTTGAAAACAAGCAAAAGCAATTTCAAAGTCTCTGCTCTTGCTTCATGTAGTAATGTAAGTAATGTTACGACAAGCGTTGCTTTCATAAAAAGAATGTATGTTTATCATTATGACTTTTTTAATGCGCTAGTTTGTCCTACGTATGATTGATAATGATGGCGACACAGTGCTCTTTCAAAAAATACCGTTGTCAACACACTTGGTGGCCTCCCTCAAAGTTTTCTAATATATGACGATTCTTAACCCAGATGCCCTCTTTGAGAATCCATTTGAAGTCATCACGTTCTGGGGCAGCCTTGCCCCACTCATTCCTTGGAACTGGGTTGTGGATTGCTTCTCGTACGAGAGAGTCCCATTTGTTGATAATGACCGAGCCACCCTCGCTGAACACAGTGAATGAACTTCGGAACCGGAGATTCGTGCTTGCAACCTGATTGCCATAGTCTTCAAATTCTTGTTCCTTGGCCTCTTTGTATTCGTCGCTGTCCAGCATGCCGAAGCGTTCGCCCATTTCGCGACGAAAGGCATTTCGGACAGGGACGTAGGCAATGCGAGCAAGATACCGTCTGAAAATAGAGTTCAGCTTCGTAGCGGCGACGGTTTGCTCACGGCTGCGCAGTCGTTCGAGAGACTCAAATGCGCTGTGACGAAGGAAAACCTTTGTCTTACCCATTTGTATTCCCATTCGGACAGACTCCACGGCGGGCGGCGCTGATGCACGACGACTGGAACTTACAGGCGGAGTCTCTTTCTTTGCATCCAAAGAGTACCTCTTCACGGGTGCAGTCAGAGGCGCAGGCGGCAGGCCTCTGTCAGCTCGAATGTTTTCTCGCTTGGACCAGGTTGGAGACGGTGTAGATGCCTGATAAGAGTAGGACTTGGCCTTTGCGGCGGGTGTAGATGGCGCCTCGAAAGAAATGTCATCCGAGTCGGAGCAATTGTTGTTGTTGTTTTGAGCAAGGTCAAAAGCCTGCACTTTCTTGTACAAGACTCTGATGAGATCCCGGCACAAGGCTTTGTGATCGATTGGTTTGGATTCTTCGACTGGTCTTGTTGGCTCGGGAGACGGCGGAAACCTGCCACCACGGAAGGAGCCTCGGTGTGATTGTCGCTTCTGAGCGGCAGCTGGGGTGTTATGGGGACCGTATGGATTGGTGTGAACATGGCCGCGGACAGTCTCCTTCTGCTTGAGTTCTCTCCACGCCAAAGCTCGGTATCGACGTACAAAATCAGCGTGGGGATAGTGCTGCGTGAACCCAGCTCGTGCAACCCTGACTGCTTCCAGAATTCCTCCGCACTTCAGCTGCTCAGCAACGACAGCTGTATCATAGTGATCAGGTACCAAGTGATCGTTGGGCTTCAAGCAACGAATGTAGTGAGGAGATGTCAGGTCAACCTTGCTTCGCAAATCTCGCAGTTGGCGACGGAATTGTCCTCCGACTGTGGTTCTCGATACCACAGAAGACGAATCCATCCTTCGAAGTTTGTATTGTCCATTAGCTTGATTCTCGGGTCCAGCCACGTTGTCACTCTCGTCTAGAATGCTTGCCAGCGTTCGAACAAACGGATTCATGCTGTGGGTGAGCAAATCAATCGCTTCCTTGGGCAATTCGTCGCGGTTCTTCTCGGTGAAGCCTGCAGTTGTATACTCAACAGGACCAGCGTAATGGTGGACGGAGAAGTGGAGAGTGGCGGTTTGTTTTCGGGTGGCTGTGAATCGGGGCTGGTCTTGGCATTTCTTATACACATCCAAAGCAAAGGACTTGTCGGATGTGCCTGGAGCCCGGCATTGATCATCGAGAATGCTCAAGATACCTGACCCTCGTTTCTCAATCAGATCCAAGACGTCTTGATTCTCAGGGAATTCGATAAAGCTCCATTCGATTCCTTCACGCTTGTACTCCTCTTGTTCGTTTTTAAGGACAAACGCATTGAACTGTTGTTGGAGGGCTTCATTGCAATAGTTGATACAAATCTGTTCAAACGAGTTGGTTGTGAAGGATTCGAATCCAAAGATGTCCAACACACCAATGGATGCAGCAGCGGCATGAATAAAGCTCGCCCTTTGAAAATCTCCATCCTCCTCATCTAAGTATCGTTCTTTGCCAAAGGCAATTGAATCATTGACGCGACGAACCACGTAGGTAAAAAGGGCACCATACGTTGCTTTCAACAGTGCCTCCAGTCCCTTTTCAGCCTTCTCCAATGTCAGAGACCGTTCAACAGTAACGTCTCTGCCGGCAGTGATAGAGAAGTAGCAAAGTGCTCGATTCAGGTCTCCAGCAGTAACTCCAAGCAAGTGACATACGGGAGCCAGGTGAACATTGCGTTCATCCAAGGAAGACTCCTCTCCAAGATCCAAAAAGCCAAGATTGGAAGCATGGAGGATAGCAGCTGTGACGGAGAAGATGTCTTTTTGTTCACTGGGAGGGAACTTCATGGTATTCATGGCATTTCGCAAGGCACGGTAAGTATCTTTGTCGCTGACGCCATCTCTTCTATCGTAGGTTCCACTGCAAGTGATTTTGAAATCATCGGCAGCAGCAGTGGCAGCGAGAAAGAACTGACGTAGTTCTCGGGCGTCCATTCCTCCTGACATCAGTTCAAAGAAGATGTGGTAGTTGCGCTCACCAACGCTCTGGGTGACAATTCGAACCTTTTCCAGAAGGTAGGTTTCAACCTGAGCTCCAATGAGCTTGCCGTAGCGAGTAAACTGCATTTCAATAAACTTTCCAAAGCGGCTCGAGTTATCGTTTCGGACAGTGCGGGCATTTCCAAAACTCTCCAAAATAGGGTTACTCTGAAGTACTTGAGCCTCAATGGAGTTGGACGGTGTGCCACTGAGGCTGTTGGCAGCATCGAGTCCTCCATCTCTATTACTATCGTTCCGACCACGCGAATAGGATCCTCCAGATTGACGTCTGTCAGAGGACGGATTCCAACCATTCTTCCAACCAGAAGGAGGAGGAGTTCCCATGAGTGTGTTTTCCTGTTGCTCTTGTTGGGCTTTTCGCTTTTCTTCGACAATAGCATAAGCTCGCTTCTGAGGAGTCTTGTGTACCACAGCAGCGCGTTGTGAAAGAGCAGCAAGATACTTCATGACAAACTTGGCAGTGACAGTCTTCCCAGCTCCACTCTCACCAGACACCAAGATACTCTGATCACAGCCCTGGGGTGATTCTTCTTCCAATGATTCGTCTAGTTTTCTCATCATGCTGCGAAATGATGCATCGGCGATGGAGTATACATGAGGTGGTAGACTTTCTCTGGAGCTTGACTTTTCAGCATGATCCCAGTACTTCTTCATGGTGTTTTCACCATATAGTCCACGTAGTTGCTGGAATGGATTTAACGCCAGTAGAACAGGACCAGTAAAGGTGTAGATGGTATCTTGCAAGTATCGATGTGATAGACACTCCACGACGGATGGTTCGTGAAGATGCGTGAGCGTAATGAGATCATGGGGACAGACATGGTTTCCCGTGGAATCAACCGGATATTCATTGGCCAAGAGGACATCTCCATCGTTGAGAGCAGAGGAAGGGAGACGGACCACGTCATTATCCGGAGTGTTGCTACCATGTTCAGGCAACCGAGAGAGCATCCCGTCATCCAGAGTTTGTTGCACCCGAACCACTACATGTCCTCCTGTGCTTTCCAAGAGATAACCCATTTTCCAGCCCCATTGAGGAGCTCGGCCATGAGTCGTCAGAGCACCACTCGAGGACCGGATGGAACAGACATCGCTCTCGGAATCACAGAGTGAAACAATCGAAGAAGATCGACGAGACGCATATTGTCCCGCTGCATCATGCCTACCCGAATTGTTCAGCGAAGCTTGCCAACTGTCATGAAAGGATCGTCGAGAAGTGCGGACTGCCTCAATGGCTGATGCCCGAATCCATATCCGATTTTCTTCGCCGCTGCTTGACACCAGCATTGTCACTGCACTCACAAAACACAATCAAACACCCAAGTGATCGCGTTATCTTCACACTGCAATTGAACGCTTTCAATTGTTGCTTAGGTTTTTATCGACTGGCATATCAAGCAATACCGTCGTGAGAGGAGACTTCACTCACTTCACTTTGTCTTTGTTGGGAGTGAGAGTTCGTCTCCGCCTGGCTATAGAAAATCCGAGGGTCTAAGAAAGGGTCGGCAGCGCGAGTCTTGTCGCTATTTATTTTTTATCTACCGCCACGAAGATAAATTATGTGTCTTCGCTAACAACGGCGCAATAGTTAGGAGTTGTAGGCCGTCTGATGCTTAAGAAGATTCTGAGCCGGTAAATAGCGGTTTTTCATGAGCGATGGACACCGTACTTAGAAAGCGCGCTTCGAAGAAGACAACTTTGGAGTTCAGGTAGATGAGATAAAAGAAAAATGCAATTAAAAATGCAAAGTAATGATTAACTTTAATTCTAAAGCTACCCCATCTACTAGTAGCCGATGTGCAAAACTGGCCGTTGTTCTGACTTGCAGCACGGCGAAGAGGAGCTCGCAGCCGTCCATCTACCACACAGTATGCAACATCGCAGTCAATGAGTGGCATTTATGCTATTAGGGGTTTGGAGGAGCTCCAACAAGTCGCTCACTCTTTGCTTTCATTAAGCACCAAACAAAACCAGATGACAATCAACTATGTTCTTGGGTAGGATGATAGGTTTCTTTTAGCTGAATTATCTTGCCCGAGCTACCGGACCGTACGGTACCGCCTGGCCATGTAATCTGTACTAGTACCCGACTTTCCTACTAGAGCATGATCGCCACAACGGTACTCGGAGTACAAATACCATAGGTCTGTTGTCCTCCCAGGACAATATCGATATCATACTGCCTTGGCATCTATTCTACAGTCGTAAGTCGTATTCGCACCCACACCGATGCCGTACCGGTTTACCGTACTACCACCGACACTTATTCTACCACCGGCTTGGGACTTGGGACAACCAAGATGCACAGTGGTGCAGCTTGCCCTCTCCCAATACCATGGTCCCAGGAACCAAGGAACATCCTGCTCGTGTTAACTGTACAGGGGTACAGTCGGATGCAGCGCGGCAGCGCGGAGTTGTAAACAGTGTACGGTACTGTACCTTTTGGCGCAAAGTGGAAAGGAAGCACGCCTGCGTAAGATTCGTGCCTTCGTTTTACCATTGTCGGCTGGGTTCGCCATGGAATTGTGAACTGTTCATTCAATTGCATAAGCTTACTAAAATAAATATCTGTAGTAGAGCACCATGGCGGCACTTCCACCGGATGTTTATGATGTTGTTCTATGGATGAAGTTACTGTATATCTTGATTGCCGATCACAGCTTCTTCTAGATTTTTTCCCGGTTTCGATTGCCAATTTCAACTCAGCCTAGTACTGTAGCACCCAACCCTCACACATGCCCCACCGATGCTGTTCCTTCTCGTCCTCGCGCGTTCATCCCTGATGCCGTTGATGATGTGAGGTGAAATCGCTCCATTGCCAAACGGGATAATAGGAAGGGGGAGCTGATGGATCCGATGGGGGGAGATGAGCATAATTTATCTTGATTGCCGATTTGGGTTCAGAGATGAATCCACCTTTGGGTCGTTTGCAACGTCCATTTGACGAAGGATCTTGCTCTAAGGTGCGTTTGAGACGGTCTAGTTCTTTCCAACAAAGCTGCCTCATTCTTTGGCAGAAGCTGAAGCGGAAGACAAGGACCACAAGGAAGCCATCCGAAATTACCTTTTAACAGCCTCGCAGCTTTCATCTTTCGTAGCTTTAACCCTTTGTTCCCTGTTCCTGCCACCACCCTGACCCTTCAATTTGAAACTGTCCCACGCTGCGGGACCTTAATTAAGCACGCTGGCGAGCTTTGTTAAGAGCCCAAGCCGCATTCTACGAGATAAGCTGGCTGGTGTTTTGGTCTCTAAAAGGAAGCAGTCATCACGGAGCCCGACCCAAAGTGCGCAAACAGTGGCCACGCTGCTGACCTTTAACTTTTTCACTGGTTCGATTTGCCATGCATACTGTGTCCGTACAAGATCCAAATTAACAAAAACACAAATGAATTTATTAGGTTTTACATAAATATACATTCAGTATTCAATCATTTGCTTTCGGTTACGATTGTTAAATGATTCAAATCGATTCGATGACTTTCTGAAGTGGCCTGCTTGCACATTCTCCGAACACTCTAAGGAGTGGTATGTCGGGGTATTTTGCTGTGCTTTCACAAATCCCAAGTTGGACTTAGACTCGAGCAGGTTGCTTTTATTGAGCTGATTAAGGACTTTCGACCTTTAAGCAACAACAGATAAGAGGAGAGACAAGAGAAGACGAACCTATCAAGCCGCTCACAACTTTACCGATTTTGTCCTTAGAGCTCACACCATGGACCCTGCTACTCTTCAGGTGAGAACCGTGCTGTGTTTTCCTGTTTGTTGTTTGATTTTGATTGATCGCTTCGTTTGGGTCCACCATGGCACCGGTTGGTGCATATTGCGGTGTCGCTGCCTGGCTGGTGCAGCGCTTGGGTTTGGCTGATGGATGGTGGCGTTGGATCTTGTTGCATGGGAGGGTATCAGGCTATGGTGATTGGGGGTAGCGCCTTTGTTTGATTGTTTCGTTGGGTAGGAGGCTCTGGTGAAGCCACGCTCACGATTCCGCAAGGAAGACGTGCCCAGTTGTTGCCATGAATCTCTCTGCGTTGGATCATCTCTCAACAATCTCCATTCTCTGCTCCCATTCCTCAGAACTTGATGCTTTTCGGCGGCGGCGCCGGAATGGCGAATATGAATAACTTCGGCGGTGCTGCCGGAGCACCTGGTGCCGGAGGTGGAAACGGTGATGGTGGTGACGGAGGCGGTGGTCAAGACCAACAAGCCGCTCTGAATCAACAAGCGGCCTTTGCTGGCTACCCAGCTTTGATGCGTCAGTATTTGCAGCAGCAGGTAAGATATTTTTCTCTTTTGTTTTGGAACTGGAGCGGAAGGCGATGGATAAGACCAGCTATTGGAGCACATCCCGTCTTGCCGTCAACGGCCTTGTCGCTGGCTGCGTGTTCTGGTCAGATCTAACCAATTGCTCTTTTCGTTTCATTTAGCAACAAGGAGGAATGGGCGGCCAGATGGGCATGGCAGGTATGATGGGAGGAGGAATGAACATGATGGGTGGAATGAATGGTGAGTGACGGTTATGCCACTGTGAATCCTTTTATCTTGTTTCTGGGCTGTTGTTTCTAACACGCCTTGGTTTACTCCAACAGGTTTTGGAATGGGCATGCCTGGAATGATGCCAGGAATGGCTGGCCTCGGTGGTGCCGGAATGCCTGGAGACGGCCAAGGTGGAATGGCGCAAGGAGGCCAGCAAGGAGGAATGGGAGCCATGGGAATGAATGGCCAAATGGGCATGGTACGTTGCACTGGTGGTCTTGTTTGTTGTGGCCTGCTGTTGTTGAATGTGCTCATTATTTTCATTGTCGACTATTGGAAGCAGATGCCCGGTGGTCAAATGCCAGGAGGTGCAAATGACTACATGGATGCGAACAGAATGCTCCTCCAGCGCCTTCAGGGCCAGAATCAGGCAGAGCAGTTTGATGGTGGCGCAGCTGCTGCAGGTGGCGGTTCCGCCGCTGTTGCGGCAGCTGCCAATGCAGGAGGAGACCCATACGCCGAGAATGGCATTCTGGGGCCATGGTCTGCTACCTCGGCGGGCCTTTTGGGAAAGATGGCTGTCAACAATCAGGATAAGGGCAAGAAGATCCGTCGCAAGTCCAAGGATAAACCCAAGAGGCCTTTGTCGGCATACGTAAGTCATCTACATTGCCATTGCTGTTTCGTGTTGTTTCTGGGAGCGGTATTTCTGACAGGCTGTCGTTCTTCCTCTTTGCATGCAGAACATCTTTTTCAAGGAAGAGCGTCAGCGCATCTTGGCAAAGATTCCTGAAGGAGAAGAGGCCAAGAATGCAGCCGCGGCTGGGGACTCCAAGACCCGCAAGCGCAAGAAGAGGCCTCATGGAAAGATTGGTTTCGAGAACCTTGCCAAGGTGATTGGACAGCGCTGGCAGGAACTTACACCTGAACAGGTGGAATACTACAAGAAGAAGGCCGAAGAGGACATGAAACGCTACAAGGACCAGATGGAGGAGTACCTTGCCAAGCAGGATGATGGCAAGAAGAAGGCCGCTGGCGATGATGACGGTGATGACGACGACGGTGATGAAGGTGGCCCCAACAAGAAGATCAAGGCTGATGTTTGAGCTTTATGCTAGCCTCCTGGCTGGTGCGCTTTGTACAAAATATTTTTCATGGGATTGCATCTGCTGAGGATCAGATTGTGCATTGTGAGCCTACTCGGATCAATCAATCGCTCTATGGACCGTCTCCAAAACTTCAACTCAATTCGAAAACAATTGCGAGAGGTGCAAGACTGAAAGTAAACCTTTTCTAATAATAACTTGTAGCCGTTGATCCTTGACCTGGCTAGCTAGAGCCATCCTTGGACGTTGTGGTTGTATAAATATATCCGCCTTCTGTTTCGCTGGTTTCAACGTCTCAGCGACAACAATAGTCGTCTCTATGCTCTGTACCGCAACAGAGTAATACTCCTAAGCTCCAGTGATGCCATCTTGGTTGGACATGTTTGTGCCTTGAAACGAACAATGTTTTGACGTCTCCTCAATGCTAAACTGTACTGTACTAGTTTGGGCGGAGTGGTCAATCATTGCCGTGGTTTACCTAGAGACTGTAATAACCAACAAATTAAAAATGAACTGCATCTATAGCTAGAATTTAAATGGCTCCATCGGTACCCGTACTAATGCAGGTACTAGTAGGGACGAAGCTGTTCGTCAAGTTGGAGCTGATTGTTGTTGAGTTGCTGGCTGGCTGTGAAAGCTTTTGTTGCATCAGGATATCCACAGATGAAATTGGACTCCGAATTCAGCTCTGGTACGTACGCAGCTAATTCTTGCTTTTTGTAACGCGTGATTCTTTCGTGTGAAACACAAGAGTGTTAGATACAACGCAGCGCTGCAACGGCAGGACATCTCCCAAGTTCTCCCAGCCTATGAATGAACTTACCATTTGGATTTCGCTCTCTCAAGAAGTAGAGTTTGGCCCTCTTCACTTTTCGTTTTCCCTTGTAAATGAAATTCTTTTCCAATAGCTTGATACTCTTGAGCAGTGGTGAATGCAAGGGGATTCTGCGTTCGACAATGGACCCCATGACCACATCTCGTATGAGAACACTGGAATCGATGCCCTTGTTGAATTTGGCAATCACCAGGCCTCGCACTTTTTTGAGTTCGGTGGAATTGGTGCCTCCCTGTTCAATGATTTGACATTCAATGGCATCTCCCACTTGATAGTCGACACCAAAGACTGCATCTTTGTTTTGCCGCGAGTGTTCCACGTATTCCTGAGAAATCTCATGCAATAGCTTGGAGGCGCGGCGTTGCGGAGACTTGAATTTTTCACGGGCGTTCTGGTTGTTCTGTAAGAACTTTTGGTGATGCAGGTACGGCATATCCTCCTCAGGAACTCCGCCCAGACATCTCGTGAGAATGGTAGTCGGCGGTTGTGGCGTTTGTTGGCATGCTACCGCTGGACAGGACCATCGTTGCGACTGGCGACACACCTGGCGATGTAACTGCGATCGGAGCATTTTTCTTTAGGTCGATATGATAGTATATCGTACGATAAGGGGCGACAAGAGGAAGTGGAACTGTACTACTATAGTAGTCCTTATTCCAGGATCTGTGGCTGGTGTTTGGCGGTCGCTTTTGCGGAGAGGAAGGAACGCCACGGTGGCTCCCGTGGTAACGTGAATGCATTGGGAACGATACTCCTGACTGAGAAAGCTGAGAATTCATATGCCCACTACTGGGTCGTCTCCGTTTCCAGAAATAAGGTTGAGGAATACCAGTACCAGCAATAAACCTCATTGACCGCCGCAAAAATGGTGAAATTCGTAAAGTTGGTGAGGGTTGAATTCATCGCCAAAATTGTCACAATAGCCCTTCGGCGTGCTCAACAACACCAACAGTGAGTAGATTGTAGTGGCAGGTTGCGTCAGAACTGCTGGTTCCTGTTGTTGTTGTTGTTGACTGCTTGCAAAGGAAGTGAATTTTCGAGCGTTTTCTCAATGGGGGTTCGTCGTGCTTTTTACTAGTAAAATATTTTTACGAAATTGAGGTGCGGTGAAGCACTGAAAAAGATCGACCATGGCAACAGAAGGGACGAAGCCAGTCATCGTTTCCGATCGTTTCATCGCTCCGATAGAACAATAGATGCGTCATGGTCGCTCTCTGAGTCAGTCCGTGGAAGGTAGAAGAGGCCATTGTCGAGGCGTCGCTTGTTGTTGTTGCATTAGCGGTAGAGGAGTAGATGCTTCGCTTCGACCCCGTGAAGGAGGCTCCGTGGAAGTCGTCGATCGATCCGTCGAACCGTCGAACGGCTGCCGTTGCCGCTAACCAAGTAACCAAGAGGAGCATGTCATGGTGGAGTAGTAGCCGCTGTAAAGAAGAGAAGAAGAGCATAGAAGAGGAGATGACATCATCTTGAGATGCGATCGAAATAAGGAATAATGAAAAAAGAAGAGGATATGAGTGGCTTTCATGTTTATCAGTCGGTGGCCGTCCCTGGGTCCCTCGTTGGTCCTCTCTTAACGATTTGTGGGAATGAAAATAACAAAGGCCATATCCACAGCTACAACACCATTTTTCCACATTCTGAGACAATCTACAAACAATTCCAATGTCTATTTTGTTGCACCAGAAGATGGAAAACTGAACTTGTTGCTAGTCTACTGGTCCTTGTCTAACGCAAAGGTTAAGAGAGGGTACGCCTCTCCGCCTGGCTCTCCGACGCACGCAACAAAGCCTCTTCGCTCTGGTCAGTTTCCATAAATTCAGCATCGAAAACAGCGAAAGCTATGCCCTTTTCTTTCCTCCCTCTCCTCGACAATGGCCGAAACAATCGACAATGACGGCTCTCTCCATTGACAGCGTAGCGTTGGTCTCGGCTTCGATCTCGCCTGCGGCCTATCGGCTGTTGTTGTTCTTGTCATGGTCCATGGTCGAGATCGAGCGAAATGAAAGTGTTCCTGCTTTTGGTGTGGAAATTCAGAGTACTGGACTTAAGGAACCGATGGCAAGAGAGTAAACACATGAGCCGACATGCTGGATATCGGCTATCTAACACTAGGATGTGTTGTCGGAAGGTGTGTGGAAGAGGATCCGAGCGTTGATAGGTTCTTCATGGCTGGATAAAGTGGCGATACTACAGTTACTAAATTCAACCGTTCAATGAGGGGCCATTTTCTCAAAGAGGATTATTACTGGTACTAGAAACAGTTCGCCCCGAAACCGCTTCCTCGCTCGAGCTCATTCATGCGAAACTTGTGTGAAAATCATTCATGCGAAACTTGTGTGAAAAGCGAGGCGACTTTCATGTGCATGTACATGCGTTGACTGTATCCCGTCAATACAATACTAGTCAAATACGTAGACTTCTACAGGGCCTTCTAAGTAATGCGCGCCGGGTATAATTCAAACCTCTGCCCCCATCGGTACCATTACCCCTAAAGCAAATCGTCTCCAGGAGACGAAATTCTCACTTTTCGAATTTTCGCCCCAACGCTCATCGGCTTTTTCTCCCCTTGATAACTGCAACCTTCCATTCCATTGTCGCAAAGATTGCGTCCCTTGTCCTTGGTGGAGCTCCGACTCTAGACTATACCCAGTTGGATCAGCCATCATTTACTTGTTGAGTCCTTATCTTTCTTTCTCTATCCTTCCTTTTTGTCGGGGGTATCTTTGCCATTTTCTACACAATGATCATTCCCACTGTTTTCCTGAGTCTCCTGCTGGTACTGCTTCATTGCTCTAGTTTCTGCGACTCCTTCACTACTTTGAGTCGGTCTCGACAATTCACAAAAGTCAACTATGGTCTCTGCTTATTAAAACCATCCACCACTTGCCTACTCAGGAAGCCGACCTCTCCAAGTGGATTCTTCATGGCAGAAGACAACGAGTCCAGCGAAGCAGAAGCACCAGCGAAGGGCGAAAAAGAGTTGGATGAGGTGGACAGGAGCAGTATCTTCAAATCAATACTACTGGCGGTTCCCCTCTTTTGCAAATTCATCATTGTGCTCGTCATCAAATTCTTGACAGATCTTGTCGTCTTTCCCTTGCTGATTCTCTATCGACTAGGACGGCGCACCAAGAGACGGATCATGAAACTGTTTGAAAAAAAGAGTGATGAAACCAGCACCAGCAGCGGTGATGCACCTGCTCCATGACATGCCTTTCCCATTTGGCTGCGTGTAGTCTTTGTAAAATTAGTATTTTAGATTCTATACTTATTGTTATGTGACGTATTGTCATAGCTTGTGCTGCAGTACCTAGCTATGGCACAGTACCGTGTGCCATTCTTCTGCTGAGATGTTCCAACTCAAGTTGGAAAGGATACATGCATCCAAATAGCAACGGCTGCCAACACACCACCAGCCCATTGCTCCAAGGAAACGGCTCCATCCCGTTGCTCGTAATCTTCACTGCTGTTGCTAGCACTGGCTTGTTGGCGAAGTGCTATAATGTTTTGCAGAATACCCGAAAGCAACAGGCCCACCACCAATGCAAACCCCTTTCGTACACTGCCAGCATACTTGGTCACGAGTCCTACCAAGATGCCGCCCACGGCATTGAGACACAAAGGGATCCACGTCTTTTTGGTCCAACCCGTGGCAATGCCCTGTTTGATTCGTTGACCGTCAGGATTGCCACCCGTAAGCATGCTCAGGACCAAAAAGAGCGAAGAAAAGACACTAATCTCCATGCTGAACAATAGTGGATTGCGACCCAGTTCTTGTAGACTTTGTTGACTCAATGTGCCCGCCAGGCCAGATAATAAACTAGCAAGAAGGATGGGGAGAACTCCCTTGGTTAAATGTTGATTCCGCGATATCTCTTTCTTGCGACTGGTGCTTGGTGCCGTCACAGTGGATTGTTGCTGTTGTTGCTCTGTCGAGGCAAACAGGAATGGTCGAATGGGAAGGACTTCTTCCATCACTAGAGCTGACACCAACAATAGTAAGAGAGACAATATCTGCAGTTTGGATTGTGCCTTGGCTAGGAGCACGTAACAGAAAAAGGCAGCCGACAGAGTCTTGGTTTGATTCAGAACATTGTAAGATATTGGCGAAAGGTTTTGGTACGCCATGAGGCTGCAGTAATTCTGAATGGCATATAAAGAGGCAGGTAACCCCGCACCAACCAAGGAGCTTGCAACCGACCACTGCCCCGCCACGTGCGACCAACTTGAAGTGAGAGTCAAGACACACGCACAGACCAGAAATCGCAGCATGTCTTGTGCCACAACATAGGTCGTTCGCACGAGCTTGGTGGTAACAAACGACTTGGTTAAGATGGGTTGACAGGCAAACTGCAGTGCCAGGAGAGACATGCACCACCATGCCGCCCCATTGTTGGAAGTACTGGCCAACAGAGGGGAGGCTGCTGCCAGATGGGTAGGTATTCTGTTTCCTTGGGAAAATGGATCCCTAGAGCTCGGTGGCAGCATCCTCCATTTTTCTCCCAGTCGCCGGTGGCTGAATGGACCAGTTTTCACCACAGCCCTCGCGGCGATCGCGTGCTGATGAGGGTACCTTGCGCTAGTTTGCGCTAGTAGGATTGGTTGACGGTTCAGGGCAACATTGTTGTTTTCTGGGACAACAAAAGCAGAGCTCGAGGATGCGAGGAGTGAAACCAGAACCAAGGAACAAGACAAGCCATTTTTCCTCTTCTTCCTCCTGAGAGGTGGATTTACAGTGGCTAGGGATGTCATTGCGAGTACATTTGCGTCCTTGCTGGGCAGACCCTGAGCGAAAAGTAAAAAATGAGCTCCAGAGACCACATCCACATCTACGATATTGATGTCTTCAACACCTGACAGCACTCCTCGGCATCAACAACGTCACGGTGGCTGGGTTTTCAAAGTTTCAAGGAAATCTTTCTTCTGAACACGTCACCGCCCACAAAATAGAGCCGAGTCGAGTCCCACGATTGCTTCTTCCTACCAGCTGGAAGACAGGTCAACTTTACCTGTGTCAAAGAGTGAAAACCTTATTTCTTTTTCAAAACTGTTAATGCTTGGTCCTGAAAAGTCAGCTCTGAGTCATGCTTTAAAGATCGTGAATTAAATTTTCAAATTCAATCCCGGAGGACCTTTGGACAGGTTCTTTTGCGTAGGCCCAGTACATTTTCTACAGCTGGACTTTACCTGTCTTAGATTTACCTGTTTCCCAGCTGGTAGCTTCCGCAACAGCTGCAAGTAATCAACCCAAACACCCAGCCCCACTCACTCCAGTACTCTCTTGGACAGCGGGTCAACAGCACCACAATGTAGCAGGCCCACCCACTTCTGCTTAAAAATTTAGTCATCACCAATGAGGTGGCGGATACGGTATACGGTATACAATGTAAACGTTGTAAACACTGTTGAGGTCTTTATGGATTGCACATGTGGCCAGCTCAAACGGTATACCATTTACCGCAGTTTTTCTCTTTGATATTTTTGTAAGGATAATTCAACACGGTTTACCGTGTACGGTAACGTTTCAATTATTTTGTGTACTGTTTACCGTTTACCGTTTATCTGCTGTGGCTTTGGGTTGTGCCTTGCTTCTTTGGAGACATCGCAGGAGAGAGGATACCGTATATCGTAAATCATCCAACCATCAGCTTTAAGTTGTAACACCATAAACCGTATATCGTACACAGTTATTGTCCTCTTTTGAACAAGTCAATGTATGAACGGTAAACGGTAAACAGTAAATTGTTCCCACGACGAACCGTAAACGGTATGGGCAAAAGGAAAGAACATTGATCAAACAGTATGCAATACAGTACAGATCAGATTTTGACTTTTACAGTGGAAGCACTTTGAATCAAGCTGCTTCCTCTTGTGGAGTAGTGGTAGATGGTATGACCACTACTAGCTAGTAGTAATCACAAGGAGATAGCAACAACAACAACACTGTTTGCTGTTGATGCAGAGGACTTGTGTTTTTTTCTTTTCTTCCTTGATTCACTAGCAAACACAAGACTAAACTGGCTAGCTACATTGTGGTGCTGTTGACCCCCTGTCAATAAGAGCTCTAATAAAAGTGTACAGTACAGTGGCCTCCGTGGATCCAATGTGGTGCCACAATCTATATGTTGGCCTCCGTGGATCCAATGTGGTGCCACAATCTATATGTTGGGGATTCGCGATTAGGGATTCAACCTGTACCTCTGTACTAGAATTTGATGCCAGTAGTAAAAGCTGGTAGCCCCCACCCACTTTTTCAATAGTATCTCAATAGCAAGTAAACTAGAAGAGAGCTTAGAGCAACTAACATACTATTGAAAAAGCGGTCTACTATCGATATCGAAGAAGCGAAGAAGCGAAGAGGAGCCTATCGAGTCAACGGTAGCAGGAAGAAGATCGCGACGCGAAGAGAAGAGGAGCGAGTATCGGCCGACGCCGAAGCCGAAGCCGACCGCCGATCGCGACGACGCAAGGATCCGAGGACGGATTGCGAGACGATAGAGACCAAGCCTGTCGAAGCATCGACAGCAACAGCGAGAAGACTGTCAAGGAACGACAGCAACAAGAGAAGAAGCCTGTCGAACGAACGACAGCAACGAGTGAAACCCTTCAGGACTGAAGGCATCCGAGGACGGATCAAGACTGCAGCCGACGACGACGCGAGTATCGGTCGACGACGGCAACAGCAAGAGTTTCATCGGCAGAATCCACAAGGATTGTCGATAGAAGAGCCGACAGCATCCAGCCGGAACTGTCAGAGCCAACAACAAGCGCGAAAGCCATAGTGCCAGCGCAGGGGCCAAAGGAAAGGCACCCAACAAGGAATCAACAATACAAAGAAACGGGTTCGGAGTGGAAACGACCGCACAGTGTGTGAAGCAATCGTTCCCTCCCTGCAAGATCTTTAGTAAATAGATTTAACACTCCCTAGCCAGGAGTATAATTTGAAGTTTATCGCCCCATAGCCATAAGACGAATAAGTAGTCGGACGAGAACTTAAATTAAAAGAGCTAGTCAATCAAAAAACAACGAATTGAAATAGTCCACCTACCGTAGCATAGACAATGAGCGGTAGAGGTAAAGGACGAGGTGGCCGAGGAGGCGGCAAAGCACGAGGGCATGGAAGAACCAGTCCATCGTCGAACCAGCAGAAAGGTTCATGCAAAGCCCTCGACCAACATGTGTTTAACTTCGGTACAACTGGATCTGGAACGGCAGACCAGATGATACGCACATGGGAGAAGATCGTCCTCCACGTTGGACAAACGATGGGTGACGACATGAGCAATGAGCTACGCAACCTGAAACAGACAGTGTTGGTAGCACCGGTGTACTCAGAGGAGACCCGGAACAGGCTTGACGCGGCCGCGGGACGACGTGAACAGAACAACCTTCGTCTCCTAACGGCGACCGAGGAAAGCCTAGAGCTACTGGAAGACGAGATAGCCGAGGTCATTGAAAACCCAACTCTCGGTAGCTTACGCACACTAACGATAGAGAAAGCAAAACTCGAATGAAATAGCCAACCTCACTGCAGCCATAGAAGATCACCGGACGAGGAACTCGGGGACTCGAGAAAGCAGAGTTTGGAGGGCTATGAAGACCCACTTACGAGGTTGGCAAAACTACAGAAAATAGAGGCAAAGCATCAACTTGATCCTAGGGCAGTGCACCCGACTATAAAGGACAAGATGAACAGAACACGGACTTCGATGACTCCTGTTAAGATGCGACCCACCGGAGCTACGAAAAATGATCCATAAGACGATCATGGCCCAGACCGATGATAATTTTGTGTACCACACATTATTCCAACTGGAAAACAACTGTTGAATTTCCACCAAGGAGCCTTACCGCTTCCGAATACCACGACAATTTACCACGAAAAGGACATTGCAAAATCGGGGTATTTCCAAGCTAAACGAGCAACCCTGCTGCATACGCAACTATCCACCCAAACACAGATACGCTGACCGGAGCGAGACCAGAAGAAAGTCTCGGAATACGCTGAAGAACGGCTATAGTTACATCTTCTTAAAAATAGTTCAGCCGAAAATACCAAGCTTAAACAGAACCTGAGGGACGACTTTGCCAAAGGCACTGATAACTATCCCCACACGTTACATGAGTATTACACCTTTTGGACAAACACACCAAGAGTAACACCCACGACAGTCCACTTCCCAGAAGCTCCTTTGCCAGACAGCACAAGGCGGGAGAGGACGGGGTGGTGGAGAGGAAAAGGCCGCGGAAACGCGAGTTATGATAAAGAATACTGGAAAGAGAAAGAATGCTTTTCCTGCCACGATAAAGGACATCCAGCATCGCACTGTCCTGACAAAGATAAAGACAAAGATAAAGACAAGATAAAGACAAAGACGACGGACAAGTCAGTCGAGCAAGCGTAGCAAGTCAAGCACGTCGAGCAAGAAAAGCTCTAGTAGCGTTCAAAGGAGAACCCTAGCTACTATCAGCAAATGCAAGATAAAATGACGACAAGCATTGACAACCCTGGAGGAAGAACAGGATGATGCCGACTCTGACATCACGCAGTCAGATGAAGAGAAAGTCGAAAAAGTTTCGTTACGTTCGACGTACCGCTGTTCGCGGACGGAACGAAGACGGAAACGAAGAAACCGACTAAGCAAGGCATAGTCGCCCACACAAAAGGATTGGACGACATAGATATGAGAGAGATCCAGCTACTGGACAACAGTCCACGTTGGATTTATTCTGTAATAAAGACATGGTTACCGACATCAGAAAGCCGATCGTCCAATTACAGTGAAGAGTCCGGAGGCAAGCTGAAGGTCCAGCACACAGCCAAGTTAGCTGCCACAAACAGAGATATGGTTCGATGAAAGAGAATCACGAACATCTTATCTGTTTAGAATGTCCGCAAGAATTCAACATCGTCTAGACTGCCGAAAGGAATCTACACAATCATTAGACCAGGCCTACCGACGTAGTATACGAAATGACAGTGAAGGATTACACGTTCATGACCCTAGGAAAAATGGGAAGGCACTTGTGAATAATGTCGCCGAAAATAAGGAAGGCTTCAGCAAACGACAAATTAAAGCCGCATCAAGGGCGAAGCTGCTATATAAGCAACTCGTCTATCATCGATTAAAGATTTCCGTGGGCGATTATGAGCAATCAAATCGCAATTGCCCTGTGACCGTCGAAGACATCGACACGGCACAAGCTATATGGGGAAGGATATTGATGCGTTGAAAGGCAAGACCACTCGAACGAAACCAACGCAGTGGCAGGCAATGCAATGAAAGTGCTGAGAGACTTTTTGCAATTACACAAGGATGTGTCCTAACGATGGACATTTCTTTGTGGCAGGAATTCCTTCCTGTTAACGCTAAGCCGTAAAATCGTTTTACAACATCTAGACACCTGCCCAACAGGAAGCTAGAGACCATCTAGAAGCAGTTAGGAGGTCCATCGATTTACAAGGCTCGTGGTTTTAGAATCCAGACCATTCATGTGGACAATGATTTGAGCCTCTGTCCAACACAATCATGGCAATGCCGGTGGACCGGTAGTGAACGTTGCCAGTGCTAACGAGCACGTACCCGAGATCGAACGTAGAATCCGGGTAGTCAGGAAAGGACACGAGCTGTCGGCATAGCCTACCGTTTAGCGCATGCCAAAAATATTAACCGTCAACTTGGTGTTACAAGTCGTCAACAGTTGACGTACTTTCAAGTAAGGCGGGGGTCAGCGAGACAATGAGCCCCGTATGATAATGATGGAGAGTCCCTGGACTATAAAAAGCACCTGAGCCTGCAGTTCGGAGACTACTGCCAGGTGCATGAAGAAAACTCGCCCCGTAACAGCATGGTAGGACGCACAAAGGCGGCCATCTGTATGGAACGAGCGGAAATAAGCAAGGAGCTACAAATTTATGAGCCTCCGCTCGGCAAGAAAATTACTCGGCATTATGGGACAAGATCCCAATGCCCGACACAGTGATACTAGAGTCAATCTATTAGGAAAAGATCAGCCTAAACTACTCGTTTTTACTGATGAAAAAATAGACCCATTGGTGATGTCGAATCACAGGAGTGGAAGGGGGAGAAAGCAATGACGCACCCCCACTACAATGATCCAAACCGATGAGGACTGGAGCGGATGCTGAACCATTGAAATGGAAGATGATACCCGACGATCCCCAGGACAACGTCAAAGACGACGAATCGATAGTCAACGAACCGAATGATGAAATCGGCGTTGAACGAAAATCGAAACGGAACCGGTTACAAACTATCGTCGAAACGGGAGGAACCGGAACCTACTACGGACCAACAGCCCCTGGACAGATCCCAGGAGTGGGTGTTGAACCCAAGCGGCACCTGAGCAGACGCCAGGAGTGGGCAGGTCTAGTAGAGTGAGGAACAAGCAAAGGAACGTATATTCCCAGCTTTGATGGAAAGAATATGAGACGCCAAACGTCCATACAACTGAACTTGTCTTGCCACCAGATGCACACATGTTCTAACACACAGTAGAAGAAGAACCTATGTGGTAGCAGCCATCATGACACAGTTTCATTGAAGGCTGGACTCAAGGAGTGGAAGGACAAAGCGCACGATGCAGCCTTTGCCGAGATGAAACAGTTACATCTCAGGGATACTTCCGTCCGAAGAAAATGAAGAACTCAGCGATATGGAACGCAAGAGTATCTAGAGTCACACCTGTTCCTAAATTGAAAAGGAACGGGAAGATCAAAGGCCGAGCGGTTGCAGGAGGCAAAAACAGCGTGACTTCATCTCCAAGGAAGAAGCAAGCTCGCCAACAGTGTTGACGAAGCAGTGTACTTCCTGCATAATCGACGTGAAGAGGAAAGGGATGTTGGTAATTGACATCCCGAACCCTTCATCCAGACACGAGCGAGGATGAAAAAGATATGTAATCATTAGAGTAAGAGGAGTACTAGTAGACATGCTGTGTGAAATAGCCCCAGATGTCTACAAACCGTTCGTGACAACGGATAAGAAAGGCAACAAGCAGTGCTACTGCAATGCTTGAATGCCATCTGGCACCATGGTAGCTAGCTACTATACTACCGTAAGTCCGGAAGACGATGGTCCGGAACGGATTTAGATTAATCCTTACGACCCATGTGTAGCCAACAGAATGGTGCACGGCAAGCAACAAACAGTGCTGGCATGTAGACGACTGTAAGCTTAGCCACAAGGACTCGAAGGTTAACGACCAGCTGATCCAAGTGCTTCGTGATGAATACGAAAGCATATTCGAGGACGGCATGGAGAGATGACGGTGACCGAGGAAAGGTCCACACGTATCTTTGCATGACCATAGACTTCAGACGAAAGGTCAATGCAACGTATCAATGTACAAGTACGTTGATGAAATCCTGGAAGCTTCGAGAAGGCATCGCCGAGGAAGGGGGCACGAAAACTAGAAGTAGTGCAGCCCGAAAGACCATTCAAGTAGACGAATCCTGCAAGAAGCTCCAACGAGCAAGGCAGACAACTTTCACAGCCTGGTGGTAAAGTGTTATTCGCTACGAAGAGAGCCCGACCAGACACAGGTACGGCATATCGTTCCTTACGACTAGAGTCAAGGAACCAGATAGGCACATTGGGATAAACTAGTCCACTCATGCAGTACATTAGATTACTAGAAAACTACCATTTCTCAAAGCCGACGGAAATGGCATATTGAAATGGTATGTTGATGGTTCTTCGGAGTCATCCAAACATGAGGGGTCATACCGGAGGTGGTTTGACCATGGGCACCGGTTACCCTTATCGACTTCGACGAAACAGAAGTTGAACAAGAGAAGCTCAACTGAGAGTGAACTCGTAGCAGTTGAGACCTGATGCCATCGATCCTTTGGACGAGGCGTTCCTTCGGGAGCAAGGCTATTAGTTAAAGAAACTATAGTCTATCAGGACAAAGAGTGCCATTCTTCTAGAGAAGACGGCAAAGCTTCTAGTAGAAACGAACGAAGCACATCACATTAGGTACTTCTTTGTGAGCGACAGAGTCGCAAAGAAGGAGATCAGTGGGACTGGTGTCCAACTGATGATATGGTTGCGGACTTCTGGACGAAGCCGAACCAAGGTCGACTGTTCAAACAGAACGTGGACAAGTTGATGGGTGTTGTGGAACACTCAGAGCCAGGGCACTCAGAGGAGGGTCACGGTCGGACAAGAAGGTCCGTTCAAAGAAGGAGCGCTAAGCGCAGTAAGTAAGTAAGCATGGTCGACGACTAGGACAAGCTCGACGACCACAGGAGTGTGTTGGGGATTCGCGATTAGGGATTCAACCTGTACCTCTGTACTAGAATTTGATGCCAGTAGTAAAAGCTGGTAGCCCCCACCCACTTTTTCAATAGTATCTCAATAGCAAGTAAACTAGAAGAGAGCTTAGAGCAACTAACACTATAGTAGAGGTGCAGATTTTTGGCCGTGGAGGTAAACAACCCTCGAGGTGCAAATTTTTGCCGAGTGAGTCTCCTCTATTCATTCTAGCTATTCATAGCTACGATGTGCCGTCGAGTAGCTCCCAACTTGCCCTGTCTCATGTCTCAAGATATGGATGTGTGGCTTAAATGAAGGGTTTTGAATGAATGCATCTCAGCATTTTCCAGAGACGTTTCTTGCTTGCTGGCTTGGAATTGGATTGAAGACTCTTTGGTCAATACAGCTACCGGTACTGATGGCTAGAAGCTTCTTGCAGCAATGGTAGACCTAGCTAGATAGAGTTTATGAAACCTGCGTATCTATAGCACAAAATTTTTCCCTTCTGAAGCTTGGCTGCTGGGACACAGCAGCTACCTGGTACCTTGCTTTGTTGATCAAATACTGTAATGCAGAAGTGTTGGCCACACCTTTCAAGCATCCCCTCAGGTTAATTGCTTGAGCTACCCTGGCTCCTCTAGCTGTCAAGTCTGTGGAAATGTTGACAGAGATCGAACTAGACAGCGAACAGGAACTGAAACCCCTTTGCGTTTCTGCAGTACTAGTCGGTACCGGTAGTTGCCAAACAAGATTGTAATTTCAGCTGATCAATAGAATTTTAGATTACAATCGTTGCTTCTGCTTTCATGAATGCCTTTTACAGTATCTTGTCTTGTCGCGAATGAGGCAGAATAAGTTATCGTGCGGTGTGCACAGACATTAGTTCATCCTACATTATCGTCAATCCTCTACAAATTCTGCATCATCCGGATTATCCTTCATAAAGTTCATGGCAAGTTGAAAGGATATTCCGGTGAGAATTCCAAGCTTCTGTTTGTGCGGAACCGTGGGCATCCATACCCATACTAGCATGAGGAATCCGACAAAGAAACCCAACAGGAATCCCCATAGAAAGTCTCTGTCGGTTCCCACCGTGGTTGCTCGAAAGAGGGGTGTGTCAGAGGAAAACCGCAAAAAGGGATTGTTTTGATTGAGATTGAATCGAAACTCCGACGTGGGTCCTTGTGCTTGCATCCAGGCGTCTTCCTGCAAGAGCCGTCGGCGTCGATTGTCGGATTCGTTGGCTTCCGAAGCCACCTCGGGATGAGCCTGTACATATCGATCGACATTTCTCGAGAAATACGATCGAATCGCCGCAATCTCACTCCGGCTGAGTCCGGTGGACCGCAAGCGATCAAATCCAATTCGTTCTCGACCTTCCTCTTCATCCGCGGAATCACCATTGTTGTTGTCATCATCGTCGTCACTATCGGCACCGGCTCGTACAGCTCTACCACCGGCACCCACACCAGTTCCACGGTAGCGTCTCGAAATTCCTCTCGCCAAGGCCGCTTGTTGTCCACCACGAACACCGGCGGCCGCCAAGACAGCATGCAAGACATCGCCATTTCGCACCGAAAATTCCCGCAGCGCCGAAGTATCCGGGGCCAAAAGTCGACCCTTGCAGATTAGGCGCAGGTACCGATCGTCCGCTTGTTCGCCAAGAGCATTCCTCACTGCTTCTTTCACCTGGGAAACACTGCTGGCGTCGTTGATGCGGATTTCGACATCTTTAAAGGACTTGATTCGGAGCGCCAAATTCATTCCTGATTCGTTGTTGCTACTGTTGCTGGTGCCGGATAGCAGCGTGTCGTCATGGTTGTCTTTTCCTCCAAGCAAAGGATCATTGTCTTCGTTGGTGGTGGACCGCAACATGGCAATACTGCAGTTCTAACGGAACCGGCGGACAAAGTTATTTGTGATGGTCATGCCGAGGTCCTTCAGCAAGGAAAATTCCAACCTGGTGTACAGTGGCGGAACCGTTAGACGTGGAGTTGAACAGGCCCGCGTTTGGAGGATGCTCGATGACTTCTTTCGCAGCTCGCGCAGGTGATGGAATCGAATCGTGAGCAACCAAAACAAAAGCAATCCTGATCGTTCCCATGCAAGATACTAGCTAGCCAGTAGGAGGGTTTGGTTCCTTGTCAAGGAGCTAAGTTTCTGCCAGGTCAAGGCTGATCTATCTAGTCGCTAGTAAAGCTAGCCAGCTAGTTAGATACATTGCAGATGGAAAGACAAGGGGATCGCTTGAGATGGTTTTGTTTGGATAGCAATAGATGTACCAATCCTTTCGGCACTGTTCTTGGTGATCCTTCCGTCCCGATCAGAGAAAGCAGGGCAATGGGTGGGGGAGTCACTACCGGTAGGGCTTCTATGAGGTACCGGTAGTGCGCCGAAAGCAAGAAGAGATCTAGAAAGAAAATTGCACCACTTCTAAAGTCAAAGATATATCATCTACATATTGCCACACGTAGCCAAAGCGTTCCTCAAGTAGTCCACTACTGTACTATTTACACGTGTAGATACTGATCAAACAGCCAAAAGCAAGCAAACCAGCCAGCTGCTGGTCTGTTTTGTTGCTGGGTACCGGTAACGCACCAATGGTATCCAGGCTTCCAGCAGAGAATGCAGTGACTGCTATCACTCAACTTGGAGATAAGATACACTACAAGGATAGCAACAACATCCATTCATTGCTACTCTCTAGCTAGAGCCAGATACCGGTAGTGATGTGTATGACATTGTATGTAGACTAGCTAGCAAAAGGGCATCCAAGTCAAGTCTCGAGAGTTTAGTCAAGCAAGCCGTGCTCGTGGGCTCGCGTGAGCCCAAGCGTGACACACTCCCCAGCAGCATGCAACCACACCATGATGAGAGGGCAATCCAAAAGGAAAATTCGTCTTGCTGTAGATCTACGTAGGTTTAGTACTGAGAGTCGAAGGGCTGACTTCGAGCTCGCCTCTTACGCTGTTTTTGTGTGGTGGGTTCTTGGGAACGGGGCAAGGAATCCGCAAAAAGGGGTTGGCCGTGTTATTTGTTGCCTTGCTATCTTTTTGCATGTTTAGTGCCAGTCAGGTCAGTCACCATCCTCAATAACATCCTATCCTACTGTATCCATTAGATCTCTTATTGGTGGCGACGGCGGAATAGGATACCTACATGACAACACACAACTCGGGCCTTCCCGAGGGAGGTGCCTACCAAGGCAATCAACAGCAGCAGCAGCAACAGCAGCAGCAAGCGGCGTCGAGAGCCACTAGCTCCAGTGGGGGCAGCAGTAGCGGATCGCGTGGCTTCAGTACCGAAGCCTATCAACAACAACACGCCCAAGCATCCAGGACAGCCGCTTTATCTCATCAAGCTGCTTTGGGAGTTCATCCAGCGGCGGCGTCACTAGCAGCAGCAAACCCTTTGACTGCCGCAGGATACAGTAGTTCGGCAGCGGCTGCTCATTTGGCTACTCAAAGTGGTTCTTCTGTCGTGCTCCCAGGCAGTTCTGGAATGCCTCGCATGGATATGAGACAACAGCAGCAACATCAGCAGCAACAACAACGCTCGGCTGCAGCTAGGTATCACCCTGGCCCTGTATCTATGCAATCTACTGCCATTTCGGCTGCTGTAGCTGTTCTGACGGGAGCTGCTGGGAATGATCGAGTGTCCCACGAACGCCCTCATCACCAATCACTCGCCGTTCAAGTTCAGAGAGACACTACTCGACAACATCAGCATCAACAGCAACAGCAACATGCTGCTGTGGCTGCAGCCGCCAGTGCTTTGAGACAACAGCAACATCAGCAACACAATCTCGGTCTACCGGTACATCATCAGGCACCCTCTCATCTTCCTGCACATCATCACCCTCCACCACACGCCTCTAGACCAGCAGCACATGCTGCTTTCGCTATGCACAACAGACAGCAACAAGTCACAGCTGCTACTATAGCACAGCAGCAACAACAACAGCAACACACTCTACAAACTGCACATCCACATTATGTTCACCATCGAAGGCATCACCATCCACATCACGCCCAGAATCATCATCACCCTCATCACACGACAAGTCACATACCGCAACAACAGCAACAACAAGTGCAACGGGTCAGAGATCATCAAGCAGCAGCGTCTAGGAGAGCTCAGGTAGTAGCTGCAGCACAAGCAGCTGCTGCACAACAAACAGCACGGAGTGCTCAAGTAGCAACGTCCTTAGCTAATCATCAGCGAAGACATCATCCATCGCAAGTAGTGCACAGTCATGCCCCAGCACATGTTCATCCTAAGGACGTAGCAGCGTCCAGACCCTTGCCGGCAGGTCAACCACCACCACAACAACAACAACCACACGCTCATCCTGCTGCTGCTCATGCACCCAGAAGTCTACCTCCAGCAGAACCGGCACAACCATATCCACCACCACCCGTGGCAGCTGATCTCGTCGATCAGTTTGATGATCCACATCCTCCTCCACGACAACATCCACCGGCGCCGACGAATCATCGAACGGCGCAGGAGGAGCGAATTGTACAGCAGAGGAGTGTACTTGTTGACAGATACGCTCCTTTTATTGCTGCATCAGATAAGTCACTAGGGGATGCTCGGAAAAGGCTACAAAAGGCCCATGAGCAAGTACAACTGCTAAGGGCGGCCTTCACCAAGCAGGTTTATGGGAAATACAGGGTATGCTTAAGACCGCCACAGACGTCGGAAGAAACGCTCACAGCCATCAAGGCAGATCCGGTCGCGGCGGCGCGGCGGTTAGAACAAGAGATTCGACAACTCAAACAAGAAAAAGAATACGAAAAGAAGGAGGCGACATCCGTCAATGCCGAAATGTCCAAACTGGATTCCGCCGTGATCCAATCTATTGGTGCGGACAATGCCGATCAAATTATGTACATCAGTGCCGGGCTGTCTCTTGTCATTCTGCCAGAAGAAAAGGACGTCGACCCCAAGATTCTGGCAGAGTACGAAGACAGGGGTCCAGTCCAATTAGGGACGGATCAACGGGTGAAAAATATCAGTCAAGCGGCAGCTTCGGCGGGGCAGATTATTGTAGAACGAACACGCAAGGCAGTGGGAGTTAGGGAGCTCCTCCTTCAACGGAGGTCCTTGTTGTCCAATCAAGAGCACAGTAGTATGCTCGTCGGGGTAACTGAGGAACCACCACTTGATCCTCGGATCATGGAGATAATCGTATCAAAGACAAAACCAGTGTCATCTACAGTCGCTGACAGCAAGAGCGCTCCGAATGTCGAAAGCAAAACCGTTGAGCCAGACCAACCGGCTGTCGCGGCAAAAGCCGCTGTTGCTGTCACAGTGCCGGTCCCAAAAACTGTGCCGACACCACCAAAAACTGAAGCTAGTGTGCCACCCTCTGGGCCGACAGAGCCACAATCCACGGTGGCTCCGGTATCTGCGCCATCTGATGTGGCAAAGGTCCCACAGAAGAAAATGGGCTCTACCAAAATTTCAGCAGTTAGCCTGCAGCAGCAGCTATCTGCTGCCAAGTTTGGTAGAGGCGGTGCTGGAATTTCAGTCAACATCTCCTTGAGTCTCAATCCTACCGCTGACGAGCTCAGCCTCGATCCCGACAAATCAATTCGCGCCTCGACTGCTGCCTTGCTATCCCGAGGGGCAAGCACCGCGCAAGGAACGAACAAAGCTTCGCCCCAACAGCGCCTCAAACATCCGCATCCAGAGTCGAGCGGAGGGAAGCAACGAGCTTCCAGCGCAACCTCTGCTAAGAAAGAGCTTGCAAGTCTGACACACGCAGTTGCACACCCCCAAAGCAGCCAACATCAGCATTCTTACTTGAGCCTAGCGTTACCGCCCCTGCCAACAACTCTCGAACGTCGTGAGAAAAAGCCACTGCCGTGCGTGGAGCATAGGTGCACCGCCAGAGCCAAAAAGGCAATTCAGTCGGTTCTTGGTCACCTGGATAATGCACCTGGATCTGGCCCTGTGACCAAGATTGGCGCGCTTTATAGAATCCAACAGTCCCGATCGAAAGATGCCGAGAACGAGACCACACCAGGAGAAAGGCTGATTGACCCGTCACTGGCATTCTCTGTGCTCCAAGCTATAGGGCTTGTAACTGAAAACGGGAAGAAAGATGCGCCGGACACACCGCCTTCAGTTTTGCTAGACAAGAAGGCAACAATAGTTCTGGGAGGGGATAAGCGCAAGTTGTCGTCTTTGACTACTTTGAATTCTTCGTGGAGTCGCATTGGCTTTGCTAAGCGACCGAGACTGTCGGATGCCTTCAAGAGCGATAAGGATGCCAAGGAAAGCACCGTGAAGAGGGAGCCAGTGATGAGATCTCCGAGTGTTGAAAATATTCGTGGGGGTGGCGAATTGATGTCTGACGCCAATAATGACGACCCAAATGGGGCTTCCGAATCTGATTCAAGAAAAGGAAATCATCGTAGCGGCAACGCTGCTTACAACAACCATGTATCTGCCAACAACATTTCCCAGGGAGTTCGACAAGCACAACCTCGATGGGAAGATCCCTCGCGGCAGTCGTTGGCTGTCATCAATTCTCAATTTGTAGCGGGAAACCAGTCGATTGTCGGTGGAAATCATGGGCACGTTGCTGTGGCAGCACCAGTAGCGCAGCTTCACCAAGCACATCAGGCCCCAGCCAATAATGATGCATATCACCAGGCTTCCAATTTTAACGCGATGCAGCTGGCACATCAACTGAGGCAGCACGCCTCGAATCATTCGAATCAGAATCACAACATGGCAGCAATGCAGTCTCGTCAACAAGGACAAGGGGATCTCCAGCAGGTTCCAAATTATTTCACTGGGATGCACCCGTCGGCGGCTTGGTCGTCGATGGGTAACTCAGCAGCAGCCATGGCTGCGGCACAATCGTCTTTGGCTGCCATGGGATTGTCGGTTCCAATGGGTGTGTATGATACTGCTCAAGATCGAGCAGCTCGAGCTATTCTCGTAAGAGAGCAACAGAACGTAGCAGCTGCGCATGCTGTGGCAGCACACCAGCAATCGATGGCGAATTCTGCCTTTGTTGGTGGTGCTGCAAACCCAGGGTTTGCTCCCACTCCATCGTCAGTTGCAAATGCTTCGACCCTCTTGAATTCCTCATCTTATCGTGTCGGAGCTCAAGGAAATTCACTTCAAGCACCTGTATTACCACAGCAAACGCGAAATGACATCTTGGCAGCGGCGTCAATGATGGCCCAACGTGACAATGGTTACAGACGCGCAGGGGCGGATGCACCGGGGAATTCGATCATGCAAGCGCAATTGAATGCAAGTACAGCCCCTGCTCCCGCTCCACAGAAGCGGAAGGCGGATAGCCCTGTTGTAGAGACCGCACCGCCTGCTCCTTCTCAGACCTCGGAAAACAAAGCGTCGTTGCCATCCGCTGCCAAAAAGCCCAGGCCAAACGACACCAACGATACGGGGGTTGCTGTGTCGCTTGAATCAAAAGTTGCTGCTCAGCCAGCCAAAAGCACCAAAAGCGCGACCACCTCTGAACCGAACTCGGTGGTACATGCAAACGTATCACAATCGCTCCAGCCTTCTGCGGCCCCTCCTGCCAAGACTCTGCCTTTGAAGAGTCAGGAGTCACAACCGGCGATGCCCAGAGGGGGAGCTCCGTCAACAGCAACAGCAGCCCCCTCGAAGGAAGCTCAACCCAGCGTAGCGTCTGCAAACAATTCCGTGAAAGTGGCTCCACCAGCCAGCTCAGTACAGGCAGTACCATCCCAGCCTTCTCTCAAAGCACCAACGACCCAATCGGTGGGGATTGCTGCGACGAATGCTGCATCCGGTCAGACCCCAGTGGTTCAGTCGAAGGTACTTCCTAGCCAAAGTGTAGCGAGGCCATCATCGACGAATGTTGCTCCAAACGCAATTGCGCAAACTCCGAAGGTAATAGTGCCCCAGCAAGCGAAGCCGCCTGAAAGGAAGAACCATGTAGCGTCCGTTGGCACAAAAGGAGGTCTGCAAATCGCTCCGACTGCAGCGCCGACCTCGCTCTCATCAGAATACAAGTCCCTGGTGCAGGCAGGGAAAGCACACGAAGCAATTGCTGCAGCGGCCTCGGAAGGGGCGAAAGTGTTCCCGACGAGGTCTGCCGGCATTGTTGAGTTCTTAGTTTCGGCCGGCACCTCCGTACCCATTCCCAAAGCAGTTGTCGCGTCATCTTTGAAAGACCGCCTTATCATTCCTGGATTTAAGAACCTGGCCACTGGCGCTGGGTTTGTTGTCCCGCGGGAGGTGAGCGAGCTTGTCCTGCAGAATCGATTTCCCGAATTCCTCGGCTGGCCCAGTCCAGGTCTCACCCTTTTTCTATTGCAATTCAGGCCGTTATTGCTGTGATCCTTGTATGGCTTTGGAAGAACCACGAAGCAGACTTCCAGCGAGCTTTCACTAAGAGTGGTCGCATCGATGTCGATCCGACTTGCAAATGGCTCGTTCACGCAGCAACCGATGCTAGCGTTCGAGCCTTGAAGCATTTCATTTCGGAATCCGTAAATCAACAGGCGGAGCCGGTGAACTCAGCAACAGACACCCTCTTGGAAGGATTTTCTGACAGTTCCATACCATCCGATGCGGCCGCTGTTCTTGTTGTCAGTAGGACCTTGACCGCGGATACCAGCATAGTTGTCGACACGGTAAGCTTGCCTGCCCATCGGTCGTTGCGAATGCCCACCTCAACTCGGCTCTGACTGGATGCGTTTCGTCCTCTGCTCTCTGTAGGATTATGCTTTGTCTCAGTTCCACGCGTTGACTCGATTTCTCGACGACTGTCGTCTGTCTGCCCTGCATTCTCGATCGCAAGAGCGAGTGCTCTTGGCTTCCTTGATATCCCTCAAATCGACGATGTCCGAGTCCTTTGCACATGCGTATGTCAGCTCCATGGTTCGTGCTGGGGATGCACTCGGCCACGAGGAACTGGCAGAAATAGTTAGCGACGAAGAAATGAAACTGTCGTCGATGTTGCCATATGACATCTTGCGAGACCAGCAAGGAAATTGGGAGGATCCATGTAGGCCAGCCGAGGGGTACAGCCCAAATCTTACAGGGGATGTGTTGACGAAAGTTGCCCATGCACGTGCCATGATCCAGAAGTCTTTGAGACGGTTGCAAGATCGCCACAACATCAAGGGTGGCACCCCAACCTTCGGAGCGTATATCGACCCACTCAGTGGACAAGGTCAATCGACCGCACCTGGATCTGCAGCATCCACAGCCAGTAGCAAGGCGGTGAATGGCACCAGCACTCCCAAAACTTGGAGCAGGCGAAAAGGTGCAACCATGTTCGTTGCCGAGGGTCCCGTCCCAAATGGCACTGGGTCAGCACAAGCCACAAACTGGTCCCTGTACGACCCGAAGCATTATTCCGCCCCTCTTTTGTGGAATTGCGATGCCGCTGAGAACACTCCTTATGGAAGCACAACGCAACTGAAACGCAGCGGATCAATGCAAGGAGCAAATCTCAAGAAGAAAGGTCCTTCAGCCACAGATGCCGAGGGGCAAATAGTCCCCAAGGAAATCTCACTTGGACGGACAACTCATGGAATTGACTGGCACACCATTGCTGACTATTTTGACCATGTCAAGCTCCCTGGTTCTGGTGGTGGTTCCGCCCCACAAGCTCCTGCCCCAGTGGATTCAGCGACACCAGCTCCGAACCTCAAGACAATCGTTTCTCCTTTCTGCCGAGTCCTCGAACATTCACCTGTCGCGAGTGATGATGAGTCTGATACCGAAGAAGATCTGAGCGATGAATCCGTTCTGGCTCGTCACCAGATAGTTCTTGATGGAATGAAGGAGAAGCTTACAGCCTTCATGGAAGCCCGCAAGCGACAGCAGGAACGGAAGAAAAATAGACAGAAGAGTAATTCATAATGCCGTAATATAGCGCAAGAATATAGACCTTTCATGTTCTCGTCCAAAGACGTTGTCTCTTTGCTCACTGTTGTTGTCCTAGAATTGAAGATGGAAGGAACAGCATTGAAATGTTAGAAAAACGAAAGCACGCAACAGCACGGCCAAGTACCGTCGCCGTCGTCAAAGGTTCTCTCACCACGGAAAAGCCAAATACCACGCAAGCGCATGGTCCAACTTGGGCCAATGAAGAACAAATACCAAAAGAAGCAGAAATTTGACTTCAAAAGCATCCAGTCCAGTGCAGCAAAATTACGATCGCCACCCATGGTACCATCGGTTGGGGCTGTACAGTGGCAGCATCCCATCGGATGCAGCAGAAGTGGAAAAGAGAAGGCTTTGCCAAAGGCACAAAACATCCTGGTCCACACAAGCCAAATCAGAGTCAACTGTCTTGAATTCGAGACAACATACACAAATGAAGGGCTGTCGGTGCCAAATAGAGGCCATTCAACACCATGGGTATCAACGAAATCAGCAACGAGAAAATATCGTCGATTCATTCAGTCGCACCTTAACCGGAAAAACTCGGGCACAGGACGAATCTGCCCCCATCATCAGCCCAATTATCTCCTTGCTCGTTGATAAAATCAAGTCAATTTGTTTGCCACCAGCAGACCAATCTCCACCAGCTGTAATGCTCCTTGACAGCAAGAGAGCAGCCGATTACGACGAGAAAGAAGAACACAGGAAGGAGCGCTTTGTTCACCATCACGGGACAAGTCTGGGTCGACTAACGACTCTAAGTCCTCTGTACTGTTAACGTCAGTCACGTCGTGGTGCCGTCCGGGACTGTTTGATGGCACAACAAAAGCCTACGAGCTGCTTGAACAGCAAGCGCTACAAGCTAGAAGCAAGACAGAATACATGTAGATGGCTTCTGGACGACTGCACACCGGTACCGGTAATTACTATCTGATTGATAACCAATACTATCCTACACTCTAAGTCCAGCTCAAACGCAGAGGGGAGACAGCTAATGTATGCATATCTCCGTCTCTCAAAGGGGGGTACCGGTGGTAGGATCTGCCACGGGCATTCACCAGAGCACTTCGAAAGCTTCTGCTTAAAAAGAACTTCCACGCCTCCAGTAGCCACGATCATAGACGCAATGGTCCTTCAGGTCGTCCCCCCAACCTTCTCGGCAGCTTCCATGGCAATGAACTCACCAAGCCAACATCCCACCTTCCCTGTGCTTGGTAGGGTATACTGCACTGGGTTCTATGGGAATCTGCCAGTTTGGAAGAGCTCAGGTTCAGCCTCCGGCACTTGCCATTCATTTCCAAACGCATCAGCATCTGTCATGACGGTTCCATTGCTTCCTCGACAATGCTGTGGTTCTTGGTTTGCTTCTCTAGCTAGAATTCGACAGCCAAGAGTCCCAGCACTGGATGTAACAGCTTCAGGACACAAAGCAAATGGCAAGCTTCCTACAAGGCAAAGCATCGACGTGTGCTTGCTAGTGTATTTTAAGTTCAATAACTGTGTTTAGTTATCAGGGCCTTCCTGGATCTATATAAAGAGCATGCGTCTCGCTCGTTTGCCCGCACGAGGACAATGAATAGAGATGCTTGTAATAAAGCAATCTCCTTCTCCATCTTTTGCCTTTGAGGTCTTGGACGTGGAGCGTAGCATTGCCTCACTCAAAGAGGAGCCAAGGAGCCAAAGTCCAACTTTGCACTCAGGAAAAGCCAGCAACAGCTGCCATACACCCAATGGCAATTTCAATTCCGTAATCTATGTGACACCGCATTGGCGTTCTGTCCTTAATTAATTTGAGCCCGCCACCGCACCTCGGCTTTCGTCTAACAATGCTGGCATCGGATCGGATGGCCGTTTCGGATGGCGGCACCTTTCGCGGTAAAACCGTGTTGACTCCATCACCAACGTTGATAGCAAGCACATCAACATGTGGAAGAGAGAAAGCAAAAGACCTCCTTTTCCTTTTCGTTTCCACTCATCACCACTAATACTAGCTAGTAGCAACCTTTGTCTTTCTGTTAACATCCTCTGAGAAATCGAAAGTCGAAAGCTAAGTTTTGCCGTTGTGGTTGTTATCTAATCTATCGATACCATGTCAGAGCCTGCCAACAATGGTGACCCGCCTCCACCCAAGAGTCCGCCCAAGGGAGGTATCCCCCATCCATCATCATCGAGTAGACCGAATAACAACATTCCCACCAGCAAGTCTTCACCACGGAGCCATGGCAACCCTCCACGAGCTCCGTTGGTATCCACTCCTGCCCGTGACCCGGTGGCGATGGTAGCCAAGCGAATGCAGCATTTGCAACTCCACGGCAGTACGTCACAGTTGTCTCCCTTGCCCAGCAGCATCCTCTCGGCAAGTTCGCCTATGCGAACCACGGTGACTCCTGGCAGGCATCATCAGTATGATCTGACCCCCGTCATGAAGAACACGTCCGAGCTACCAGGTGCTGCTGGCGGAGTAGACTTGGATCTGGAGCTGGACTTTGATCTGGACAAACTGGTAGATGCTAGGTGTAATGGTACTGCCAACAATAACATCAGCATGGTCTCCCCGGATGCTGGGGCTGCTGCAGGTGAGGGGCTGCACGGAGAACACTTGACCTTGCCAGATGATCTATTCAAGGGAGGAAACGTGTTTGCGAATCGACCGGGGCATTTGCCGCCATTAGCCAAGAGAGGTATTCTACCGGTCAACCAGAGGCGTGGGTCCACTGGAGGTGTCCCTCACTGCCATGGAGATTGGAGAGCTAGTCATACACATCAAAAAGAAACCATTCCCTCGGCTCTATCCAGCAACGACCCCCCTCCTCCTTGTACCAGTGTGATTCGAGCGCCCGAGTTGGCCTTCTTTCCGGAAGTTGAAGACCCCATCCCGTTTCCTCCGTCATCTGGCAAATCCAACACCTTTACGTCCATGAAACAGTACGAGAAACAGCTCCAGCACACTTGTACCGAACAGGAACCGCCCATGTCCGGACTTCGACCCTATCAGCCGTCGAGACAGGACCGCGGCATTGTGGATATTCCCCAAGAAGCACTCGACAGTATCTTTACGGCGCGACGAACGAACAGCGGTGATGGTCCCGAACTGGGCATTGATGGGACCTTCTCATCGACTGGTCCTACGGCAACGACGTACTCGGAGGATGCGGACGAGTGTCCTGGTCAAATGTCTCTGTTTGCTGCCATTCCCCTTGAAGATCGACAGTGGTCCATTCCTTCCATTCGCATGGCCAATCGATTGGGCGGTAGTATTGCCTCGTGTACTACTTACACGGATGAAGAGGATGAATCGCTGTTGCACTACAGGGATGATGCCAGCCTCAGTAGCATGGGGTCCTATACCAATGTCTTGACTCTTGGAGGAGGTGACGACATTCAAGGTGCGGCCTTTGTGGTGACAGTGACTCCCGACAAGCAGCAGCAGCAGCAGCTATGTTCCTTTGATAGCAACGAGCAACCGCAGCTCCCCTTTGCTACTAATCCTCCCGATGCTAGAGCCTTTGCGGCACGTGGACAAGAGTTTTTACAAGAGACCGAAGCTTTCAGTGAGGACACGGAAGATGATATTCGTGAGGACACGGTAGATGTCATTCAACCGCCTCGACACACGGAATCACGGTATCATCAAGAAAGGAGACGCCAAAAACGAAAGGAGCAACGTAACAGACAAGCCTACGAATGGCTCCGACAAGTCAAGGCTGGAGATGATGACGTGGCAGAAGCAGCCAGTTCCAAGTTCTTGCGCAGCAACGCTGCATCCATCTTTGCTGCTCCTCATGCGTCCCCTCTTGTGCTGGGAGGAGGTAGGCCCATGAAACGTCTTTCATCGGCAGCTGTGGAAACCGGCGCGTTTGCATTCTTGGCACACCAAGACAGTATGGAAGATCACGCAGAAAGCTTCCACAATATCCTTGCTACCAGTTAGTTAAGCAAGTGGGTGGAACAGGAAAGGCCAAGTTGCCTGGATCGATCGTTCCTCAGGATTGCCAAGGAGGACACGTATGTTGCTGTGGGTAGAGGGCAAATATATGTATGTATGTGTGCAGGCTTGCTAGGTCTCTTATTATATGATTTTACACTAAGAACTCCCTACTAGCTAGCTAGAAATAGGATTAGAAAGGATGTAAAAGAAGCTCCTTTGATGCGATCGACCGCAAGGTTCATGTAGGTTGGGGTCAGTGCGCGTTCTTTTTGTTCCAGTACATTTGATACTGAGGCAAAATCCTGCCACCACCCAGCCACAACAGCCAACCAACGCCTCATGAAAGGCGAAGCCGCGAAGCCGAGGCCCCATGAAAGACGAAGACAATACTGCAGCTGATAGTTAACCAAGATTGGCACACACCAGTCTATAGGCTCTTGAGGGTACGTAGGCAAAGAGCTACGTATTGAATTACATCAGCAGTAGTGGAGTCAGCAGAGTTTTGTGATCGATCAGAATCGAATCTGATGCTGTGGCATGGGAAAACTAAGAACAAGAACAGAAAGACGGAATTTCTGGCGATTGTCCTTCTCTTTCTAGCTGCATCGACGGCAACATCCTTTCAAATTGGCAGCAAGCTTGCTCGACCTGACTTGTTCAGGCATCGAAGCAGGCGACGGATACTTTTACGGCCCACTGCATCCCGGCCTGCAACCTCCTCGATTGCTGCCGTGGTCCTTCTACCCGATGTTGTACCAGGTTTTGGCTCTGAGACATTAGTTTGGTTGACGACAGCGTTGGGATCAGGGATTGTCTTTGCAGTGGCCTTGTTAAAGGCTGCCTCTCCAGTGGTTCGGGACGCTGAGTTATTGGAGAAGAAGACACGCGCTGTAGACGAGCTTCCAGAATTGGATGTGTGGATCAGCACCACGCCGGAAGAGGGAGAAGAAGTCAAGGCTGGGAATTACCCTGATGCATCAAAAAAAGTCAATAACAACGGTGCCAACGACGGGAAAAATCGAAATGGCATTAGGGTACCTGAAAATATTTCCCCTCAATCCACAGCATCCCAAATAGAAGATATCTTTGAGAATCCAGAACAAAATGTGGGCGCCACTACTAACCCAGATGCACGTCAAGCTGAACCAACAGGTTCTGCCGATTCGGAGACGATTGCAACAATCAGCCTAGAAGAAAAATCTGGTGTCAGCCCTCCATTAAACATGGATGATCATGTCAATGTCCAAAAGAGCATGGATACCCCAATCCGGAAAGATAGAACCGGGCCAGTCTCATCACCAAAGCCTGAGGACTCTATCAGTGAAACATCGGTTGCTTCAACATTCCAACAAGAGTACGAAGAGACTTCATCGAATTCACTTACACCAAACGAGGGAATCCCAACCCGAAATGAGAGCCCACCCGCAACGCGACATGCACCCAAACAGAGTCTAAGCAATCTACGTCTCATAGCTTCGCTACAAGATGCCGCACATGATGACATTTTGCCTGCTGATGAAGCAGATGAATTCGATAATGATTATCAACATGGAACAGAATTACAATCAGCTTCCGCCGCGACAAATCCACAAGAAGAAGCGGCAGTGCTGCATCCAACACGAGATGTTGCAACGGATGAAACGCCTGTCGCAGCTGAGGAAGTCTTGCTAGTTGGTGCGGAGGGCGATGAAATGGCGGTTTCGTTTGACATGCCAGCTGCAAAAGTCTCCGACGAGAACGAGGATGTCGTTTCGTCTGCATCTTCTCCGAGCGGCATGACGCCGGAGTTTGATGACCTGCTTGATCAAGAGGTGAATAATGATGAAAAGCCAACATCTTCAAAGAATTCAAAGAAGAGTCCATCGCAAGAGCTTCTTGACGCCATTGCTGCGAGCTCAGCCAGAGTCGAGTTTGATGAACTTGATGAACTCGATCCTGTTCCTACTGCAAGAGCCAAGGCCATCTTTTCTGGCTCCAAGCGGACAAGCCGCCCTCGAAACACCGAGATATCTGACTGGGTTCAAAAGTACCTGCAAAACCTTGCCATGCAACAAACACGTGAACTCTTGAATCGCAAGAATCCGTACATGCAAGTGTCCGCAGCGAGGGAGTCACCTCCACCGAACCGACAAGGAAGCAGTTTGCTCTTCGCCAATGCACCGGGGTCCGATAGAACAGCAATTCCTGCAAAAGTCGAGGAACCCAACGATTGCTTTTCCGACAACGACAACGATTCTATTCTTCCTCCTTCCTCCGTTGTGTCTTCCGAAAGTCTCCCAAAACTAGCCAAACGGAGCAGCAAGCAGCAAGTGAATGGGTTCAATGGACCAAAGAAGCATGACGATGTCGCGGTTGCAACTAATGACAGCAAGACGTATCTGGGTGAGCAGAAACGCCGAAAAAGCCGTCTTCCATTATTGAAGAAAATGTGCTCTGTGGCTTTGGTCGTGTTCTTGGGACGAAGGCTGTTTGGTACCTTGATCTCATCCGCATCAGCACTATTCTTCTGAAGCAAAAATGATGGATGCATCTGGCATCCATGTCTAATTAAGAGTATGTGTATACTGTGTACATACCGAGACGACTGCTGCATCCCCTCTCAACAAAATTCGCCAAGTACTCCGCAAGCAAATGTTACAACGCGCACTATGTATGCATGTAAGTATGGTCTCGTCTTGCCCACATTCCACTTCCGCCACACGCTCCTGGTGTACCATACCAGGTAGGAGAGAAAAAGAGATTACTTTAGGCTATACATTGAACAGTTGCTGCTGTATGCAGTTGATGTTGGAAGACTCCTCGTAAACTGTACTGATAGGACTTTTCGATCTCGCGAATGGAGATGGAGCTATTCCCTGCCCTAGCACTCCCAAGTTAGCTGATCAAGGCCAAAGTCCTGCGGGACAACAAGCAAGTCACACTTCTGCCTGGGCCTATACCACTGTTGCTTCTGGGTTTTCCACATCTAATTCATCTCTGCTTGGATCCTTTCCTGTTTTGCACCTGTGATCAATGAATGGCTCTTCCGCAAATGGGCAAAGGAAAGAATACCTGCCTGGATACCAACATATTCAATACATCCTGGAACTGAGCGGTAAAAGATTGCAGCTCCAAGCTACCTGCACATCTCCAGCGGTATCGGATGGATGATGAACAAGATAGTTCAACAAAACGAGAGTTGGGAGTGTCCAGCAACATATCCCGCAAAAAGAAAACTTTTCTAGCCAGTCAAAGTACATGCATGCCCATCCTTTGAAGAAACATCCAGTCAGAACCAAAATGCACCCAACAAGGGTGTGGCACCCAACAAGGGGTGTGGCTACCTCTGGAATTAGCCCTGGAAAGGGAATGGTTCCCACAGATTTGTGTGTAATGTGTAAAGGGATCTGTGCAGATCTTCTCGTGCACGCGCAAGCTTCGAAAATCGCCGTGGCCCAAGGTCAGGCAAACTCTTCTGCTGTGACCTGTGCAAGGTATAGGTACATGCAGCAAGCGGTACGAAAAGTATAGGTCCGAAACGCAATGGCACAAAGGCGCAGACACCTCGACCACTTACTGCTATCGTGGCTGTGCTATTCATGCAAGTTTAGCCAACTATGCTGCAGCCAGCCTGGTACTCCAGCCTTTGAGGATCGTGTTCTTGGCTGCTGACGAAAAGGGAAGACTCTGGAGTACTGCGAGAAAGCTTGGGAGCTTGGTTGCAAGTCGTGGGCTTCCAACTTTGTCGTACAGGCAGTAACAAATGGCTCGACCAGCAGCTTCATTGACACCGGCGGATGCATACAGGTGCAGACACCATCGTTGCAAATTTGGCAACCTAGGTCCTTGAGCTTTCTTTATTTGGAAATTTGGAGATCTAGAGAGAGATTCTGGACCTACCCATTAGTCGAGTCTCACCAAGCGCTGCTTTGCTTGTGTCTGCTGGCTAGCTAGCTACCATATTGTATCTTGCCAGATTCTGCAGAACTATACATGTACCCGAATGCATAGTCTTGATGACAACAAGAACGGTCTTGACTTGACTCCTGCGCTAGCTATCGTCTCGTGTGCATGTACATCATGGTCACATACAACGCGGGTCGTGCCTCATGCCTTTTACCAAGTCCCAGTACACCACGGAGACTTAAAGAAGTCATTTTTTACTTTAATTCCCAACATTGCTATAGGCATAACTTCTATGCCATTTACTAAATCTCAAATGTACCAAGGAGCATTTCGGCAACTGGAAGAACAGCATTCGATACGAACGGAAGTCTTGTTTCTTTCTGGCGTCCATCACTAAAATAAAGAAGGAAGCGTCATTGACGTTGTGTGTGCTGTTGTTTGTATTAGCATTGCTGTTGTTGTTGTTTGAATATTATAGTATACTAGAGTTCTGGAGAGAAAGCAACCAACCATGGGCAATCAACCATCATCTGGCGAAGGCGGAGGCGTGGGTAGTACCACCAGCAACAAGGTCCGCGGTTTTATGGGCAAGGGACTGTTGGGGTTGAGCAAGGCAGAGCTGGATGAACGCTGTCGACCCAGTGGGTGAGTGCGGAATGTCGTTTCATTTTTCATGTATGTTGTTCAGGTGGAATGATGGTGGTTCTGAACGGAGATGATGAGCAACTATATACTCGCTTGGGAGAGGAGGAAAGAAAGGATCTGCAGTCCTTTCACGATAGATCTTTTGCGGACAGACACGAGTGACTTGACGCTATTTCGTCGAAAGATAGATGAAGTCTTGGACTTCTGTTCGTTGAAGAAGCGTCTGCATGTAGTAGACTAGGAAGAGGATGTGTCTGTCAAGTTGCTGTTGTCAACTTCCCTTACGGCTTTGTCATTTTCGTCTAATTCTTTTTCTTCTTTCATGTCATTTTCCTGCCTTCCTCCTGTACTAGTCTCTACCCCAGCTGCCAGTGGGAAGACAAGGCGGTCCGCAAGTTGATTGGCGATGGCAAATTGTCGGCTCGTTTGCGCGGCACGGAGAATCGTTCGTCTCCTACGGATCGCGAATGTCCCATTTGTTTTCTGCAGTACAAAGAAGTCAACACGACAAAGTGCTGTTCGGCATTTATCTGCACCGAGTGCTATCTCCAAGTGAGACCGCAAAAGGCCAAATCACCCAGTTGTCCCTTTTGCAATCACAGTAAATTCTCGGTGACGGTCGCTCAAGCCATGAACGCCGAAGCCATGTTGTTGCGCGAAGAAACTGAACAACGAGTCATTGAAGCCAAAATTAGAGAACAGCAAAGCCAACAAAACAGTAACTCTCCCAATGGTGACAACAAGGCTGGTGGTGCCGCTGAAAAGAATTCCTTTGGATCGTCACTCGAACAAAATGAACGAATAGCCACACTCCGCGCACGATCTTCCAGTCTCTCCGATCAACAAGAGAATTTCGAATCCATTCCAGAAGATGTCTTGAGAGAATCCTTTGCCATGACACCCGAAGAACGACGCATGCTCGAAGACGAAATGAGAGCACAGCATTCTCATCCGCTCTCACTCAGACTCGAAGCGGAAGCGGAAGAACGACGCATTCAAAATGAACAAGAGTTCTTGCGCAATAATCCAACTCATGCCTTTTTGGAACAACAACGGCGGTATCGATCCGCACGGGCCAGTGGTAGTAGAACAACCGGTGGTGCCGAGCCACCCCGAAGAAATTGGAATCAAATTGTTGAAGCCTTTGAACGGGGTGGACATGGTGAAGTCAACTCATTGGATGATTTGGTCGTCTTGGAAGCGGCCATGATCCTAAGTATGGAAGAAGAAGGCCGACGTCGTGGCAGCAATAGTGCTGCGCCAGACGGAGCCGCAGAACCCTTTGACGCCAATCGACACGCCAATGAAGGATTCCCTCTGGTGCGATCCATACTCTCGGGGCGTCAATCCGGGACAGCAACGCGGGATGAGGATCAAATTCAAAACTTGGCCAATAGTATCTACAATTCTCGACGACGAAGTGGACGAAACTCTCTCTTGCGGGCGGCGTACGGGGCTGGCAACAACAACAATACTAATAATGCCAATGCACCCAACAACAACAACAATACTGCCAATGCACCCAACAACAATCAATTGGATACCGCCATGGATACCGCAGGATTGTTAATGCGAGGAATTTCCGAAGATGATCAGATTGCCATGGCCATTGCGGCTAGTTTGCAGGAACAGAGTCAACCCAATGAAGAGGAAGGCGGGGAGGAAAATGAAACCAGTGGCGGCGAGAACGATGACGCAGAAGGCGAAACGAGCGCGCAGGAGCCAGAATCGAGCGGCAACACAGCGGAGGAACTACAAGCATCAGAGGACGCTGCAGTAGAGGCGGCCTTGGAATCGGCCGAAGCCACAAGTACCGAGGCAACAGAGACCGCGCCAGAGGAACCCTCCAACACTACAGAACCAACGAACGCTCCCGCTGACGCGGGTGCAAGTGATGTCCCAGCCGAGTCTTTGGATGACGAAAACCATGGGGGCGCAAGTTGAGTTTTGAAATGGATGGTGGCTGCTGCAGTGGCGCGACCAGCCCTCTTGCTTGCTTCGAAAAAGTCACTGTGTGCTCGCTGTATTGCCACGTGAAGCACCAGCGATGGCCGTTGTACCGTACATGATGTGGCAACGATTCGATTGAATTCTAGTGGAGCCTTCGATTGGAGCAGGCATGGGAGGCCTTGGAACGAAACTCGACTTGGTGGAGAACATTAATTTGCTATGACTTGGTTGTCTTGCAGCAGCAGTGTTGTATTTGCCCACCACAAAGTCGGTCAGCTCTGCTACTAGAAGCAAATTTTATGCATGCACGAAATGAATCGAATCAATCCAGTATCGTATCTAGGTTATCTACTCGGGAGGCCTTCGAACGAAACTGGACCTGGTGGAGAACATTTGCTGCGACTCGACTTGACTCGGTTGTCGTGCAGCAGCAGTACCGGTACCGGTAGCAGTGTTGTTTACCCACCCACCACAAAGTCAGTCAGCTCTATACCTAGAAGCAAATTTCTATGCATGCACAACGATTCCAGTATCGTATCTATGTTATCTAGCTACCGTAGGGAAGCCTTCGAACGAAACTCCACTCGGAGAAGATTTGCAAAGTCAGTCAGCTCTACTAATAGCTACTAGGTTCCAATTTTATGAATGAGCGAATGAATTTTAAAATCCAGTATCGTATCTAGGTTATCTAAACGAAACTCGACTTAGTGGAGAATATTTATTGGTGTTAGGATCCACCTAAAAGTGCTGTGACAGAGCTGTCTGCCAGCAGCAGTGTTGTATTTAGCCACCCCAAAAGTCAGTCTGCTCTACTGCTACAAGCAAATTATAAAATATGCACACACAAATTGAATCCGGTATCGTATCTATGTATGTTATCCAGCTAGAAAAGTAGGTATTGAAAAAGGACAAGATGGCCTCTCGCAGTTGGTTCATTCAAGTTCGTTTGTGTCCGGGGCCACTGCTGTCTGCTTCGAAAGGACAACAAGTTGGGGTGCACTTCTACAGCATCGAAGGAAGTTGACTCACTCTCAAGCTAGCCATCGTTTGGATAGCATACCCATCGCGACAGCTAGCTATCTAGTACTGATCATATTCTGGGGCTGGGCGAAACGGCGCTCCCTGGACATCCTCGCCGTCAGGTCCTGTGACTCGGACTGCCCTCTTTCGGCCCTGCTGGTCCAATTCTTCAAAGTACTCCACTTCTTCTCCATCCGCCAAGCTACGGAATCCCTGGGATTTAATGGCAGTCTGTACAACAACAGAACAAGAATTGAAGCATTAGTTCGTTTAGTTCAACAAACAGATAACAGATGCCGTAGAGGTAGCAAACTGTAGGGTACACACCTGATGCACAAAAACATCTCCTGATCCGTCCGTGGGAGAAATAAAGCCAAACCCTTTCATGGTATTGAACCTACAGAACGAAGAGGATGAATCACCGGAATTGTCAGATGGTGTAATACAGTTTGGATAAGCCCCAGAGCACACATTTATAAAAGAGATGATGAGACAGAATCTGCATAGACTTACCATTTGACGGTTCCTGTTTTTAAATCCTCAGAATCACTCATGAATAGAGCTGTGTTGGACGTCGCTGAAGTTCTCAACGGAGACACGAAAGCACTTCCAGATAGGGCTAGAAGCGCCAGCACAAGGAGTTTTAGCATGGTGTTAGTGGAAGTCATCTTGTCGAGAATATATCTGTGGGAAGCAAATAATAAATGAAAGAGACGTGAAGCCGATCGACTTGGGAGGCAACAATACCGTAGAACAGTCAGAGAGATACTCTATCCAGGTGGAAGTCTAATGGACGGGTGGGAAGGGAGCGGTCAAATCAAGGGAAGGAATGTTCCGAAAAGATACGCACATCATTCCTTGACACCGATGGTTGCAGGCAGCCCAACCCAGATGACGATGAGTCGACCGACAGACGTTGGTGTCAGTCGAGTCGGCACGCAAGAGCGCTGGCTTTTTAACGACTAATCGCTTTCCCGTCTCGAGATCGCATTCCGCATCGCATTGCTTCAAAGGCCGCACCATCGCTCTTGGTTTCCTTTGCTCCAGCCTCTTTCCTTATCTTATTGCTCTGTCTACTACCAGGTAGCTAGGCTTAAACCTCAATCTATTGTGCCATTGATCAACCTAACAGGACGCGAGATAGGAAGATGGCGGCAGCAATGAAAATGGACGAACTGATGGTTCAGTGGTTGACCTCAGATACCATGTATGAGAATGTTTTGAATTTGATCGAAGAGAACAAATTGGCGGCCCAAAAGCAGCAACAACAACAGCAGCAACAGCAGCAGCAACAACAACAGCAGCAGCAGCAGAAGCAACTGAATCAAGAAGATGACGATGGAGCTGTGGAAAATGACAAGGATTCCTTGACCAAGGATGCTTCCGAAGATGGCAATAGCAATTCGTCTCCACGGTGTGTCATTCCCAAATTCTATTTGGGAGATCCCTCTCGTCCTAGGCGTCGGAGGCGATTGCTGCCCATGCCTCAGAGCGATACCTGGGAACCTCTTCCAGAAGGAGAGAAACAGCCAGACCGGCCCTTTACGGATTTGGGCAGCAATAATAGTAACAACAACAATGCCGCATTGGGATTGTCCGGTGAAGACGCATCGCCCGAGATCACAACCGTGCCTTCCTCGACGCCCATGATGTGTGTCCGAGATCAAGTACAGGCCGTCTACAAGGAAATTGGACAAGGAGGGGATGATCTCCACCAAAAGTACATTCCTGTGGCAGAATTTGTCCGTGTCGCCAAGGATATTCTCCGATTTCCCACCTTTTTTAATGTACCACTTTGTCAGCGACTCTTGCTGCTCTGGCGGACTCACAAGAATATCAATTCGCCCACTATAATGGAAGAACCCGCACCTGAAGAACCCATTACTTACGAAATGGTGGCTTGGTTCTGGATGAAAGAGATGGAACCCTTTGATCCCCAGGAACGCTTCTTTCGGCTCTGCAAACAACCCCATGCCGAGTACATTGTTCGGGATGACTTTTTGCCCTTTATCAAAGCTCTTTTGAGTGATCATCCGGTACGTTGAATTATGGCATTCAGTTTTGTCGTTCAATTGTATGTATATATGCCATTGTTTGAATGATCTGATGGGTTTGTTTCTTCCTTTCATTTCGTTTCAGGGTTTGGAATTCTTGAGCAATCATGCTGAATTCCAAGAAAAGTACGCTGTGACTGTCATTACTCGCATCTTTTACTGCGTCAACAAGTGCCATTCGGGACGCATCACGTGTCGACAAATCAGACGCAGTGACCTACTCGATGCCTTCTTGCAGGTAGACGAAGAGGAAGACATCAACAAGGTTACACGATACTTCTCCTACGAACACTTTTACGTGCTCTACTGCCGATTCTGGGAACTAGATCACGATAGGGATTACCGTATCACACGCGAGGACTTGTTAAAGTATGGAGATCATTCGCTCAGTCACATGATTGTGGATCGGATCTTTGATGCTGCTCCTCGACCTTTTGAACATCCTGCTGCGTTGGACAACGACGAAGATGGCAATCAACAGCCGCCGCCCATCAATCGCGAATACCTCTCTTACGAAGACTTTATCTATTTCATGTTAAGCGAAGAAGACAAAGCCAATGATGTCAGTGTTCGATACTGGTTTACCTGTGTCGATGTGGATGGTGACGACCGTCTCAACAATATGGAGATGCGCAGCTTTTATGCCGTGCAGTTACATCGCATGCAATGCATGGGACACGAAATCGTACCCTTTGAAGATATGCTGTGTCAAATGATGGATATGATCAAACCGGCATCGACCGACTATCTCATCGTGGAAGATTTCTTGCAAACGGAATGTGCTCCCGTCGCTGGAGCTCTTTTTGATGCTTTGTTCAACCTCAACAAGTATCTGCTATTTGAGCAGAGGGATCCCTTTGTGGAACGGCAAAAGCGCGAAGACGAATTCGAAACCGACTGGGATCGATTCGCTTGCATTGATTACAACCGGTTGGCCATGGAGGAGGAGGCCCGGGAGGAAGAGGCTATGGAGATCGACTGGGTTACTGTGGACGATGAAGAAGAAGATGGTCTTGTTGGCAGCAATGCTGTGGTGGGAGGCAATCACGGAATGCAGATGCAAGTACAACAACCTGATGATTACATGGGCGCTGGTGGTTACGGCGGAGGTGGTGTTTCCAGCAGCGAAGCGCCTTTCTGAATTGCTTCTTTATTATTCCTTTAGACCGGAGAAGAAGTTGCACTCTCCTCGCCTTATCGGGTCTTACCAACATTACCAATATAACAGTTACTGATCTTTAGAATAACCTACGCCGTTGAGCACGCTTGTATCTGAAGCTAGAAAGCACTTTCTAAACGGATATTAACGCGCTGTCCACGGGCTCGGGGATGGAATGTTTTCCGCACGTAGGCATGCTGAGAGCGTTGTCGCTTTCGTCTTTGAGGGCTTGGGCTCTTTGCTGGTCAGCGCCTCTTCACAGTCGTAGTCGCAGCACCGGAAAACCAATGGGCCCCGTCTATTACCGGTACCGGTACCAGTATGCAAGTGACTGATACATTTAGTTATTTGAGTGTTTTCGGTGCAGTGCATGCGCGGCAGGCACGGCTGCGCTGAGAGCGTTGTCTTTTAGAACACAAAACTGGGACAACTTCTATTAGGATACAAGGATCCAGGCTTGCCCTACAATAGATGCAACTATGATTATGAACTACCACAACTAGCTAGTACCACTACAACTACTATAAAGAATGAAGCAATGATTTTGTTTTGTAAAGATTGTCTACTATGTGTTATTGTTCTATATCTATGTTTGGTTGTATTTAAAAAGATTGTTGCATTGCATCAACAATGATAGAGGTTGGTTGTCAGGTGTCACGGGTATTAACTTTGGACTTTCGTCGCGTGGAGGACGTTCGGACAAGCACTCTGCAATAGAGGCTGCCTAGCACAGGAACCACAAACCTGGCTACCTTGTATGTGACCCTTCAATTGAACCAACAGTATTCATCTCCGCAAAAAAATGTTGTATAGCCCTGCACCCCACCAGATGCTTGCTCTTTGTGTATTGTATTATGTGTTAGTAGTCCCCACAATCCGTCGTCGCCGCCCCACTTACCTGTTGTCGTCCTAGACTGGAATGTACCGGTCAGGCTTTCGTACTCGCCGTCCAGAACGACTTGTTGTTGTTGTTGTTGTTGTTGTTGTTGTTGTTGTTGTTGTTGTTGTTGTCTGAACTGTTGTTTGCTGCTGTGTGTCCGTCACAGGTGTCGTCGTCTTCTTCTTGCCCTTCGCCTTTGGCTTTGTCGACTTTTTCGTCTTGGCCATGCCTCTATGATTAATTCTAGGTTGTTCTGCCACCCGCCGTGGCTTTGTCTTGATTTGCTCTGCGATTCTCTGAGATGCAATCGCCGCCATGCGTCTCTTTGACCGCCGCAATGTTGATTGTGCTGTGTCCACGTCATTGTCCTCCTCATCGACTCGGTTGTCGACCAGTGGTTCATCAGCATCAACTTGCTGTTGTTCCTCGACCTCGACCAGTGGTTCTTCAGCTTCCACTTGGCCAGTCACGAATTCGTAATCCGTCTCGACCGAGGCAACACCTGCCTCCAAGCGTAGTGTCTTGTGCCGCCGCATGAATTCTTTGACAAGGTCTCCACCATCCTTCATCAATGCTGCGAGAATGTCATTGGGTACCACTCCAAGTAGCACACCGTTCACCATTCGCATCTTCAATACAAATGGTTGTTGTCCATGCACATTGATCTTGAAGTGTTTCACATGCCACTTTTGAACGTATGGCACCACTGCTGTGCATGTGGGAACCACCACTGCTTCGAATGTGATTGTGGCATCGGATGCCATCTTGTTGTCGCCGACGGTCGAGCCTGTTTCTATTGTCTCAATGTTTTTAGTTGTTTGTTGTTCTACTACTATGGGTGCTGCATCTTCCATGCAGACATCCTTGACCTTGCGATAGACAAATCGTCGTTTGGCAATCTGTTCTCGCGTATTCAAGGTGCAAATTTCGTCGTCAGCGTTGCGCTGAATTCCACCGAGATGCAAGTGGCACATGGCGAGTTCGAACATGTAAGTGTTCTTTTCGTTGACCATGAACCAGTGGGCGACTTGCTTGTCATTTCCTTTCTTCGCCTTGATGAAACGAACAAGTGCCTCGAGGTCTTGATGCACGGCATCAATTTCAATGTACAGTTTTGCTTGTTTTAGGTACGCTTTGTCGCTTTGGAACCATTGGTTGTTGGTGATCCATTTGGTCACTTGTTGGTATCCGTACTCTTGAATCAACTGCACAAGATCCAAGACGCGTTCGTGGGGTGAGGGTGTGCCGACGGAAAGGAATTGTTGTTGGGCTTCATGCCAGAATTCATATCGGGCCTGTGGCACATGTTGGTTCATGGCTCGATAGACACGGCTGTTTTCCTCTTGTTCACTCTCATCAGAAGAGTACCCCAATACAGTGTTGACGGGAGCAAAGGATAAACGGTTTCCATTGCTACGTTCGGTGTCTTGACCGTAATGGGTCTTCCAGCGAGCGTTGGCTGATTGACTGGGTTTGATGTGACAGCCCTTGGGCCGGTGCTGGTTGTATTTGTCGTATCCGTAGTGACCATGCTGATCCAAAGGAACCAGGGAAAGGTCGTAGGCACCTAGGTAGTTACCGTGCTGCTGGAATTCCACATCAGGATGCTCTCCGTGCAACAGTGCTGCGGTTTCGATGACCGACTTGTCCAACTCGTCCAGTTGGAATGTTGGGACTTCCTCTGCGACAGGAACATCCTTGTTGTTGTTGTTGCCCGTCATCTCCTTGGCAACCTGGAGAACGGGGGTCTTCTTGATGTTGCTGGTGTTGTTGTCGGTGGTCCATGACCACGAGATCAGCTTGATGATAGAAGAAGAGAACTTCATTTTGCAATTGATAGGTATTGAATAGAAGATTGATAGAAAGGTACTTGAAAGTAGGGGGGTTGATCTGGCCTAGGCTTATCAACAATCGCGAAAGTCTTCCTTGTTCGGTTGGGTATGCAACTCTAGCAATCCGGTTGAACAAAAAAGTGAGCTCATCATGGTGACATCCCATTTTTCCACCTCCAAATTGGGATGACAGATTCTGCCAGATGGAAAACAACAGGTGACAAGATGAGACTGGACCACCGATGAGCACTGATTTCATGCTCTAGACTGCCCAACAACACAGTTCCTGGGGCTCTCAGAGCACCAACTGGTACAGTCATAGTCTGGATGATGACTGGCTACTAGCTAGACAACGGGTTGTTGTGTTGTTTGTTGCGGATTGCCGAGCTGCGGAGCCACGGAGTGGCCTTCGGTCGTCGTGCGACGTCTTGTCGATTCGATTCGATTCGATTCGAATCGAGTCGATTATTCGAATCGATTCATTCAATGTGAGTCGAGTCACCGAAATCGGTACCACCATGATGTACCGGTACCGTACAGTACCTGGTACCTGGTACCAGGTACCAGGACGGTTAAGCAAAAGTGGAAAAAGTTGGATTTTTGGGTAAACTGGACTTGAAGGTTCCCCTATTCTTAAACAAGTTGTCTACTTTTCACCCTTGTTGAAAAGTGTTGAAAAGAGGTTCATAATTGTTGAAAAACTGTTGAATAAGTGTTGAATCGTGTTGAAACCCTGTTGAATTACTGTTGAATCTATAGTCAGTGGAAGTGTGGAAGTTGTTGAATATGTGTTGAATCCCTGTTGAAAAATGTTAAATCTCTGTTGAATTAGTGTTTAAAGGATATTCAACAGTGTTGAACCAATTTCAACAGTTTCAGTGCTGTTAAATCTAACAATTCAAAACTTCAACACTTTTCCTTTCGAAAACCCCATTTTCCCCAAAGTCAACTTTTACTTAACCGTCCAGGTTCCGGTATGGTGCAACGGTACGTACCGTAGGAGACAAGCTGAAAAGTGGTCTGAAATAATGATTACAGGGAGCGAAGCTAGCACTGGTGGCTAGACTTGGCACGGTACTTGTAGCGGTACCAATTGTAGCTCTTTTCTATCTTGTGGATGACAGAAGGATGGTCAATGATTAGACTACAAGAGAAGATGGAAGTGTAATACAAGCTTCTATTTACAGTAAAGCGTACAATGGCATAGAGATAGAAACCAAAAATTCCCACAACACCAAACTGATTCGATTGAATCGTTCAGGTGCCTACATGGTCGACCAAACATCGTTCCTAGGATTGTGTTGACATGGCCTCGAGCGCCTCTTCACATACGGACTTCAGCTCCTCGTTCTCGGCTATCAGTTCTTCCTTTTCTTTCGTAAGGGTGGCAAGAAGGTCTTGAACAGAGCGGCTGTTCTTTTCCGCCTCTGTCAATCTACTCTGCAAATCTCTCTCGGCGGCCCTCAAGGCTTCCAAATCTCCGAAGTAGTCTTTTGCGCTCCGAGCGGCATCGGCATCTGCTTTGGCATGTTCTGAAAGAAGCAATATAGATGAGATTAGGACCAAACAAGACACCCGACGCTCACTGCAGTGGTAGGCACTTACCTGCTTTCATTTCGGCCAAGTCAGAGCCGAGGCTTGCGATGCGGGTCGCATGGTCTTGTTGCAGTTCCTCCAAAGCTTGTTGCGTTGCGGCAAGCTCAGTTTCCAATTCGGTTACCTTAGCCGCGGCGCTTTTGTAGTTCTGAGTCATTGTTCGATACAGGGCGTTAAAGTGTTCAAACTGCTGCTCTGCTTCTTGTATGGTTTCAGTTCTAGCCTCTTCGACTGCGTTCTCCCTCTTGATCCGTTCTGACTCCAAAACGTTTTCATAAGCTTCCCGAAGAGTTTCCAGCTCAACCTGTCGAGCTTCTGCCAATTCCTGGGCCGTGAGCAATGCGTCTCGAGCTTCTTCAAGGTTTTGTTTGGCAGCTTGCTCGATGGACAGGATCCGTGTTTGTGACTCAGCTAGCTGTGCACCCAAAGCAGCAATGATGGCATCTTTCTCCTTCACCGAGTTTTCCTTCACGCTAACACTTTCGCTGTGCTCCGCTTCCACCTCGTCCAAACTTTTCAGCAGCTCATCGATTTCTCTGCTATGCTCGTCGCGGAGTTTTCGAACTTGCGCCTCGCAGCTTTTGATTGTTGCATTGGCCTTTTCTTCAAGCTCTGCAGTGCGTTTCAAGAGCTCCTCGTGAAAGTTGCCGGATCGGATTTTGAGCAGCTTCTCGATTCTTTCACATTCCGCACGATTTGCCTCCAGTTGCGATTTGAGCTCTCTGATAGTATCGCCTTTGCTTGATGACTCTGTCGTTGATACTTCAAGCTCTTCTTTCAGTCTGGCGCTTTCTGCACGCGCCGTTTCTAGTTCCTCGAGTGATTCACTCTGGAGGTCGAGTTCTCGGGTGAGACTCTCAACGGTAGTTTTCAGTGAAGTCACCTTGTGGCTCAGCTTTTCTTTTTCTGTGGCAAGCGATGCCATCTTTTCGTTTGCCTCTACCATGGATTGGAATGCTTGCCGTGACTCTTCGTTGGCTTTGGAAACAGCGTCCAAGGCATCGGCAAGCTCTATTTTCACTGACTCCTTTTCCGAATGAGCAACAGTGACTGCGGTTAGTTGAGTCCCCTCCAAATCAGAAATCTTGCTCTGGAGCTCTTCGATGGCTTCCTGATGCGCATGCCGCTTCTCCTCAAGCTCCTTCTCCAGATCTGCAACCTTTGCTTGCATACCCTGTGCTGCTTGTTGGCTCTCGTGTTGCTGCTCCTCATTGCTGCTCTCCAATGCAAGGATCTTGGCCTGAAGCTCTTGGCCTACATGTTGTCGTTCATGCCGCTTCTCCTCAAGCTCCTTCTCCAGTTCAGCAACCTTAGCTTGCAAACCATGTGCTGCTTGTTGGCTCTCGTGTTGCTGCTCCTCATAGCTCCTCTCCAATGCAAGAATCCTGGCCTGAAGCTCTTGGACGGCTTGTTGATGTTCATGTCGCTTCTCTTCAAGCTCTTTTTCCAACTCGGCAACTTTATCCTGCATACTCCGTGCTGTTTCGTGGCTCTCATGTTGCCTCTCCTCAAGACTACTTTCCAATGTGGAGACCTTGCCCTGGAAAACTTGGATTGCTTGCTGATGTTCACGCTGCTTTTCTTCAAGCTCTTTTCCCAACTCGGCAACTTTATCTTCAAGTTGAGTCTCCAGCCCTGAAATCACACCCTGCATTTCGTTGATCTTTTGTTGATGTCCATGGCGTTCTTCTTCCAGGTTTTCTTCCAAATTGGAGATTTTGATCTGCAGGTCTTCCGTAGAGTGGTGGCCCTCTTGCTGTTTCTCAAGAAGTTCTTTCTCCAGCTCCGAAATCTTGGATTCCATATGCTGGACCGATAGTTGGTGTTCACTCTTTTGCTCCTCGATTCTCTTTTCTGATTCAGCAACGTTCGCCTGGAGACTCTCGATCGTATGCTGACCCTCCTGTCTGACCTCCTCCACAAGTCGCTCCGATTGAGCAACCTTAGCCTGGAGATCTTGAATAGTCGTCTCACTTTCGTTGCGGTGCTTTTCAATGTTGTCTTTCATTGTCGCTAAAAGCTGCCGTTGGTTTTTGAGCTCTTCGACCTTTTTCCTAGTAAATTCGTCCCAGATGTACAGAAGATGCCTCTCCACTCTCTCAAGCTTTTGTATGTCAACGGGGCGCCCATTGCCCGACAGATCACTTTCGGATTGCGTCAGGGTTGGCTCCACCTGAAGATCCTGTTCGCTCTCCACAGTTTCGATGTGTCTGATAACTGCATCAATTTTCTTTTCGAGGAGGGCTTGGTGCATTTGCTGATTGGAGGCCTCTTCTGTGAGGGCGGTAATCTTGCGCTCCCGTTTTTCGATAGTTTCGCCGAGGTTGTTGCACTTGGAAGTAAGATCGATAACTTGCGTCTCAAGAAGTTCGGTCATCGACTCGGCCGCATCCTCTTGCTCCTGGATCTTGGTTGTCAATCTCTCGTTGTCTTGTTTTAGCTCAAGCATTACTAGCAATTCCTGGACCTGTCGTTCTTCATCCGAGAGACTCTCGGCGTAATGGATCTCCAATGTTTCCTGGAGCTCTGTTCGGAGCTGCGAAACTTGTTCGGCTTCGTTTTCACGCAAACTAGACAGCAACTGCGTCAAGCGATCCTCTAGCAGGGTTGCCTTCTCGTGTGACAATCCCAGTGCTCGAATGATTTCAGCTTTCTCAGCCATCTTAGTCTCGACGTCCTCCATGAGTTTGTTGACGTTTTCTTCGGCCTCTTCAAGTTTTGATTGCATATTCTCAAGTTCATCTTGGAGATCTGAGTCGCTGTCCATCAACGAGCGAGACCCATCGCGTGGTTCGCTACGTTGCCAGTCATCGCGCTCTTCGTCGGGCATTGAATTGTCGAGCCGAGCCTTCAATAGAGTAAGTTCTTCCGTGAGCTTTTGCACTTTTCTCACTTCGTCAAAGTGCTCTTTCTCTTTCTTCGCGAGAGCGAGCTTTTGAGATTCCAGTTGTTCGAGCAAGTCGCTAGTTCCTCCATAGGGCAGTAACTCTCCTTTGGCAGCCGCAATCTTTCTAGGGTGTCCATGTTGTTCTTGTAGATTCTTGAGTTGCTCATAGATATCTTCGACAAGTTTGTTGAGTTCGTCCACAGCATATTTCGGAAGCACCCATGCCTCTCCAACAAGACACAACTGGGGATCGAGGTTGGGACTGGCATCATCGTGACGGATGATTTTCTTCAGGGCTTCAATGTCATGCTTGAGTTGTGCCATTACTTCTGATGTGTACCTGTTCAAATAGTTGTTGATTAATGTTGCTGCTTGCCCCTTCGATCCATCACTAGGGTACGCTTCATCGCGTTTGGAGGGCTTTTCCTTCCTTGGCGGTGTCTCATAGTGACTTGGGTTTGCAGCGACTTCTGTGACACCTTCAATCCCTTGGTTGTCGACATGAACTTGAACATCAACCGCCTTTGGCTTTCTATCGGACAGGGTGTCTGAACTGTTTGAACTGACAGCAGAAACGTCGTCGGAAGGAGTGCCGTTTGATTCAAGCACCCCCTTGTCCTCGCTGTGTCGAGACTGCAGCAAGGAAGAGAGTCTTCCGACCTCCAGATCGGCCGCGACTCTGGAATCGGTCTCCTTGCGCAAATTCAGTTCAGCTTCTTTCGCTCTTTGTTCTGTGTGGTCTAGCTGATCCCCAAGCCTGTTGACAAGCTGCAAGAGCGTCTCCAATGACGAGTCAACCCAATCTGACTCATCGAACGGCGTCGTGGCTTCTGCATCCATATTTGGACGGACAGAGAGGATTCGGATGCAGCGTTGGAGGCCTGCTCTGAGCTTGTGCTCCCGGCTGAGCTTCTCTTTGAGCTTTTCGGCTATTTCTTCCTGCTTGGATTCTGCGTAATGGAACTTGGCTTCCATCATGGTCACCTCGCTGTCACGAGCTGACAGCTTTTTCCTGAGAGAAGCAAGATCACTGTGCGAAGTTGTCTTTTCTTCGGTCAAGTACTCAACTCTGGCCTTCAACTCCGATATGGTTCGATGGTCCATCCCTCGTTCGTATCTACGATCCTCTACAGTCTTTACCAGCTTATGGGTGTTTTCTTCCAAGCGACGTACTTGGTCCTTCAATTCGGCTTCGCGGCCTTCCCACATATCCTTTTCAATTTGCATTGATCTAACTTCGAGCTGAATATCTCGAATGAAACCAGGAGTGATGCTTTGGTCTTGGTTGGCCTTGTCTTTGGTGAGATCCGAGATCCTCTCGTTTTGCTTTGCAATCTCGTTGATGAGCCTCGTTCTCTCTGCGTCATGCGCTTCTTGGCGCCTGCTCATTTCGTTTCTCAACTTTTCTGTTTGTCTTTGATGCTCTCCACGATCGTCTTCTTGACTCTTCTCCAAGGCCTGGCACTTGTCTTCCAATTCGGCGATTCGCGTCTTGAATACCGAGTTCTTTTTCCTGTAGTGATTTTTGTTGGCATCAAGGCGTTCCTGCAGATCTTTGTTCCACTGTGCCCCCTGTTCTTCTAGCTGCTGCTGTAATTGAATCTGCAAGTCTTTGATAAACTCCGAGTCTTGTGAGTCAGAGGCGTGTTTCATTTGCTGCCACTCAGCTTCTTGCTTGGCAACAGCCTCTGCCACTTTGGCTCTCAAGTCTTCTTCTGTATACATGACCGAGATTTCCGCGGCAAATTTCATCTCCAGCTCGGCTTCTCGATTAGCCAGAGCTTCTTCGACTTTTTGTTGCAAGTCCTCTTCCGTGTATACGAGCCCCGCATTGTTTTCGACAAAGTCGTCTGGGAGAAACTCGTCTTCATTGGCACTTTGCACCGCACTGATTGTTTCTTCCGGTGTACAATTTGTTTTTTCAATCACTGGTTCAGGGAACACTTCTCCTTCGTCTTCTTGGAGTTCGTGGATTGCTGCGACAGGTTGTGGCGCTGGGGCAAACGCCTCTGGGATGTTGTCAATCAAAGGAGAATATTTTTTTCGAATGGGCGCTGGAGTAGGAATAGGATCTCCGGGGGAATTCATGGCATGGCTTATGCTGTATTTGTGTGGTCTTGCTCTGGATTTGGGAGTCACTCCAAGGTCTTCAATGACAGGAATAGAATATGAATCCGGTTGTGGGGACCGCTTGTCTGGGAAGGGTAGCACTTGTCCGCTTGAAGATGCATCCCAGCAAGAGACACAGGCACCGTTACAGTCGCACATATCAGACCGTGACGATGACTTGATGGTTCTGCCAGATGAAGGAAGTAGCGCAGCCAGGGTGTCGGGGAAGCCACATGAGCTAGCGTGTGGAGTTGCCACGGAGATGTGATTCTTCTCCTTGTTCAGCAGATCAGTTGACTTTAGTGGAAAACGACCAGTACGAGACTTCTTTTCACTAGACTTTGTCGACACGTATGCAATACTCGCAACACTATCGGCTTCAGACGGCACACCTTTGCAGAAGAGAGACCCGATGAAGTCCGATCTCTCTCTCTTTCGACGTGCTGCCTCGAAGGTGGATGCCCTCGACTCATTCTCATTGTCGCTCTCTTCCGACGCCCTTGACATATCCATGATTTCTAAGCAGTCGTCTACTACCGCATCCACCGGTATGCATATAGGCGACGATGGTGGGCTTGTTGCCTTCCCTTCCCTTCCTTCCTCTTGCTTGCGAAACTTTCTCTTCTTCGATGCACCAATCTTCTTCGATGCGCCAGTCAACGAGACCTCTTTTGAACGAAATTGTGAGCTTTATCGTTTGTCTCCTGCCAGCTTAACCGTCCTGGATAGTGCGGAACGTCAAATACCTCCCTGATATTCCGTAAATCGCCAAATAATCTCCCTTTTTGTCATATTTGAGAGTTCAATTTTAATAAATAAAAGCAAAGTTTACCCAGGTTTTAAGAACTGTACCATACCACCCTTTCTTTTTGATTGCCGGTGGGTCTCCCACTGCTCTCTAGACTACTACCGGTACTACGGTAGCTAGCTAGTAGCTGGCTTTGTTGTCACCAAGAGGATCAGGAAAAAAAAAAAAAGTTATTAGCATGGTAACGTTGGTAGCGACAAAGGTAGGAACCCGTATCAGGCATCACAGGTACCTGTGGTATTGAGTGGGAGACCACGGTATTGAGTGGGAGACCGCACTCTTGAGGGCAACCTGGCCTTGCTCAACCATTTGCCTTCAAAACCCTTGTTGCTTTTCATCTGGGCACAGATTCGCGCAACTTTAGTTTCCAAGGAAGCTTTGTCCTCCCTTTGTTCCCACGGGGTCATGGCTCGAGTTTTGTCCTGCATCAGCCCTCGGCTATCTTTCTCGGTCCGGAAAAGAAACAGTCCTCTACAACTCTACATCACCGCAGCCCCGTTGATCCAGCTGTTGCCTCTATGCCCCCAATCCTGTTCTATCCACCGTCTTCTGTGAGATATGTAGTGCTAGGCGAAGTGGGGGTTGAAGCAGCATGCGTACACGAAGAGTAATCCCAGGGCCAAGACGACAAGCTAAACATGCCACAACTTCTAATATGTATAGGTCTGTTTGTTTATACTCAACCTGTTCGGTCATTCATTGAAACCTATGCAAAATTAACCAAGTAGAAAATCAATCCATCAAAGCACGCTCTCTCTCTTTTTCCTAGTAGATGTCTTTTCACTTTCTTTCACATCACAAAGCGTGTCACACAACAACGTTCCCTTAGACTGACTGCTGCTGATAGCAGGCCGCATGGCAGAGAGGAACTAAAAAATAATCTAAACATTCCCACAGCAACCCTTCTTTTTGGCGCCATCGTTGGTCAGGCTGATGGTCTGTCCTGAGGAAAGTGTTGGTGCACTGGCAGCTTCTTCTGCCTGCATGTTGCGGCGTGACATCAAACGGTAGATCTCGGTCAAAATTCGCTGGAAAGCTGTGTCGACTCCGGACGCGTCCAAGGCAGACGTCTCAATAAAAGCGAGATTGTGCTGTTCGGAAAATGCCATGGCTTCGTCCGTCTCCACAGCTCGCAAGTGCCTCAAATCGGACTTATTTCCGACCAACATGACAACAATATTCGCCTCGGCATGGTCACGGAGTTCCTTCAACCAACGTTCCACGTTCTCAAAGGTACCGTGCTTGGAAATGTCATAGACAAGCAATGCGCCAACTGCTCCGCGGTAGTATGCAGAGGTAATGGCACGATAACGCTCTTGCCCAGCGGTATCCCAGATTTGCGCCTTGATGGTTTTTCCCTCGGCCTGAATGGACTTGGTGGCGAACTCCACTCCAATAGTGGACTTGGATTCAAGGTTGAACTCGTTCCGAGTAAAACGAGACAGCAAGTTGGATTTACCGACACCAGAGTCTCCAATCAAGACAATCTTGAACAGATAATCGTATTCTTCGTCTACGCGGGCTGCCATCTTTCTTCTATTCTACTAATCTTTCGGTTGTCGGTTGTTGTGTAGTAGCCAAGGACGACAAGCAATGCAACAAGTGAGAAGGAATCCTTTGGAGAAAGACAAGAAACAATGGATGCCGCCAAGAATAATAGATCCGCTCTGGGCCCACCACGCTGGCACTTCTTTGTAGTTCGGTCACCAGGAAGCACGATGTCTACCGCGGCCACGAAGACAGGTTTTGACGTCACGTACGGGACCCAACAAGTCCACAAGGTCATCGTCTTCCCAACGGACGAAATCAACATCTTTTGCAGCATTGACACGATAAAAAATGCTACCCATGATACCCCTAATTTCTCGAACAAGTTTCTCGACCATGGCATCTCACAGATAACTGAACGTCGTCTGCTCATGGTGGCACTAGCAATTCCTATTTTTCTTACCTTCAGCGGTGAGTATGGCGTATTATCTTGTCGATTTCTGGATCATTCCTTGTTGTTTTTCTTTTCTGTGACATTACCGGCAATGACCAAGGCCCGTTTCCGCTGTGCCACAAACTTGCCGTTGAGCCTGCCGAGACCACGCTGGGCGGGACTGATGCAAAAACCCAGTATCTTTGCTAGAAACCAGCAAGGCGGATAGAGAGATCAAGCTGCCTGCTTACGGTTGTGGTCAGGTGCCGGTACCATGCACATCCTGCCACATTACCGTAGCATGGTACGGGTACTAGCCAGCTATTAATAGTGACAACTTAGTATGAGGAGGGAGGTGCAAACTCTTATTAAAATGGTGACAAAGCCGCCTTTATGAAGTGGCGGTGAGGTGCGTGCTACATTCACCGTCCTTGAGGTACGGTACGGCACCACGGTGGCTGCAACTGCCGCTACGGGTAACTGGTAGCCCCACTATTACGGTCCATACCAGGTACGTGTACTAGACCACACATTGACAGAAGTCTCCTTTATTTTACATTATGTGACCACCATTGAAAAGAGATGCTGCTATTTGTTGTGTTGACCAGAGATTCGCTTTGGAAGCCGCCTCCTCAACCTTCTTGACCTGTACCGGTACCGCAGCTTGCAATCACAAGCAACTTGCTCTGTTAGATTTATATGGTACTGAAACGATCAGGCATGTTGGTACAACTGCGTGGTCCCTCCTATGCGTATGACATTCGGTATACCGGTAGTATCAAAGAGGTTCACACTATTATTTTACTAATCATCAATCTCTTATTTTATTAAAAAACTACTAGTTTCACAAAACGACACATATTACCTCAGCGTTAAGAAAGCATTGGAACGCCGGCAAGGCCAATTGACACCATAAATCTCACGCATCAAGGTTCGGCGTCACACCACTTCGAGGACTGCAAATGCTGTGGTTAGCAGGTCAGCATTGTTTTTTCGCTGTCAAGCACATCAAAGAAGTTTCAATAGAAGTTTTGTTGGTTTGTTTTGTTTGTTTCTATTCAGTTCGTGGTAGTAGGCCAGAGATGACAATGTGGGAAGCTCTTGTAGACTATGCCAATGATTGGGTTGCAAATTTTATTGCCAATCCCCCTCATTCCTGGCTAAATGATCCGAGAGAGCCTTTGTTTACGTTTATGTGGGACGGGAAACCCTTTGGCTTTTACGCAATGAGCTTGACGTTCTGGTCAGAAGTGCTTTTTGTAAGTTGATAATATCTATGCTGATTTCTAATGGCAAGGTCGCTTGATGTTGGAACACCATCTTGGAAAATAATAATAGGTTCTCTCACCAGATTTCCGGCCTCATTTTTTTAGTTCATGGCTTTTGAGGGGCTCCTGGCTGCTGCTTTCTCTCAACTGGTGTACCGATATGTTATCCCCAACAAAAATACCACAACAGCCTACCTGATTGGTTATGGGTTTATTATCCCGTTTTGGCTGGCATTTCCAGGCACTATTATCAATACACTGGACGCCAAGAACAAACTATTTCGGTTCACTGTGGCAGCTGTGACACCATCATTGTGTACCTTTAGGACTACAGAAGGTATGCACCCGCTTCTTTTCTGTGTGTGATAAATCCATAAACGACACTCATGATGGTTGGAATGATTTTGCTATTGCCTACTGTGTATCAATCATCAGCGATGCATGGTTTCACCCCCGAACATGCTCTTCAATCTCCCAAAGCTTTCATGATTTACTTTGGGCTACCAATGGTGGCAAAATACGACAAGTCCATGAAAGAATACGTAAAAGCATCTCCAGAGTACATTTGGAAACGGATGTGGCAGGTCATGGGTTCCTATGCATATACAGGATCCGTCTATTCGATGTATCTGTTGTACCCACAATACTTTCCAACCATGGGCGTGATTGAAGATGAACACTACTTTTATCCAAGCCATATCTTTACCAGAAAGTACCTCCGTAATGCATGCTACTATCTGTGTAAGTACGGCTGTGACAATCCATTCGCTTTCATCAATTCCTTGGCTGTGTGCCACCTCACTGACAACGCCATGCCATATCCTCTTTCAAAGTGATCTTCGAGGCCACACTGTCCACCAGTGGCAATGGAGGAAACTTTGTATCCACGTTACTCACAGGCTATGAAATGGAACCATTCATGAGAAACCCCTTATTTGAGTCAAACACATGTGCCGAGTTCTGGGGAAAGAGATGGAACAAGCTCATCCAGACCCTGCTGTCGCGTGGCGTCTTCAAGCCATTTCGCACCATTCTCCCCATGTACGCAGCAATGGCGGCCACATTCACAGTGAGTGGTCTCTTCCACGAATGGTTGATGAGTCTTATCTTTGCCCCAATACCAGAGGATCTCGATGAAAATGGAGATTGCATTCCTCCAAAATGCTTCAGGTTGTCCCATGGTTCTTGTATCGTTTTCTTCGTCTGGCTATCCTTCACAATCAGCTTGGAATTCATGTTCACACCGAAAAAATACTTCAGGAATCCCTACATTTGGTACAAGGTGGCATCGTCTTCCTTTGCATCGCTTGCATGCATCTTCTTCCTTGATCCATACGTCCATACAAGATTCTTCAATGAAGGATATGTTGGGCATTTCATGGTGCATCCGGTGGGGGATTGGGTGTAGTGCTCACCAAAAGCCAAACGATAACACGCAGAAGTCGCTTTGCGCAACACAGCAACCTACTTTCCATCAACGTCTGTGCCGACTGTATACTTCTAGCTTTGCTTATGGGGAGCATGGGCACTGCGGTCCGCCCAGTGGCTCGCTCTAGTTCGAGCTCAAGAGGTTTTAATTTAGCTTAAACAAGCGTCGACAAGCAACCCGCAACTACTAGAGCGCCAAAACCATCACCAATCTGTGTGGGCTGCCCCGCACTTTTTCACCAAGTGCCATTTTCCGAAGACACAAATCAGCCCGCGAAACCTTCCCGCTTCATCTGCTCGTACAAACCACGGTAGTCTACTTGATTGCGACGGCGCTTTCGGGATGGAGCATCTGGGTCTTCGGGTATGTCATTCTCGCCACTTGCCGCCGCAGCTGGAACGCCAGCGTACAGCCTCTGAGCATTTTGCTCTGCCATCTGACGTAGCTTTTCTAGTTTTTGTTGTCGTTTTCGTTCCCGCTCATCCACTAAATGACGCTCAAACTGACTCTCCCATTCAACGTCTTGCGAATCATACAGCTCCCTCGATCTGCCTCCATCCACCATTGCGCGAACATGGCTTGCTACTGATCGAGCAAAGGGGCTCACAATACCACCATGAATCTTGTAGCCTCCCTCAAGGACACTCACAATGCGACCGTTGCAACATGTATTTGCTATTTTCACCAACTGCTCCGTCACCCACTCGTAGTCATCCTCTACCATTCCCACATAACCAAAATTCATCGTATCTTTCTTGTGTGCATCGAAGCCAGCACTGATAAATATGATATCTGGATCGAAGTCCCTCAAGTGGGGGAGGATCTTTTGACGATAGGAATCGCGTAGTTCAAGTCGCTGCATGCCAGGGATAGCATCGCGATTGGGGAGGCCGAGGCCGCAATTGAGGATCTTGCAGCAGTTTCCGCGAGAGTCTTCGCCCATTCTAGCCCAGGTCTGACTTGACAAAAAATCCGTGAGGCTGGGAGTTTCGATCATTGTCGGGTTCACTATGGCATCCGATATGTGTGTTTTCCCAGAAGCTGGATAGAACCACCCTCCTTGACCAGGCATGTCCACAAATTCAAGTCCACGGGGACCATACCCATGAGTGGAAGCAAAGAAGACGTCGTGAATATCACTTTCGTCAAGCCATGGCCGAAATTTTGTTGTTGCCAGTTCACCAACTGTAAACGGAGTCCTCACGATTGCCTTTTCAGTTGTTGGCACCAGTCTTCTAATGATTTCTTCCGTTCCGTTTCCGTGATGAACATCGAAATCAACAATCGCAACCTTACGAATCCCTTCGTTCCGATACATCGACCGGGCATAAGCCGCGCCAATGGCAACATTGTTCAACAGGCAGAAACCATGCGAACCTCCATCTGGATCGTTGGCACAACGGACAATACCGCGAGGTCCTGCATGATGACCAGGAGGACGCACTGCACAAAAGGCATTTCGATGATCACCAGACATGACCTTGTCCACAGCCTCGCACACGGAACCGGCGGCTCTTAACGCAGCTTCAAAACTCCACCGAGACACGGCTGTGTCTGCATCCAAATGAGTGATTCCATTCGGGTGATCAGGTATCGATGAGCACAATTGGCTGATGCTCTCAACATAGCTGTACTCATGACACTGAATAGCACAAACAATAGAGTACATCAGTCCACTCGATGTCGAAGCAAGTGCAACGCACCAAACCTATGACTTGGATTTTCAACCTTACCTTCAAAATATCCACCATTGCAGCCCTTCGCGCCTCTCCCTCCCAAACGAGCCTTCCAAACTCTCCTCCTCGCAGGATACCGGTGTCTTGGTCAAGAAGAACTTGCAAACGCCTGATATTTTCGGGCGGAGGTTCCTCTTTGGCATCTCGGATCATCGGAGGGCAACTTCTGTGCAAAACACAAAGTTCATGACAAAGAAGAAGCGTGTTGCTGTCTGGATCGACAATAAGGTCTCTCGGTGGGGCAACAGTTCCAGACGAAGGAGGGCCTCCAAGGACGTTGCTCAAGTCCATCGGGATCGGCATTCCTCTCTTGTGTGCCAGTTGACCAGGAGTAAACCCACGACGGTCGGTAATATTTTGATCCGCTCCGGCTTGCATCAAAAGCCGCGCTACAACCCAATTCCCACGAAGACATGCAATATGTAAAGGAGTCTGACCCACAGTATTGAGTGCGTCGACCTCTATTCCCTCTGTTTGAAGAAGCAACTGTGTCAACATTGCTTCCGGGGAGCTTTGCGCAGCTGCCGCTCTGGCGTGCGCACTCTGTTTGCCACCGCTAAATCCCGGAATGTGGTGGACAGAGTTGGCGACAGTGCCATCTGGGTGATGATGCGACACCGGACGCCCCTGAACCGAACTGCTTGCTACGGCTTGCCCCTGCGCCTGAGTGTCAAACTTGGCGGCCGCGTGGAGAGGCCGTCCTCCAGATCTATCCGCTTTGGTGTTCAGTGTGGCCATGCCAGCATCAATCGTGAGGAGGAACGTCACAATGCTAGGCAAATTGAATTTACAAGCCAGGTAGAGAGGCGTGTGCATTGCATCATCTTTTGCCGACAAGTCCGCGTCGTGTTTGTTAAGGAGGACAATGCAGTCGTACGCAAACTGTTCATGCTGCTTCAGAGCTGCAATGCTGATGGCCGCGTGAATGGGGGCACTCCCATCACTCTTCTTGTGGACATTGGAACCCATTTCAAGCAGTAACTTGACGTGCTCCAGCTTTCGAGCATGGATGGCAATGTGGATTGGAGTATTTTCGTCTCCATCCCGCTCATTAAGGTTATGGGGACAGTAGAACTTTGGCTTTTTCTTCTCCTTGCTTCCCTTTGCCGGCTTGGAGGCTCCGCCATTACTACCATCACCTTGCTTGGATTTGGTTGGGGTATCATTGGTAGGTGTTGAATCCTTTGGGGACTTTTCTGATCCTTTGTCTGGTGACGTGTCCATGGGAGAAGGACCATCCTCTTTTTCCCCAGTTGACGCTGCCTTAGCCTCCCCCTTTGCAGGCGTAGATGGCGACGTGGGATTCTGCTTGCTGCATTCTTCGTGTGGTGGACTTTCAGCAGCATTATTCGATGGCAGCTTGGTTGATGCAGAAGGAGGAACATCGAGTGTAGGACGGATCGGCCGGGGTGAGTGCCCAATGGCGGCTGCGTGGGCTGCTGCGGTAGAATCATTATCATCTGAGGACGAAGACGAATCCCCGTCTCGATTTCCTTCCTCCTCTTCATCGTCGGAATTCGGTTTGGGGCGACAAATCAAGCGCTGAAATTCGAGAAAAAGTGAGAGACACGTCAAAGGGCCGTGACTAAGCCCCACCCGGGACTTGTTGGCGGCAGTCAACTGACCACCAACGCATCGTCCTCTTTCTCACCCAACTTTGACTTACCCGTAGCGCTTCCAAGTCCTCGAACTCACAACAATCATGGACGGGATATCTCTTGGATTCCGCAGGGTTGTTGTCGCCGTAGGCGTATTCATCGGAGTCAGAGCTGTCGCTCATGGTCGCCTTTTCTTGGATGGGTTTGGTTGAACGGCTACGGAGGGGGTCTCGAGAATTAAGGATAATGTTTCGAGGGTGTCCGCTCCTTGAAATGGATTTAACAACTCAGACGAAGCTCAATACCAGTCCAGAAGAGAGGCTTGCTCGCTCCCTAAAAGAAAAATCACAACTGGTGGCCATGGAGGGCTTGGAGGAAGTTGCTTTTGGTTCTGGTTCAGGCAAGGCCGAGAGCCGAGTGACGAATGAGAAAGAGTGAGCACAGGGCAGGAACACCAATTTTAGGACCCTGTAGGATTCTACGATATCTAGTACTGTGTAGAAAGATCTACCGAGCCTACGGTAGCGCGCCTGGTCGCATTGGCATCACAGAATTCTGCTTCGACGCGATCCTGTGGTCCTGGAAGCTCGACTGAAAGATCGTATCTTTCTTTGGATCTTCCAAGATGACGGCCTTGACCGCCATCCACCCGGGCGTCATGTGACAGAGGCCCTCATACCCTCAGCCATGTCACCATGCGCATACTATTTCGGTGCGGTACCTCGTGATACTAGCTAGGTACTAGTACCGTTCACTCTCGCACACTACATGTGGCCAGTACGTGGGATCAGAGGTCAATATACTGTAGAAAGCCACCTATTGCGTTCCCATTCTCTTAGCGCTAGTACCCTACCAAAAGGATTTGCCACCCTTATCAATCGGAGGGCTATCCTTGCATGGTTTGATGCTAGGTTTGTCTCGATAATGGCATGAGAACAGGGCCGTATTGGAACAACAGGTACTGACAAAGTCATCGCCCTTGGGAATATGAATTTCATCCGGCTTTCTGTTGATGCATTGTTCATTAAGATACCATTCACCAAGTTGTTTGAAAAAAAGAAGTTTGTTGTCCTTGTTCTACAGCAGTCGGCAAGACAGAGAGGAACAAGCACCAAAGGTTATGCATAAGAAAGAGATCTCAATGAATAGCTGGAATCATGATAAAGCTACTAGTAGCAACACACGGTGATTGGCCTACCTTGGTCCAACTCATGTGCATCAGATAGGGCTTCTTGTGGCCTTTGAAATATGATTTCATGTACTTGCCCGTCTTTTGATGAAAATGATACCCTCCTGGGAAATCGTCTTCATCACGACTCAGAACTTTCACTCGGAGGCCATACAGATTGGCGTGTTCTGAAAGGACAGCAACTAAGGCTTGTTGGTGTGAATCAGTTTTCAAAATCAAGTCTCCATGCATCAACAAAGAGTTTAGGAAGTATTGTGTTCTGTCGTTGTATCGAACTTTGCAGTTTTGAGTATAGGTGGGAGAGCAAGGTGTGAGGATTGCATCTCAGGCAGGGAGATTAAACCAAGACATTGTCTCATTTCAAGCACTTACGATAGTAGAATCCACTGTTGCTGCTCCATGGCGCATATCTCACTGAATGAGCCCCATCATCCTGAAAGTATGCGTCAAAGCTATAGATTGGTGACTGTTCATTGTGGAAGAAACTAAGTGGAGATTTGAACCACACAATATCCACATCCTGAAACAGAATGTCAACACCAAGAAGGCCCACAACTTGTACACAAATGACCTACAAGCAGCAATGGCAACGATGGATTGGTGTGAGCACATCAATGCAATGAGAGTTCCTATGCTGATGACTGCAACAGACTGGACTCGTATGTACCTTAGCCATCATCATTGCAACAAATTTCCTGCACAGAATGGTAAATGTCCATGAGACAACAGATCACAATCAGCTCCTGGATATCTGTTTCCTCGCTTACCTATCACCATAACGGCCAGCTGCTTCCAGTGGAACGTCAGCAAAATTCTGTCACGAGAAAGCAATGATGTAAGGAGAGCATAGATTCATATCACAACTAATGCAATTCAAGCTAGATGAGTAACTTACTCGTTCATCAAAGTAGGCAGAGAGTCCAACACTTTCTGCAAGCTCTTTGGTTTCTTGATCTGTTGCAAAGACAAGTACATTTGAGATGTCCAAATTCTTGGACTTTGCTGAACAAGCAAAGTTCAGAAGCAACTCAGACTGGCCACTAGACGATTGAAATTTGCACAAAAGAAAGATTTTGCGGTGAGACAAATGCAGCAAGCAACACATTGCACTAGCAGTTGCGCTGGTATTCTGTAAGGACTTACTGGTTGCAGACCATGACAACCACAGTGTTCTTGATTGAAATTTTGTCCACAATGGGTCTCAGTTCCTTCAAGACATCATCAATTGATGCCAAATAGGTCCGTAGCATATCCCAATTTTTCTGGGTATCTGATGCCTTGGGAGGCAAAAATTGCTCAATTCCATTGGATTGATGTCCTCTGGAAACGGGCTCCAGAGGATATTTGCTATTCAGTTCTCTGTGACCAGTTTGTGGGACTCTCATGTATTTTTGGATGTGGTAAGATTCGTACTGTGGGACAATCACTGTGCATTGTGCTCTTCCAGGGTCATAATTGGTGAGAATCACATTCATGTAATCACACTGTTCGACAGCCTCATCTGTTTTGAGAAGTTCCATGGGTGTGGACGACGATTGTAACCTTTTGGGCATGGCGCCTTTTTTGTTGTAGAGAATGAGCACATCCTCGGCTCCCTTCTTGGGCTGGTCAATTGGAACTCCAAGATCGAATGTATTGGTAAAGTCTTCTTTCTTCACATGGGAAATTCCAGATGCAAATCTTTGGACGCCCTCGGGAAACAGAGATTCGTTGGTGCATTTCTCACTTTCCTCATTATTTCGAAGAGTTCGCAAGGCCCCGCTTTGCAGCGACATTGAACCACTTTGTGAAGAAGGAGAAGGACAATGACCGGCAAAGGCATGCAGGGACAAGAAGGCACCAAGGAAGAAAGACACCCCATTAGATATCATCAGCAAAACCATCGTCGTCATGGATATCTTCCCTCTCTTTCTTGACGCCGCAGCGCTCATACCAGCAGGGTTTCGATTCAACATGACAACTCAATCTGCGAGAATAATGTAATGTTGGTTGGGTGCGTGACTGTTGTTTGATGGAGGCGTTGTTTTTGTTTTGAGGAACAAAGCAAATGACTTGTAGTTCTTGGGGTCGTGGTTCTTTGATCTTGAAAGAATTGACGACTAAGCAGCTCTACTAGCTAACGCTTTCGGCATCCACATAGCGGTAGAGGGCGAGAAGTTACTTGCCGCATGATCGGAAATGCTGGGGGCAGCTAGCTACCTGGTACATGTACTCTTGCCTCGGGTGAAAGACAATGGGGATGATTGTGATGCAAGCCCACCTGCCCCCAAGTTCCCATCCATCTTGTTCCCTGAAAAGTGCCTTTCCAAGTAAGTGCTTCAGCAGGTGCCGGGGTGTTTTTATGATGTCATGCTGCAGCAAGAATCGTATGCTGCTGGAGACTTCGTAGGTATCAAGGACGTTCTGTCTGCTGGCAAGTTTTCCAAGTTTTCCTCAGTGTAGCTTGAGCGTTCTTTCTGCCTTTTTGCCCCCTAACAATTATTTAAAAGCAGTCAAGTTGCTGAGGGCTAATCCATTGAGCTCGTTTGCTAGTTTGGGGTGTTTCGCTTGTTTATCTTTAACGACGTCGTCGTGGTTGTTTTAGTCCTAATCGCTTCGGGCCACCCAATGATCAATCGCTAGGGGCCAAGGATGCAGAGAAACCAGCAGGTTTACTCCCCAGCTCCTACTTGAGCTCGCTGATCATTTCTTCGAGACGTCCTGGGTTGGCTCCCATGAGGCGTTCCACAACTTCTCCTCCCTTGATAAACACAAAAGTTGGCATGGCGCTAACACTATATTTGGCGGCAGTTTCGGGATTCTCGTCTACGTCGACCTTCAGGAAAACTACATCAGGGTGCTCCTCACTAAGCTGCTTGTACTACGATCACCATCGGCAAAGTTGAGAATCCCAGGGGTGCACCGTGTGATGAGTGGCACGTTAACGAAGGGAGCTCTTTTCCAGAAAAGGTTACTTACAATAGGAGCAATTTGTTGGCTGCAAAAGAAAAGTGAAATTTGTTGCGATTGGTCGAGCAGTCAGGTTAGATTCAGCTGCACCAGTTGAACTTTCCAGCTCAATAGCTGGAAGCGTACTTGTAGCTTGAAATGATGGTCTCCGGCACTCACCATGGTCCACACCAACTGGAAGAAAGCAAGGGGTGAGAGATTTGAAAAGTGGAACGGCAGATACTAACGCTACGTGCTGCGTTACCTGGCTGTGAAATCAATTACAACCAATGTTTGGTCAGCGCCGGCTTTGAGAATGGCCGCTTCAACGTCGTCGGCGCTGGCCAAGGTGACTTCCCCACCACGGGGACAAGTCACAACATTTGCCAAACCAAAAGCAGATGGGCATTCTGTAGGCGTTTTGGTGAATGTGGGATGCGGCCCAATCGTTGCTGATGTCCAACCCAAACACAGGAGGAGCAAGATGGCGACCCAAGAATGATTCATTTTCTTTCACGCTGGCTAGGACTGTGTGGGCAAGGACTAGAAATCAGTGATGTTGTACTGGTACAGAACAGAGGGTATCGGGGAGCGAGCTAGCAGATTAGTGAAGACGACAAGCCTTTGTGTTGATGGGGTGCCACCACACTTCGGTTGACACCAAATCTCCAAAAAATTGCCAAGTGGAGGCAAAAGATATGCCACGTCAGCATGTATCTTTTCATTCGTGCCTCTACGACTCCCACGCCAAAAAATTATCCCGTAGCTTTGCCTCCGTTCGAAGGAACCAACATGGACCTCTTATCATTCGTCTTCATGTTGTCTGAATGATTTAATCGAATCCAATGCCACCCCCAGACCAAGTCGAGGTACACAAAGCAGAAACCATGACCTAGAACCTATTGTTGAACCATCCAAGTCCAAGGTCGTTGCTCAATCTGAAGAATGGAAAACGTGCTCTCGTGGAAATGGTGCGAATACAACTCCTGTGGAGCTTGCGCTTATCATTAATTTCCCATAGGACACTGTTGGCCCGGGCCATTCCATTGTGCCCTCAAGCCATTTTCCCGTCAAAAATTGAAAAGGGGCAAAACCTACCGAGATGGTTGGAGTGCTCTTGCGGACCAAGTGTCGTCAAGATCTGTTGCTGGTTGAGCGGAACCACATCACGGGCTGCCCGGGCAGCTCTTCATCAGATTGCCTGCCATGATGGCACATAAATCGAGACGAATTGGAATTCCTTAGTTTCTAGTGGAGGCCTGACTACAGGGAAATCCCACAGGAGACTTTGTTTTGTGGCGAGGAAGGAAAGGCTGCTGGCTAGGACACTATTGGAGTATTTTCCGTAAGCTTTGCATTGCGACATACTTTGTTTCCAGGCATCAAGATGTGCGCCAAGTTAAGGCAGAAGGGCACAGCAGCCAGTTTCTCTGCCTTGCACGCCCTTGTGCAGGTGTGCAGGTGCCACCACATGTTCCCGAATGCATCCAATGAAGCTGCATCACGCTGCGACAAAAAGTGCGCCTTGAACAGCGCCGACATCCCTTTGCATCGGTTCCTCCGGGACATTCCATTGTATTCCAAGCAAAACATTGCCAGGTGGCGCACGGAGAAGATGTCATGAGTTAGATTGCGCCCTTGAAAAAGTAGTTAGAGCTTGATATCGAACCGTGCTGGCTGGTTGCTACCCCCTGAAGGATGCGCCCAGGTCTGGATGGGGGTTCAGGCGTCATTCCGGGAATCCCGGTGAAGAATAGCAAGGAGACGGGTTGGGACCCATTGTTGGAATACTACCCTCGAGCACTCATCATTGAGGAAAACAACAATGGCTGGCTTTCCTTTCCAACCTGCAGCGGAACAAAGCTCACCCTTTGACACTATTTATTTTTCGATCGCTCCGAGACCGATCCGACCCTCTAGCTAGCTCCTAGCAGCAAATAAGTCAATTGGAGTCCTCTGCGCTCTGATCACGTTCTCTGCAAGCTACCGGTACCACCGGTGGCGTCTAACAACCGCACATGTGGACAAGGAGAGGGCCATGACGAAACTATTAGCGACTACGTACATACGATTTATTAAAACCTTCTAGTTGGCGCTTCTTGTGGTTCGCCTCTGCATCAACGAGTTGCCTCGTCTTTCTGATGAGATCGCTACCATCACTTTACGTTATCTATACAACCGTAACAAGCACGGGATCTAGAGAGCGCCCTGCTGTCGCGCGGGTTATTGTTAGCCTCCTAAATAAGTTGAACACAGCTCGATCCAAACGAAACTTGACCGTGTTGTAAGTAGTGGCCGAGCCTCGGTTGCACCCGCAGCTAGAGCCACACATCGTCAACGTCCTTTTCGCTGAATTTCAAACCACAAGAAGGACACTTCCGGCTGCGATTCTGGATGTTCTCATCAACACAGTGCCTGCAAAACATATGCCTACATCGCATGATGATGCAATCTTTGTCGCGATAATGGCACACAGGGCAAGCCAAACGATTCTTCAGTACCTGAACTTGCGTGTTGAGTTGGTCAACGGTAAACGATGACCCTCCTCCCCCACCACCACCGTTCGCAGCGTCTCGTTTTGACATCTCGTTCAGCTTTTCTGTCGCGTCTCCTGCTTTCTTTACTGCAACATCCAACGAGTCCTGGAGCTTTCTCCGTTCTCTCTGCTCTCGTTCCATTTCTGACACGAGTTCGTCGCTCCGCTTACGTGCTTTGGACAGTTGTGAATTGAGACTAGAGATATTGGTATCTGCCTGCGACCATTCGCTTACTGTTGATTCGAGCTCTTTCTTCAAAGATTGATTTCGTTCTTCGCACTCTCTTAGTTTCTCCTCAAGAGCCTGAAGTACACGAGCGGAAACATCCAAGTTAGATACGCAGAAGAAAAGAGATCGCACGCAAGCAGAGCGCCCAAGATTACCAACCTTTTTTTCTTTGACAACCTCTTCTGCAACTTTGGCTTTGCTGTTGGTGGCTAGACGAGCCGCGAGAGCCAACTGACCTGAACTCTTCAGTTGCTGTTCCAGACTTTTCTTTCCTTCAGTTAGACTGTCCGTCATGTTCTTCAAGTGGAGAATCGTTGACAAAGATTTTGCGTTCATGTCGTCTTTTTCGGCACTCTGCCTCAGCAGCCTCGAATTCGTCTCATTGAGCAAATCTCGTTCCTTCTCTACCCGCTTCATTCACGCAAGACAGTGCCAATTCGTCAGTCCAGATAATCCAACGTAAATTTAAAAATACACGACGAGAACATACCTCGAGTTTCGCTTTGGCCGAATCCTTGCTGGCAGAAAGCGCCGCTATCTCCTTCCTCATTCTCCGATTCTCGCGGTGGAGCTTTTCCGACTTGCTACTCGACTCTGATCGTTCGGATGATTTCTCCCGAGACGAACTATGGTTTGTCGACTCCGACGATGATTTATTGCTGGAACTGTTGCTTCGACCAGCTTGCAGGGCGGCGTATTTTCCTTTGATTTCGTCGAGCTTTCCTTGCAGTGCGCTATTCATTGCCAAAGCCTCCTTCAAATTCTGTCTGACTGAATCTGCTTGCCTGACGTTTTCCAGGGCTTGCTTCAGCTTGTGATCAAGCTCAATGATTTTTCGTGCCTGGTCTACAGATTCCACGTTCAGCGGAATGTTGATTTCGTCCGAGTTGTTGTCAGCTTGGTCGCCAACACAGGTCAACTCTGCCCACCGCTTCTCCTGCTTTGCGTGCAATTCGTCGAGGGTTTTCAACGCATGATTGGCGTCACCACGGGCTTTGGCCCAATTTTCTCGGGTCTCCTTCAGTCGCTCTTGCACATCTGCCAGCTCGGCTTCCACCTGCTCCAACCGTTTCTGCGTTTTCTGATGATCCTCCACCTTTTCTGCGTCTGCGTCAGAAATTTCTTTTGAACAAAGTAAATTGATGCGCTGTTCTTTCTCTGTAAGTCTGGATTGAAGCTACAGAAAGCGATAGATTGCGCTTGTGAGCGAGGAAAACAAATTGTAGGGGTCCAATAAAGTGCATGGTTCCAGAGACGCACCTCTTCTATGCTTGTGTCACGGGCGCCAAGCTGACGTTCCAGCTCTTCCAGCTGACTTCGAACGCGATGCATTTCAGCAGGGTCGCCCGATTCTGATTTTACGCCACACATTTGGTCATCGTGCGAGGTGTTGGCTGTAGCATCAAACTGCGACGATGACGAAACAGTCCCTTTCTCCTCCATCATGGCTTCCATTCGGGCTTCTGCAGCCAATGTACCGTCTTCATCACCTTTGTCCATGTCTTTCAAGACCTGCTCGATTTTGACCCGACCAGTGGAGAGCCGATAGATGCTTCTCCTGACTTTCCGTTCTGATTTGGCAGTGTCATCTCTTGCCTTTGCCAGCTCTGCGATCTGTATTTTGTACTCCCTGCTTTGTCCCCGTAAAACTCCAACTTCTTTTATCAGGGCTCGTTGATCTGACGACAGCGACACACCACCCTTGTCCCCATCAGCAGCGGCGCTAGCTGTACTCGTCATCTTTTGCAAAACGGATCGGATCCATTCCTCTAGCGTGTTTGCCCGTTGCAAAATATTCCACGAGATGTTCGAAAGATCATCGAGTTGCTGCTTCTCTGCAGGATCGAGCTCGTAATTTCCATTTCTTCGCCTTTGAGGACGACCTTCTTCGTCGTTTTCATCATCGTCGTCGTCGTCTTCCTCCTGCTCCCCATTGTCTTGTCCAAGGTTGTCAGGTGGTGGAGTCGTAGCTAGTGCGGCCAACGCATCAAACAGAGCCCCCACAATTTCCACCTTGGATCCATTTCCCGTCGACATGGGACCATCTTGCTGTACATAGGAAGCAGCATCACGATCAGCAGGACGGGCAAGCGCTTGCTGCGGCTGTTGCAACTCTGTCTCCATTTGTGTCCATGTGGCTTGAAGTGAATTCAATGCCTGACTTGCTATTCGACACTGATTTCGTCGGTATTCTCGTTCGTCCTCGAGCAGTGTGAGCTGATGCTGTAGCGATTTCAATTCCGATGCCAGAGCTCTATTTTGGTGCTTGAGAAAGAAGGAATTCTGCTGATTATCTTCGGCCTCGTCGTCCGATGGAACAGGATAAGGCACTCTAGGTTGACTGGAAGGGCGTTGTCGCTTCATGCCCGCCGAGCTTGGAACAGACGATGACGGCGTAGCCGATCTGTTGGCAGCAGCAGCTGACCGACTCTTGACGGGTGGATTTGATGACGGGACCGCCTCCGCTCTTTGGCGGACGACATCATTGTTAGCTCCTCGTGACTCCGATTGCATTGCTGACGCTGCCTGTGACAGTGCCGACGTAGGGCTTCCAGTAGACGAGTGTTTGGATCCGATCGAGTTCGTGACTTCGGGGCCAGCGTCCGCGCGTCTGGGTATCTTCAACGGACGGCCATGGTCTTGTTTGTAGGCATCCGAAGATAACGGCTTGGTTCTGGGAGAAGATGGGTCTCCTACTCCAGACGAACTGGACCCCATCGAGGGTGCTTGTACTGGCACCTGTAAGAGAGGTCCATTGCCGCTGGAACTCGGAAGTGCGGCGCTCTGTTTGGCTCGCTCTGCCAACGCCCGTTTCATGATCACTCAAATCAATCAATCCGACAACAGGAGCACTTTTTGCAAATGGACGCCGCTCCTTACGCCCTCAGAAGCGGCTCCTGCTCCGGTCCGCTCTGAACTGAACCGACTCAACACCACTGCTGTCAGTCCGTCCGTTCAATCCAAATATAGCCTCCACGTCTCATGAATCACAAACAGTCGATCGACAACAATTCAATTCAATGCAGTAGCTGTGCTCTTTTGGATTGTGATTCGATTTGATTCCGCTGGAATGGAGCAAGCAACGTGTCGACCACTGCGGAAGAGATTGCCTCAGAGTCTCCCAACCCGAAGCCTGGTTGACAGCAGACCAAATGTCTCCGCGCGCTCTTTGCAGGATACCGAACGGCAGTCTCTCGTTCGTTTGGATCAATGTGTCCTCTTCTCTTGGTAGCCTTCTCTGTTCGCCTTCTTGCTTGTCTCGTGCTCTCTCTCTCTCTCTCTTCGTGCCTGTGCGGAGAGTCTCGTCTTGGCCGTTCAGCAGAGTCTCGGCATGGACGTTTGTTAGCGAGCGAGTAGTGACACCCTCTTTGGGTTTCCAGAAATGGGAGGATGATGACTGTTGTGCTGAAAAATAATGAAAATGGCTGTCGATGCCGCCACTGGTCCATAGTGGCGCATGCTTCGAGCACTCCTGCCGACCCGGTCTGGCCGTGTTGCGTAAGTGTGTTGGAGGTTGATTGATTAGGGTTGGAAATCTATTTTGTTCACGCACACTTTTACGAGGCTACCGGTACCACTCTGAACGCGGTGTAAAGCAGAAACACAGCAGAGCGGCTTTCTTCAGGAACAAGCCCCACCACAAATCCAAGCTAGCTAGCAAGTGAATTCTCTTGTTCGCTTCGAGACAACACAAAAATCCACATTGGCCTTTGCTCGCTCCTCTCTCCTAGTCGTCTCATCTTCTGCAGTTTCATTCCTTGCTTCATTCAAACAAAAACAACAAAAAGAAAGCAACATGGCGGAAAGTGCTCGAATGGAACTCGTCGAGTGCGAGAGAGAAATCCAGAAGATCAAGGGTGCACTGCGTCAAGTAGGCAGCGAAGACGGACAAAACTCGCTGCAAGTCATTTGGGTCGAGAAGGATGATGCTGATCAAAATCAAGAGATTTCGCTGCAGCTTTCGTCGCCCGTCGAAGAAGCCGTGTTGAACAACGGTGGAGAGACCACGTTTGCAGGAGTCGAATCCTCCATGGCGACGCTGACGGTGACACTGCGAAATAAGAATGGAGGAGACGTCTTGGGAACTTCGGAAGCCTGCGATTTGGCCCCAATCCTCAGTCTTGGAGATACCTTGGAACCCAAAGAGGAGTACGTCATTGAACTCCCTGTGGCCATTGTTGGGACGGCGACGGACGACAGTGCAGAGGATACTGCTGTTGCTGCCGAAGCAACCGCTGAAACAACAGAAGAGGACAAACCCGATGAAAAAGAAGGCGAAAAGACAACTACTGATGAGGAGCCCAAGAAGGAAGAGGAAGAAAAAGAGACGACAGAAGAAACCAAAAAGGAAGAAGAAAAAGAGACTCCAAAGCTTATCAAGCCTCTTGCCACCATCAATCTTCGTCTGGTTTTCAAGCCATCCGCCAAGGACCGAAAGGAAGAACTGTACGAATTACTCAACAAAGCTAGCGTTCGTAGGTCTCAAGCCCTCGAACGCCACAGAGGACAGCAGCAGGAGACAATCACCAAGAAATCGGCTAGTAGTCCAGGCAAAAAGCCTGCCGTCAAGGCTGGATTTCTCAACAAAAAAACCAAAAAGGCGCCGGTGGAAGAAAGCAAGTGGCAACAATTTTACGACAAGTACATGGGACCGACGTCCATGGCACGAGGACTCATTATTCCCATTGCCAAAAACTATGTCATCTTCTTTGGGGCCGTCGTGCTGGCGCATTACAAGGGACAGGAACTTGCCCTTCCTGCTCCAGTGTAGTCAATCAAACATGCGATATCAATCGTATTGGTTATAGAATAAGTTATCCAGGTGTTTTTTGCATCTTGACTCTCGATTGACTACATTATATTATTATATTATAAAGTAGTAGTTACCTTGAGCGACTTTCCATTTGATGGCTGCCTGTCGATTAGCTACCGCAGCTGTGATATCCAGAGGCAGGCACCGGTAGATCCCCCCTTGATTGCTATTTGTTCATTCGAGTCGACGGACCGTATACGACCAGCGCTACAGGCTGCTATTAGCTAGTGCTTCCTCGTAGCAACTATTGCAGTTTTGCTGCGGCAGCTAGCTAGGGCTAGGCTGGACTACTGTTCAGTGCGATCCTTTTTCCTTTTTGTCATTAGTTTCTATCTCAAAGCCATGTTCCTCACAGCTCAGGAGGAATCCCCTTTTTCAACAGCTGCACGCTGGATTGTTTATTGTGACGCACCACCTCCGTGCCAAACAAGTCGCGTTGTGGAGCACATTCCAAGTCTTCGACGCAGCTACCCCGTCCAGTTTTGACTTGAGGAGGATTGAGAATCACCGTGGCCCCGAACTTGAGAGCTCGATAAGTGATCCAAACAGCCCTGGGCAACGGAAGCGCCGTAGGAGGCATAATGTCACCACTGGTACCCACCGTCAAGAACTGTCCACCCCTCTTGAAAATCGTTTGGACCAAAATTCTAGCCACAACTTCACGTTGCTTCTTCGATGCGTTAGCATCCAAAAAGATGGGTCGAAACTCGTACAACAGCTTCATGAATCGCTGATTCCCTTTGTGTGATCCATTCCATCCCACAAGAACATCATCGTCCTTTGTCTGGTGTGGAAACGCATTCTTGTTGACCTGCCAAACAGCATCATTTTGGTTCCCAAGATTGTCGGTTCGAAGAGCCGCTGCCTTGGTGCCCACGAGGAATCGCCACGTGATGGGTCGCCATGCCTTGTTGCGGCGTGCCACGGCTCTGGCGCCTTTTGCGTTGCCCTGCTCGCCCTGGTTCGGAAAGTAGAGTCGCTTCCAAGTGTCAAAATTGTCCTGGACGATCCTTGCCTGTTTTTGCCATTCGTCCGGTGTGGTACGAGCCTTCATGTTTAAAAGCTTTTGTCGAATAGAACCTCGAATTTTGGAGCATTCTACAGCCAAATGGTTCCAACCTTGCCCATTGAGGAGGAAATCGGCCGCATCCGCGGCTGCCCCCGTGGACGCACAAAATGCGTCGTCCATCATGTTTTTGCAGCAACCGCATTCGAAGAATACCAAAGGCTGGCTATTGTTGTCGCGTTTGGTCCATCGCTGTACCGCCGTGACCGATTGGAGCAGGACTTCGAGCAATGGCGAGACTGGGACTGACGTCGTGGAAATGGGAAACTTGGAGAGATCCGTCACTACCAATCTGGATTTAAAGGATTCTTCCAGCCCAAAGTTGTTGTTGATCAATGCCCGTTCTCGACAGTGTTCCAGAGTGGCAAATATTTCATCCTCCAGGGTTGGTAACTGAGGAGACGTCGGTTTCGAACTTGGCCGAACACTTCCCGGTGGTGGTGGCTTTAATTGTCCCGGCCGATGTTGCTGATACGACCCAAGCGGTCTCCCCACGGCAGGACGGTTGTTGTATGTTGCCGGATAATTTCGATTGTTTGACATGCCATTGTTTCTTCCAGTGTTGTTTTGAATTGGCAATTGTGGAAATCCCTTCTTTTGCGCAAATAATTCCAGTAAATAATACCAAGCAGTCATGTAGTCTGCCAATTGGACCGTGTTGGAGCTACTGGCCACAGCATCTCGGACACTTCGTTCAATATAGGGACATTCGCGCACGTGTTTTCGTAATTCCGACAAGGACTTGAACAACGCCTGAGGAGAGACGAATTGGACCGAGACCAATTGGGCGGCTCCTACTAGATACTCGTTGGGAGATAGCGTGGTGTGTCGACAGCCACAGCAACGGTACCCCACCACCTTGTCAATCGTGTTTACCAATGGCGAGTTGCATCGCTGCAGTCGACTGAAATAAAAGGTGGCATTGGGCATAACGGCGGGTTCATGAGGCCCCCGTGTACGGTAGCAAAAGACAAAGCATTCCACCAGTTTGAGAAAGACGGCATCTCCTTTGGGTAGTTCAATGTATTTATTCAACAATCGCCTTGGTTCATCGTACTCGTTCAGCGTCTTGGACGAAGGATCCAACGTGGAGGCAATCTGAACCAACTCCAATGTTCGATCGGGTCGACGTTGTTGCATCATTGGTGCTGCAGCACTGGCAAATGGCCCCCGTGGAGCCACGCCCATCATGGTGGTGGTAGTAGTAGTAGTGGAAGTCATTGGCATATGATGCATGGGCATGGGTGCCATCCGAGGCATGGACGCTGGAGCTGCTCCACCAAAATTCATTGTGACAACAGATACCCAGTGTGATGATCCAATAAAAAAGACTGGTAGCAGCGTGGATCTCAACAGACACTACTAACAAACGGGCAGCGTGGACGGCATAAGGGGGTACAGTTAATTGGTTGATGGATACAGTACATAAACCGCCTGTCCTCTCCAACAAACAGAAAGCTTGATATCGTCCACGGCGAGAGTTCTTTGTTGGTGTTGGTTGCCGCCAATGATCTGATCCTTCGCGTTGTTTGGAGCGTGCAGTCTGATTTGCTATCGAACGGCATTCGAAGCACTATGATATTCATAATTCGAACCGATCATGATCCTCGCCGCGCCAGCTACATACATACGGTACATGTAAATTACTGTACGATGGAACGTACCGTTGGATTGGAAATCTTCAATCCTCCCCCGGCGGCGTGGAAGGTGGATGGTGTCACCAGTCACCAACACTGTAGTCGTGAATACCCTTAACTCTTTCAATCGTGGCTCTCATTGAAGTCTCCGCGAAGCCTCCGCACACCGCATGGCTCTTCGTCCGCAGCCTCAACAGCGTCACCGCAACACCGCAAGAAGACCATCCAAGAGCAAGCAATCAGGCAACAACACGGACATGTACTTTGAGAGGCCCATGGAAGTGTGTTGTTGGGTGTTTTGGGTGTTATAGAGCATGAAATCGGTGCTCATCAGTGGTCCAGTCTCATCTCGTCACCTGTTGTTTTCTATCTGGCAGAATCTGTCATCCCAATTTGGAGGTGGAAAAATGGGATGTCACCATGATGAGCTCACTTTTTTGTTCAACCGGATTGCTAGAGTTGCATACCCAACCGAACAAGGAAGATTCGCGATTGTTGATAAGCCTAGGCCAGATCAACCCCCTACTCCCAATTACCTTTTCTATCAATCTTCTATTCAATACCTATCAAGTGCAAAATGAAGTTCTCTTCTTCTATCATCAAGCTGCTCTCGTGGTCCATGACCACCAACAACAACTACAGCAACAGCAACACCAAGAAGACCCCCGTTCTCCAGGTCGCCAAGGAGACGACGGGCAACAACAACAACAAGGATGTTCCTGCAGCAGAGGAAGTCCCAACATTCCAACTGGACGAGTTGGACAAGTCGGTCATCGAAACCGCAGCACTGTTGCACGGAAAGCATCCTGTTGTGGAATTCCAGCAGCACGGTCGCTTCCTAGGTGCCTACGACCTTTCCCTGGTTCCTTCGGATCAGCATGGTCACTACGGATACGACAAATACAACCAGCACCGGCCCAAGGGCTGTCGCATCAAACCCAGTCAATCAGCCAACGCTCGCTGGAAGACCCATTACGGTCAAGACACCGAACGGAGCAATGGAAACCGTTTATCCTTTGGTCCCGTCAACACTGTAGTGGGGTACTCTTCTGATGAGAGTGAACAAAAAGAAAACAGCCGTGTCTATCGAGCCATGAACCAACATGTGCCACAGGCCCGATATGAATTCTGGCATGAAGCCCAACAACAATTCCTTTCCGTCGGCACACCCTCACCCCACGAACGCGTCTTGGATCTCGTGCAGTTGATTCAAGAGTATGGATACCAACAAGTGACCAAATGGATCACCAACAACCTATGGTTCCAAAGCGACAAAGCGTACCTAAAACAAGCCAAACTGTACATTCAAATTGATGCCGCGCATCAAGACCTTGAGGCACTTGTTCGTTTCATCAAGGCGAAGAAAGGAAATGACAAGCAAGTCGCCCACTGGTTCATGGTCAACGAAAAGAACACTTACATGTTGGAACTCGCCATGTGCCACTTGCATCTCGGTGGAATTCAGCGCAACGCTGACGACGAAATTTGCACCTTGAATACGCGAGAACAGATTGCCAAACGACGATTTGTCTATCGCAAGGTCAAGGACGTCTGCATGGAAGATGCAGCACCCATAGTAGTAGAACAACAACCAACAACAACTAAAGACATCGAGGCAATAGAAAAAGTCTCCACCGTCGACAACAACAAGATGGCATCCGATGCCACAACCACATGCGAAGCAGCTGTGGTTCCCACATGCACAGCAGTGGTGCCATACGTTCAAAAGTGGCATGTGAAACACTTCAAGATCAGTGTGCATGGACAACAACCATTTGTATTGGAGATGCGAATGATGAATGGTGTGCTACTTGGAGTGGTACCCAACGATATTCTCGCAGCATTGATGAAGGATGGTGGAGACCTTGTCAAGGCATTGATGCGGCGGCACAAGACACTACGATTGGAGGCAGGCGTTGCCTCGGTCGAGACGGATTACGAATTCGTGACTGGCCAAGTGGGAGCTGAAGAACCACTGGTCGAGGTCGAGGAACAACAACAAGTTGATGCTGATGAACCACTGGTCGACAACCGAGTCGATGAGGAGGACAATGATGTGGACACAGCACAATCAACATTGCGGCGGTCAAAGAGACGCATGGCGGCAATTGCATCTCAGAGAATCGCAGAGCAAATCAAGACAAAGCCACGGCGGGTGGCAGAACAACCTAGAATTAATCATAGAGGCATGGCCAAGAAGAAAAAGTCGACAAAGCCAAAGGTGAAGGGCAAGAAGAAGACGGCGACACCTGTGACGGACACACAGCAGCAAACAACAGTTCAGACAACAACAACAGCAACAACAACAACAAGTCGTTCTGGACGGCGAGTACGAAAGCCTGACCGGTACATTCCAGTCTAGGACAACAGGTAAGTGGGGGCGGCGACAACAATGGATTGGGGGAACTACTAACACATTATTACAATACACAAGGAGCAAGCATCTGGCGGGGTGCAGGGCTATACAACAATTTTGCGGAGATGAATACAGTTGGTTCAATTGAAGGGTCACATATTAGGTAGCCAGGTTTGTGGTTCCTGTGCTAGGCAGCCTCTATTGCAGAGTGCTTGTCCGAACGTCCTCCACGAGACGAAAGTCCAAAGTTAATACCCGTGACACCTGACAACCAACCTCTATCATTGTTGATGCAATGCAACAATCTTTTTAAATACAACCAAACATAGACATAGAACAATAACACATAGTAGACAATCTTTACAAAACAAAATCATTGTTTCATTCTTTATAGTAGTTGTAGCGGTACTAGTTAGTTTTGGTCGTTCATAATCATAGTAGCATCTATTGTAGGGCAAGCTCTGGCATGTACATTGTAAGTGGAGGTTACTATATTATTACTGGCCACCGTAGTACCCCCGGTGAAGTAAGACTTAGTGCTTTTGATGCTTATCTCTGCCAAGCTCTTCCAGACAATCAGTTCCTCAAAGCACCCGTGCAGTACAGACGTAGTAGTGTTGCACACTTTTTCAGCTGAATCAATCTGGGCTATTGCCAATACTGCGGAAGATGCCTGAATGAAGCAAGAAAGTGAACGCGGGGAGAGTTGAAGATTGTATTTGATGAAGTGGCTCCTGGAGACTTGGACTTGCCTGAGGCTGGCGCTTTCTACGCATTGTGCCTTTACCGGTACATACATTGTATAGACTGATTTGTGCCGTCTAGCTAGTTAGTATGGCTTAGCCTGGCTGTGGCTGCGTCATTACAGTACCTGCTTCAGATCTTCGAGCAGTTGATGCGTTAGTTTTGTGACATGCGTGCAGGATGTGGGACAACCAAGCAACCTTTGGCGTCATGCTTGTTTCCTTTCCATGCGAAAAGACACACTGCGAACGACGCAAGCGAAGGAAACGACACCGGTTATTGTACGATATCCCAGCAGTCAGCAGTCGCTTCACTGGCTAGCTAGAACGACGCGATTGCAACCAACAGGGCGAACTACATGTATGCGCAGCTGCAATGCCCGCAGAGCTTACTGCTGGTTCCATCCCGAGAAAGCAATCTCTCAAGAGTCGTTTGTGATGAGGTCGATTGCACTGACCCTTTCCCGATGCCGCAACTTCAACTCATGCATACGAGTATAAGTAGTGTGGAGATAATCAGTGTGTTAAGGCTTATTAACAGCAATAGAGATGTAGCTCCAGTTTCATTGTGCAATAAATTCAAACCCATGCCCCAACGTATAAGGCCTTGGTCGAGGATGGCTTGCTATCCCTCATCACTTTCGTCGTCGTCGTCTTGAGATCCCCATGCCCCTCCAACGATCGAACATAAATACATGCATTCTATCGTCACTCTCCTCCGTAAAAACCCTTCGAAGCCACGGTAGCTACCTAAGATGACGTTGGCTTGTCAGTCTGCTCCTCCTTGACATTGCTGCTCTTCTCCTTGCTGCCAGCACCTTCCTCTCTCTTGTCACCTGCAGCCATGGAGACCGTCGGCAGAGTTGTGAAGCTACCAGTACTGCCTACTTCATCTGAAGGACGAAACTTCTTTTTGGCAGGTAGCAACCCATCATTCTTAGTTGGCAAATTCATTCCTCTCTTTCTCGCCGTCTGAACATAACTCTTGTAATAGCACCGAATGCGATCTCGAATCGCCACAAAGTTGAAATCTTCAGGGTCAAAGGCGTAGTGGTGTTCGGCAGCCACCTCCAACAATCGCTCCGTCAACCAATTGTTGTACTGCTTTTGTTCCGCCGTGTAGTTCATATTGGAGTGCTTGAGATATTCGTCCCGATTGGCAATCAAGAAGCGCTCCAGTTCCGGAAAATGTTTCCACGAGAACTTTTTTCGCAGTACCGTCTTTTCCTCCAAGTGCGGCTGCTGCACGTACGTGTACGGCGCATACTGCATGGACGGACGAGGCGGTGGAGGACCGTGCATGGGAGTCGACGGTGGGCCACCGCCATGAGGAGGCATGGGCATGTGGCTGCCAGGATACTGATGATGAGGATGGTGATGAGGATATTGATGATGTGGCGGAGGCGGACCGTACGAATGATGCGACTGTGGCGGAGGTGGTGGATAGGGTGTTCGACTGGCATGTGAGTGAGAATGGGGACCTTCTGGATAGGGCGAAGGGGTGTGAGCAGACTGATTCGGATTGCTGCTACTGCTGCCGTAGGGATCCGCGTGATGTGGAGGAGGTCCCATCTCATGATGCTGGTACGGTCCCGCCGAACGTGGATCCGGTGGGTACGGTGACGACCAACGATGAGGAGGATACTTTCGTGCTGCCATGTGGGAAGGATGGGCCCTTGATTGCGGAGGATACTCGCCGTAATAAGGCGGTCGCCTCGAATCGTACGGTGCCGCGTGCTCTGATGGCGGCCCAGCGTCCACACTGTCAAACGAACCACGTTCGACAAGAGCAGGAGTGGGGCTGTCATTCTGTCTCCATTCCGGCGGGTAGCCCCCAGATGCTGCAGGTGGAGCTCCTGCCGCCGTCGGTGGCGGACCACCGCTACCATATGGACGGTTGTTGGTGTTGCCGGGAGGGGAAAACGGACCAGTCTCCCCACCTCGTGTTGGAGGAGCAGGATGCCTCCTTGGATAATGATGATGTTCTGGAGCTGGTTCAGCTGCCCAATAGCCTCCTTCGGCCCTGTGGTCCACTGGTGATATCTGTGGGTGGGGCATTAGAGGAGGTTTTCCCAATGGTGTCGATGCGGGAGTAACGACCGGACTCGGTCGAGGACGTCTTGATGCCGGGGACGTTGGTACAGGTGCCGGTGTAGCAGGGGCTTCTGGTGGTTCGTCTTCTGATTCCTGTTTGCATACTTTCGCCAGCAGTGACAACGGATCTCCCTTTCCTTTTCCCTTTCCTTTTGGTTTCTTCCCATCTGCATTATTTGCATCAGCTCCCTCTTTCTCAGCAGAGGCTTCATTCGTGCTATCCTCCTTGTCGCTTTTGGGTTTTGCTTCGTCCGTAACTCTGTTGGCGGGAGACATGGTAGCTGTAATGCTTCTCACCGGTGTTTCCGCCACGGGAGCAAATGCTTGTTTGGTCGGCCGAGGAGGAGTTCGAGTCACATGAGGTGGTAGCTCACGTGGGCCACGCATGATCTGAGGAGGTTGTTGTACATCCGGCATGTAGGGTCTGCCATCAGACGGATGGGGACTTCTCATGTGAGGTGGAGGAACAGAAGCATGATGGGCATGGTGATGGGCATGCCTTTGAGGAGGATAAGGAGGGTAGCCCTGCTGTTGATTAGATGGTGGTGGTGGTTGCTGATGATGATTATGATGAGGTTGATGGGCTATTCTGTGATCGTAAGGAGGAGCTTCATGGCCGTGCCAACCGGGAGCTGGTCGTCGAGGAGGACCTTGCTGAGACCAATAATCATGCGGGGCAGGTGGTCCACTGCTTCTGGGAGGAGACAGTCCCATCCCATGCGCTGACTGAGATTGCTGCTGGTGCGGATGTTGATGTTGATGCTGGTGTTGGTGTTGGTGTTGTTGAGGTGGGGGGGCGTAATCATGATATCCAGCATACTGAGAATGGGTATCATACGGGGAAGGAGGATAATCATAGGGGCCGCCTCTGCGAGGGCCAGGAGGACCTCCGTAGGAAGCCATGGTCGTGTCAAATTCTCAATTCCTTTCTTATGATGAGAGTTCGGATGTCAAATCTTCCTTTCGTCGCGGACAACCAAGCCTCGTGCTTCTTCTGCCACCGACGTTGTTTGGATCTCTTGCAGTTCAACGCTTCCGTCTCCCTCCAACAAAGGATCAAGCCACGACCGATTCAAATGGCTACAATCCCCACCGTCTCGACGAAAATCACTGCTAACGGTCTTTTTGCCGTGTAGGAAGGCAGCAAGCAAACAAGAGGAAAGTGACACTGAGGTTAGACGCTTTGCGGCCTGCCGGTCGTATTATGAACACCGATACACTTTGGTTTCATAGTTAATGCGAGAGATCAAAGCGGGACACTCCAGCCAAAGCGGTCACATAGAGAATGGATGAGAGTTGGCTCAACTAAGGCTAAATCCGTAGCAGGCATCCAACATGGGATCTGGTCGGATTGTTCCTGGGCGGTTCCGCCTTTCCCGCCTCAACATGTTTCGTGTTATCAGGTAGCAAATTAGACATAAATAGACATAAATATCCTTTATTAGCCTCAATTTTATCCAAACAATTTAGAAGATTGGAAGCTTTGCATGGAAACTATTGGATAATCTTTGGCCGGAACATGTTGTACTGTCACTCCACGTAGGAGTTGAGTACTGCGCCTTAGTACGCACTACGGTCGGCTGACAGTGCCGTTGACATGCCATCGAATTCGAGTCTCCCACCACTGTTCTGACAACGGTCCGCAACTCAAATTGCGCCTTGACTTGTCCCGCACCCCGCCATTTCGTTTCATGTGCGGGGATCCCTCAAAGCATTGGGATGGATACCTACCGTACTCCACCTCAGTTCTACTCCACCGACCATACCAGCAATCGAATGACTCCAGCTATCTAGCTAGCTAGTAGTGCGGTAAAGCCACTTACATTCTTGCTTCCTCGCAAGGAGTAGACCGGGATTTCAAGGAGGCAGCCTCTGATGCCCGGGTTGGATGGAGTTGACTAAGCATGCACGCAACAGCGAGTTGTTGCGCGTACATGGACCTTGAGCTACACTCCTGCAAATAGCCAGCACATTGTTTGAAAACACTGTTTCTCAAGATATTTTTGGTGCGGTTACTCCAATCCCTGCAGCAACCCTACATGTAGCACTAACTAAGCCCGCCTCTCTCCGACACTGGTTGCCGTCCCCTTAAACCCTGTCAACTTGAGTGGTATGGTGGATGCATTGCGAATAATTTTTTGTCACCTGGTAAGGCTTCATGATGCCGGGTGTTCTCGGCCTTGTACTGTATGATGCTCCCAAACTACTACTGCCTTGGTGACTCGAGGCAATTCATTAGCACAGAACTACCATTTGTTTCGTTATTGCAACTCATCACTACTATACATATGTCTCGTCATCTTCTGGTCCAACCCCACTCCGCTTGCAGCCAAAGATCGAAGTCCGAGACCGTGGAAACTCTGAAACCGTGGTTCCAGATTACTAGAATTGGATACCGGTACTGATTCAGTCGTTCATGCACCTCTGGAGCGATGACTCAGTGCCATCATTGCTGCCACCAAGAAGAACAGATCATCATCATGGCACTCGTTGGAATTGGAGAGTAATCGACAATCATACAATCCAACAGAAGCTTCGTATATACAGGATACATCCACAGTGATTCTTCTCGCAAAATATCGAAACTAGACACTTAGTACCATGAAGACTGCAACCGTTCTACCAATTGCCTTGTTGGCATTCGCCAGCTCCGTCGAGGCTTTCACCACGAACGGCTTGAGTGTTCGTCAATCTACATGTACTACCTTAATGGCTCGGGGTGGGCGAGGAAAGAAGGGCAAGAAAAGCAGAGGAGGAATGGATTCTGCAGGGCAATCCGCGACGGACCCCGGTGTTGCTTCTGCGAATTGGGTTGCGATTCCTGCCCCAGCTTTTGACTTTAGCAAGGCAAAGGACGGCAAGGTCGAGCTATTTGATACCAACTTGGTGACTCTCAAGGACTCCTTGACAAACCCAACCGGAGCAGTCTCTGTTCTGAAGCACAAGGGCGAAGTTTTCTGCTTTGACGCTGCCTGTCCATCCTGCAAAATCCCCCTTGCCAAGGCCACAGTACTCCCCGTGACATCCTCGCGACCAACACCAACTCTCACTTGCTCGTTCTGCAAAAGCTCCTACGATTTGAGATCAGGTCAAAAAACTGAAGTGAGCGCTGATGAAGCTGGTGGTGGTCTGTTTGCAGGCCTTGCCCAAAACCTTTTCAAAGCATCAGGCAACACTGACCCTCTCAAAATTCACCAATTAGGCGAGAAGGATGGAAAGATGCTCATCACTCTTGACTAATGAAATATTTTTTGCATTAAAAATTTCTATGGCATGATGATATTCTAGTTCTGAAAGCTTGAAACCATTGCTTCAATCTAAAAAGACCAGCAATCAGAAAACTATGCATACATCACTCTGTCGACTTAATTTAGGCATGAAAACATAGCATGATGACTTCTTCATGAAATAAATTCACGGCGATGTCAGACCCAAAAGTTCTCAACTCGAGTTGATTCATTTCTATACGGTGTTCAAATACAACTATACCTCCCAAAGTTTGTATCATATAATGCGGCACATTCACTAGAAGATTACCCCTCTATCCTGTGTTGCTGCGTAGCTTAGCTTGATGGCGGCTTTGATTGCGATGCGTCAACGGGAGAAAGCAAAAGCGACAGCCAGTTGCCAACGGAGAGACCCTCAGTCTTTTTTCCACCCTTCGCAGCCACTTCCACTGGGTCGTCTGGGTAAATTTTCAGGTTGTATCCAAATTCGAATTCCTGCTCAAGTCCTTCCAGTTTGGGATACGTTCGCATAATGGCAACTTTCAGGGCTTCTTCGTTGGCGTAGATTGCGTCTGTCACTTGAGCACCTCGGGGCACGGCGATGGAACCACATGGGAACCAAGATTGGTCGTCAGAACCGAATTGTCGCACATAGACAAGGTACTCTTGACCCCCAGATGCCGCAAGCTCGTCATATTTGGCTGCCTCAGAATCACGCTTCGTTTGCCCGGCAGATTTTTCTCGCTTTGGCGTCTTCTCAGCTCCAAAGCCCTTGGCCATCTGAAGCGATGTACTGTGGTGTTCGGCATTCAAGGTTAGAAAATTAAGAGCATATCAAGCCGTACAAGAAACGAGTTTCGAACAAATTCTTACGTTTCGCTTCGAACCACGGAACGGCTAGTTCCCAGCATCGGTGAAAAGCTGTGGACATTGCTTGCCGCCAGTGCAACCAAAAGGAAAGAAAGCAGCTTCATCATGGTTGAGATAGACGCTGAAGAAACAGGTGAAGAGGACTTGAATGTTGATTTTGTGCAACGATGAAGTCATTCATAGCCTTCTTTTGTCATTGTCAGTGCAAAAGACACCACACGGAACAGCTCATTCGAAAGGATGAGTGAGAGGGATACTGATGGATAAGCGATGACGTGGTGAAGCCCTTTTTCTAACAATTTTCAGCCGTGCTTAGAGCCTTCTTTTGCGATTACTTTTATCATTTTGACAATTTCTTAAACCTCCCTTGCCCCTCTCGCTACCTGGCAGCTAGACTCTAGCTATTGGTGGGCCTAGCTAGAATACATGTTGGTGAATTTTCTATGGAAGCCAGCAAGAGCCTGGCTTAAAAGCAAAGAAGAGTCAGGATTAGATTCCATGGGTTCAGGGGAGATAAATTGAGGACCAGTACAGGGGCCCAAAGGCTTGGCTTTCAATGCTCATCAATGGAACCAAGGCTCCTTGAGGTCGGATTGGCAACTCTGGAGGCAACGTTTCTGTGAATACAAACTAGCTCCCAAGTGCCTGCATGTAAGTGTTCCTTGCTAGTACCGCAGGAGAGGTCAACATCTCCCCGAGACTTTCTTGCAACCTCAAAGCAAAAGCTCTAACAGATTCTCGTTCTCTTCTTGCCAAACATACTAACAAGTCCACCGCAATTTGATTAAGAGCTTTCAGAATTTGCTTTGCTTCTGGACAAGTATTGCTTTATTGTATGCGTGCAAGTTACAACTAGTACTGGTAAGCTAATCAAAGCCAAGAAATTCCATCAGAGCCACAAAGGCAATGCTCAACGGGAAGATCAACATAAGAAGAACACCATGAAACGTTGTCAGGATATCCTTTTGCACAATGGCAGCAACGGCAAACTCGACTACCAGAATTGCAATCGTCTCAGCTGTGTATTCCCATGCCAAACCACGAAAGAAGATAAGCCCCATAAAGATGGATAGGCAAAATGTGTTGTTCATGGCAGCAGCACCCTCCAAAGCAGACAAGGAGACAGACATTGTTTTGCGAGTCTTCTTGGATGCATAGTAGTAGCTCGCAACGACTTCACTTAGGTTGGATGCAAGCGGTGCAAGAATGAATGCAACGTAGAACGGAGGTACGCCAATTCTCACAGCGACTTCTTGCATCACGTCTACCATGGGGTCTGAAAAGATCACCACGAGTGTAGTCCCGATTGCCAACATGAAGAAAGCTCGCTTTTTGATGGCAGATTGTTGTTGATCTGGAGGTAAATCGGTAAAGTCTGCTGGTACTTCCTCTTCCTCTTCTTCCCCTTCGGCCAAGATGCCCTTTACGATTTCTCCATTGGCTTGGTCTCCTGCATCCCTGGTTTCTGAGCCAGTGCGTTCATCGTGTTCACGTTCCATGATGAAGGTATAAGCCATGGCAATGAACTCGTCGAAGGAATAGGCACCATCTTTGTCATTGTCAAACTTTTTAAACAAACTGTCCATTTCGTCCGGTTTGATACTCTCGTGAAAGTCTCGGAAGAACCTGTATACTTCGATCCTATCAAGAGTTCCATCCCGATTATTATCATATGTCAGGAATGCATCCAACAAAACCTCTTTCAGATATTCATGGACTTTGGGAGGAAGAGCATTGTTCGCGTCCGTGTCAGCATCCATGTTCTTGTATTCAGGCATGTTTTCTGTGCTGATATGCATGTCAGGCTCCAAAATTGCAGCGCCCAAAGCACCCGAAAGGCTGACCTTGCCTTGTAGAAGAAGTTTCTTGACCGCTGCGACACGCTTCTCTTGGTCTTGTCCTTCATTGCTGAACTCGAGTTGCTTTTTCATGTATGCCACGAGCCCAACGATGCAAATGATTAATCCAGTCAAGGCCCACCAGTGCTCTGCTTGGGATACGTCCTCGGAGGGAGTATGGATGAAACTTGCTGGAAGTTGGATCAAGAAGAATGGGATGGTGGTGAATGCCATGATGAGACCTCCCTGCTTGACAGCTTTCGATGTTGCAACCCCTGTTGCCATGAACTCATCGATAATGCTGGACTTTGGCGTAAGCTTTGGCTTGGAGGTATAGTTGGGTGTTCCTCCTGCATCCACATCTACTCGACCACCAAAAATTGCGAGGGCAAACGTGACTGTCAAAAGCATGATTGTAGAACCAGCCAGGGCTCCGACACCAACGGCCAAGCTCTCTTGTGCTTCCTCGATGGATCCAAGACCACTAAACAGAATGATTGCTTTTGTGTTTGTGTTTTTGAAAAGCAGCTTTGAGCATGGCAAAACGAAATGACGATGGCTCTAACTGTCGCGGAACCTGAGCTTACCTCCATCGGGAACGGCCCCAAGCACTGGTAACACCACCCCTCCGACCAATCCAGCCATAGACGGAATCATGAGCAGCAGCTCAGACCCTTCTGAAATCAGGCTTGAAGCCGAATAAAGAGCATATCCGTAGCTTCCAAAGAGCCACAGAAGTCCCGTCACTCCCACATCACTCGGTTCCTACATGTATAGAACGCGTACAAACATGGAGGAGAATGAGCAAGACTTACTACTGAACGAATCTGGCAGAGTCCTTTCTACTCACGATAGAAGGAAACATCCTTGAATGGATAATTGAGACGCCTTGAGATGCAACTTGCTTGTATGATGCCAACAAAGCTTCCACCACTTGTCCTTGCGGTCTTGATGTTTAGTTTCCCGGCACTTTCGTGACGGGTTTCGCCAAACGGGAATCTCATCATGTCACCTTGCGTTGCACTGGACGATGGTCAGAGGTACCACAAATTGGTCCCTTTTGCCCCGTTGGATGTTGGTTGTTGCAAGGGTAGCTAGCTAGTAGCCATTAGCCAGAGCCTTAGACTACACATACCGGTACATACATGAAGGTCAAAGGTCTGCCTCCTGTCTGATTCCTATCACCATTGCATATATCCATTCTTTTCGTATGGATTCTATTCTCACAGAGCAGCCTCGACATTCAATCTCTGGCTAACTACTTGGTTGCTAGCTAGAACAGATCAACGTACACATCGTAAACCGTCCCAATCTCGGCGTCAGGTTCTAGCTGTGGTATCGGCATCAGTTCCGTATCTGCCGGCCCTTTCGTGATATGTACGGTGCGGATCAGTACTGTACCGCCCAATTTCCAACAAGTCTTAGTTAGCCTAAGCACCCGATTTTGCTTTAAGTTGCATCAACGCCCCTTCTGTCACTCTGATACACGCACCCTTCAGCCAATTCTTACCGGAGCAATGTACGCCTACTAGATTCTATCCTGCTAACAATTGAATTTTCTATAGGAAGAAATCTGAGAAAAAGGATTTATAAATGAATCCGAAAGCAGCTACAGTACTACAAATTCAGCCCTTGTGAACTGAAGGAAAAGATATCAATAGCAGCAGCTGAACCCTTCTCATCCATCAACTCCTCCTCTTGTTGCCAAAATTATCGTGAGATTTCCTCTCCGCTCTTATTTTTTCCTCGACAAATGAATTAGACATCAAACAGATCATCTGAATTGAGAATATTCAAACTCTGCTGGAATTGGATGGTGTATTTATCCAATTTCACCGCAATTTCATTGTCGCTCCTCTTTCGTTCCGCGGATTCCTGTTCCAGTTCTTGCTGCAATTGAGCCAGTTCCTGTTCTAGTCGAGCCTCGACCGATTTTCGTCCCACTCGGCGTGCTTCCTCGTTGGATTCTAGCTGATTGACGAGTTCTCCAACACATTCAATGCGTTCCTGCCGTTCCCGGTCCCAAATATCCTCGTAATCTTTTCCGTGCGCTTCAATTTGCTGCAAGAACTGCCCTTCCCGCACCAGTCGCAGTTTGCGCTCTGTTTCTGCTTCTTTCCGCAGTTCGTCCAGAGCCGCCGTGAATTCGTGTCCCTTCTTGTGGATTTGCTGGTCTTGTTGTTGCGACTCTTGCTTCCACCGAACTTCCAATTCATTGAATCGCTGTTCCAACAATGTCACACGCTCCTCAACGAGTTCTCGTTGTTCTTGAATTTCCTTTCGACATCGATCTTCCCACTGTTTGATTTCTTCCTTGGCTTGTTGTTCCAAATTGCGCACGGCATCGACGCGACGTTTGGTTTCCGCGGCCAATGCTGCCTCTAGCCGCGCCACTTTGACGCGCAATTCGGCAATGTGAGAGTCTTCCTTTTCTCTTCGAATCCGTGCTCGTTCTTTCATGACTTGTTCAAACTCGGGTCCATCCAATTTGACGGCTTCTTCAATCGGTGTGGTGGCCAACATGATGCTCGTGTTGCTGCGCGGAATGGGAGACAAGAACTTGTTATTGTCGTCTGATGGCACTGACAATAATTGCGACGATGTGGGTTGTGGTTGGGGCGTTCCGACAGTCATGGTTGTTTGTTTGTTGCTTGTTGCTAAACTAGAATGGATAATACTTGACCAAACTAAAGGGATAGATGGATTTTGGTTCACAATGACAGCACCATCGGCATCGTGGAGCGAGAGTGGAGAGTGTTCGGGGGGCTTCGCTGCGAGTTTTGTTCGTTAGATCCTCGTTAAGGTTAATGCTAACGACCCTTACGGGAAAGTGAGAGACTTCCATGGATCCGTCCCAGGCGACGAGACGAGCGAAGATGACAGTCCAACAAAATGTCTCTCGACACAAACCAAATCAATAGATAGAGGATACCTACAATAGTAATACAATCAAACAAACAATCGTATCGATCAAACCATCATCGAGCTAGACTACTACTTGGAGGAACAGAATGGTGTGGGGGGAAGGCGTTCCTTCTGGCAGAGAGCGCGCTATCGAGACTTTAATCGATCGAGAGCCACAAGGAACCTTCTATCGTGCCGCTCGGGTTTTGGTACGTTGAGTTTTTTCTCAGTCCGTCTTTTTATTAATGCCGTTGTCAAGACCTCATATTGTGTTGTATTACTCTTCCTACCTATAGGACGAAGTGGTTCCTCAGGCACTCGTGAATCGTCCCAATGTGGTAACCAAAGGAGCTCTGGTAGAACAAGCCAAAGCGCTGGCGGAACATGAGATTGTCTTGTCCAACTACGACTCCGTCTTTGGGTTGGAAGGCAAGACGTCCTCCGCCACGGAACCCACTCTTGTCTCCAACACATCCAAGGATCGTATTCTACGACATCACGCCAAACAGTGCAGTGTCCTACGAAAGAAATCCAATCCACAATCCACCCCTTCGCCTCAGTTTGTAGCGGCGCTGCGACAAGTCTACGGCAATGCCGCCGATGATTCTCCATCTTTTAACTTTCGAACACTCCTCAAGTCCATTATGGACCACAAGGTATTTGAGGCCGCTTCCACTACTTCCACCTCTGCTACTACTGCGACGCCAGCGGAACCCACGGGCGAACCCAATGAACAACCAGAGGAAACGTCCCCAAAAGACGCTCCTGTGGCACAAGTAGAAGCACTCATTGCCAATCTAGCGAGACTTTCGGAGGACAAGGATAATTCACTCATTCAGGGACTCCTTGTCGTCGCACTCTCGGTATTGACGCAAGCGGTTCCGGATCAGGAAGGAGACCACACGACCAAGAAAAACAAGGGGACGAGTCAAAATGTTATTCATAATAAGAAACCCAACAAGAAGGCCACTACGGAAGATCCCACGGCGTCGCCGGCTCTGGCCGTTGGATCCGTTCTCTCCTTGTTAAAGTTGCCGGACAATAGCACGTTGGTGGATGGTGGATTCAATGTCGATCCAGAATTGATGGAGTATTTTGCGCAGGCGGCCATTGCCTATGAAGGCCGCATCGAGATACAGAAAGCTCGATTGCTTACCAAATTACAACAAGAAGTAGTGGAAACCAGTCCATCGGACACGGATCTGCGCACTGCCGAACCAATCGGTGATCCTACAGTTGACACGCCAGTCGTATCCACTCCGACACAGGCGGATACTAATAATAATGATGATGAGGGCCCCGCCGATAATGACAACAACGACAGCGATAATAACAACGACAACAATGCCGAAACAAACAACATTCCGACGCATTTTGCCGATCAAGTGGCAATCTTGGAAGGTGATGCCGCAGGTCAATTGGAACGCTTGGCGGAAGCCACACTTTCGGGTGCTGCTGCACTGGAACAAATCATTTCTTCGGCCACGGGCGATGAGACGTCGTCGGGTGCCGAAGAAGAAGAAGAGGAAGAAGCCGATATTAGTTCCGGCAGCGACAGTGGAAGTGGCAGCGATTCCGATGAGGAACCGGGGCTCGTGACCAATACTGGTGGTGCCGCCGAAGAGCCGGCAACGGGATCCTCTCCCGCGACTGATGACGAAGGAGATGCGCAAGGGGATGATGATGATGATGATTCGTCTTCTTCTGGTGCTGGCGATTGGGGAATGATGGAAGGAGCTAGACCCGGTAGTGAGGTCGATGTGGACGAAGTCATTGCCGATGCAGAAGAAGAGGACGACGACGAAGAAGAAGAAGAGGAGGACAATGATGAAGATGATGTTTTACAGCAAGCGTTGGCGCTGAGCCTTTCCGAGCAAAACAGAAACGCTGCCGAAGCCAACGCATCAGGAGAGGAAGCGCAGACTGCTGATGCTCACACTGGTTCAGGCGAAACACCAGCTGCATCGGCAGAAGAAAAGTCAACAAACGACAAGGATACCGACGCGTCGCTGCCACCTCTGCCGCCCAAGCCATCCTCTTATCCCTACGCCAGTTCTCTGGGCAAGACACACGAGGTGGACACAGACCAAGCTGGGTCGGCAGAGGATCAAACTTTGCCCTATTTTGATCCTGCGGTTCTCAACAAATTCGGGTCTCTTCCTACCGCCAATGTCCTTGTTCACTTGCTCCTGTACACGGCTGGAGTTATTGAACGAAATAGATTTACAGGGACTACAACAAATGATAGTGGCAGCGCTAAGGAGGGAAGCTTCTCCTCTGTTTCTGGTGGAATCGGAGTTTCCTTGTTTCCGCCGAAACACAACAATGTTGATAGAAAAGAGGCCAGCAATGCAGAAGAGAGTGCCAGAGTTCCTGTCACACTTCAACTGCTAGTGGCATTCTTTCTACAGACAATCGAGAAAAGAAACGATGCCATTGCTGGTCTCCGCAAAGCTATTGCTCACGCCGAGCGCCATGCTCAAGGAGAAGACGTCGCCGACGAAAGTGGTGCCGATGCGGATGCTGCGGGCGGTAATAACACACCTCTATCGTCAGAAGAAGAGGACGACCCTGCCATTGCTTTGGCCATGAACTATGCAGAGGACGATGTAGCTTCCGAATCACTGGAAGCGAAGGGAATGATAAGGAAGGCTGCCGCGGCTGCACATGATGCTGCTGCAATGCTCAGACTACTGCGGCGGCGCTGTGAATCGTGGAAACAGAATGTGAAGCTGTACTCTGTTTCTGCCGTTCTGGCATTGAAGAGTCTTCGTCTTTTCCTGCAATCAACGGTGCGTCAGCGATTGCACGAACGTGAAGTCAATGGCAATGCTTCATCGTTCCTATCCGATTGTGGCGAGTTTCTGCCATCTCTCGTCAGTTCAAAGCTATCCATGTCGCTTGCTTCCCTCATGTCAGTCAGTGGATACACCGCCTTTTCCACCCTGCTGGGCGACGATGTAGCTGAGGTTGGTGAAGTATTCTTGCCTTTGACGTTATACAAGGAGGCTGTGAGTACATGGGGCGAATGCGTTCCTATGGTGTATCCTTCGGTCACGGCACAAGTTGAGATACTGAGGAATCTGATTGCTGAATGTTCGCCTCGATCGGGCGGGGAACAAGGTCCCCACTTCAAGTCTGCCGAATCCTTGACTGCGATGCCGTCGTCAGAGCTCGAACCCCAAGTACACCGACTTCAATGCCTGTGTAAAAGACTAAGGGTTGCAGACCTTCTCGACAATCTAATTCCCAATCCGGCGTGCTATGTCCCTGATGGAAAATTCTCCGGCGTTGACACTGATGGTGAATCTGAGACTGAAGAATCTAAGAGCAAACGGCAAGGTACGGATCCATTCAAAGCGAGCGCCGTTGTTTCCCTCGTAGCGTCTGCAACCAAGGAAGTGTTTGGCGGAAAAGGGGAACTGCAGAGGCTGTTCTTGGCTCTATGCCACCGATATCATTCCCGTGTTCTTCTCTGGGGCGGCTTGTACGAGTCTTCTGAGAGTGATGTAGATGACGTTGCTGGGACCGCTGCGACCCAGGCTTCTGTTTCATCAGGTGATATCGTGCGTATTGGCGCTGCCCCTTCAAACACCCTACAATTCGACGCCACAAAATGCTCGGATTCCATCGCCATTTTGGCAAACCACAGCGAATCGTCGGGAGGCGCCAATGGATCATCCGTGCACCAGCGTGCGTCGAAAGTCTGGGGCGCCGTACTTTCTACGCACCACTACAATCCAAAAACTGGAATCCATCGATGGGCCGTTAGACTGGACAAATGCGAAAGAGGGCACGTGTTCGTTGGCGTCGCCACAGCACAGGCTAGCATGCGCACTTACGTCGGCGGAGACAAGTACGGTTGGGGTATGATCGGAACTCAGGCACTTTGGCACGATCGTCGAAAGGTGAGTGCATTGCTTTGTTAACTGGAGCCTGTGGTATAAATTCGCTTGAACGGAGTTTCTGACACGTCGTTTGGATCCACAGATCCGCGGTGACTATGGGGCAACGTTTCGCACGGGCTCGACTATCATCGTTACACTCGACACTGATGCTGGCACTTTGAGTTTTAGCTCGTGGAAAGACAACTCTTCTTCCAGTTCTTTCTCGTTGGATCCTCTTCTCCAAAATCAGTCTACGGCTCGCCGTCAAGGCCACATTGGAGGAACAGTGGAAGATTGGGGTATTGCATTCGAAGGACTTCCACTTGATTCGCGCCTGTATCCGGCTGTAGGATTGTACCAGAGAGATGACCGCGTCACGCTGCTGACTGTGGAGAGCAACAGCAGAAGCACAGGGCGTGACGGAGGTGTTGACATTTCTGGCGGCTTGTGCTATTACCCTCTCCTTGACAAAGTATCCGATTCTCGTCGCAATGCGGCAATAGCTCAGGTCCGGCAGTTCAACGACGCTTTGTCCTGGGAAGGAGTGCAGTATGTTATGGAAATGCTGCTTTACATTGAGCAATGCCTTGAGAATGGGCGAGATGAGCTTATTCTTGCTGCACTCCTACCAAGCCTTTCAGCTGCTTTGTGTCTGGTGCCCAATTCGATTCCTATCCTTTCCGAACGATTTGCGCTGACGTTGTTGCCGCATCTTGGCAAGTTTCTGCTGAAGCTTGATGGGTATCGCGGTAAACAAAAGATGGTCCAGAATTTGTTCAGAACTGGGGTGAGGCCCGGAAAGTGGATCATTCGAGCGACAGGATCGTCCGGCGAGAACAGTGATTTCGAGGAATATGTCGTTGATTTTACCTCAGCGGTGAATGAGCAAGGAGCTACAGTTGGATTTGAAGGTACGGGGGTAGGAACAACAGGGAAGTCGAAAAATGGATTGGTAGCCATCTTTGGTACGACGAAAGGGTCGTCCGTTCATTTCGTTGAGGAGTGGTCAGATGGAAGCGACGAAGGATTCGGGTCAACTGCAACTCCCGATGAGACTTCGTCTTGTGTGGTGGCAGCTCGAATTAGCATGGACGGGACGAAGTTCGAAGGGACGTACCGAAACGTCCAGTTTGGCACTTCAGGGAAGATTGCAGGGATCTTGCAAACTGACCACACCGCTTTCTCCAAGATTCGTCTGAAAGATGCTCCTGTTTCGTCGAGACAAAACGCCGAATTGGCAGATGGAGTCGTGATGGGAGAGGCAATCTTGTGTTTGGCATACAACCACATGGCAACCATCATTGGAGAGGACGCCGCTGGAGATCAGCAAAGTGGCGCATCTGTGACTCCCGTTAACCACGAGGGACAACCACTGTCCTCATTACGTCGGCTGCTCGCTGGTCAGCTCCTCGCTGGTTCGTCTCTTTCTTCCCCAGATGAATCACAACTGGTGGCGCTGAGAGAGGAATATGCATGGAAGAGTGATTACGATGACCCGCATGAGTGTCGCAATCTGCGTTTACTGGATTCCTCGGGTGTTCAGAATATTTTGAGTGAATGTGCTGGAGGGCTTGCACCTTCCATATCGTCAGAAGAGATATTCAGCAAAGTTGCCACATTTGACGAACGTTTAGCTCCCAGATTTGGAGGCATGGGCTCGTTGCGGGGACTGTGCCCAGCTGAGTACGATAAGTGCCGAAGGCAGATCATTGGCGCATTTGTAAAATCATGTGGCCTCGTCGATGAACTTACCGACGAGGCTGAGGGTGCTGCTAGTCTGGAAGCCATCTGGAAAACATCGCTCAAGATTATGGAGGACGGGCTTCGCGATTCCATGTCAAATCCCACGACAAATGCGAGCAAGAAGGAATCCTGTGCAACCCGGTGTGAGCTGTACGGGCAAATCTCCCAGTTTCTGTGCTCCCTGGAGCTCTGGGAGCGGGTCTCTGTGGGAGACGCCAGTAGAGAAATATCTTCTTTCTACAGGAACATCCAGAACGCTGCAGACCTCCAGCTTCTTCAGAAGGAAATGGAAGCCTGCTCGCGACGATCGTTGCTACGTCTGATATCAGTGCAAGAGGTTGCCAACCTGTTTGTGAACGTCGACAAGGCCGCGCGTGACCTGGACAGCTTCATTGCACTCGAGTCCCTCATAATCGGAATGCCACGTCTGCTTGGCAGAAGCCCTGCAGAGTCTGTTGGTCGAATCCGCAAGCATGGATTAGCCAGACCTGAAAGCACCCGTGGTACCGGGCATGCCCAAGCCAACACAGCCGGTGCCGGCCGATTGACGCGACTAGCCGTCCGAAACTATGTGCACAAGCTGTTCCATCTTCTTGGTCAAATTGCAACCAGAGCGCTGGCCCACCGTGACGAAGTCAAATCTGGAGAGGCAATTATGTCGGTCGACTCTTTGCTTCTTTCTTTGGTGACGGTTTTCACAATTACACTAAAAGACGAGGACATTGAAGAAATCATCCGCGGTAGTAATATCATTGGCATAATGAAAAATCTCCTAGAGCAACACCGAGGCTCTATGGCTCCAGGAAGCCTCTTGCGGGGCGGCGACCAGGTCTCCGTGGTGAAGAAACTTCAGAATATTTGCGAACGAGAAGTGTCCAGGTCGGTGTTACGAGCCTGTGTTGCTGCAACGCACACGCTTGTTTTCCAAGCTTCCAGCCGAAATCAAAACAAGCTGACAGGCACCAAATGTGCAGAAATGATCTCTTCCTGCTGCGAGATCGTCTTCACTGAAATGAAGAATACGATGGAGACTGCCGAACAGATGGTTGCCGAGGTTGTTGAAAAGGCAATCACCAAAAAGACTGATGCGGACTGGGAGAAGTTTTGCGAGGCCTCCTGCCCGTCCATATCTACCACAAACTCGACGAAGAGCGGGAACGCTCATCAAGTAGGAAGTGCTGGATTGATGTACCTGCAGGAGAATGGAACAACGCACAGTTATGCTATCGGAAATTCCCAGAAGTCGTCGTCTCGCCAGAAGAGCTCGTCGAGTGCATCTTCTCGGCTCTCATCTGATGGTGTCGCCAAGGCCCAAAACGGCTTTGCATTCCAACTTTTGTCCCAGTGGCTCCACATCTTGTGTGGAATCCTGTACTCTCCCACATCAAAAGCTCTCCTTGCCAACAACTCTGAGTGGATCTCGTTGCTCCTTTGGGCCGTTGGCATGTCAGTCAATGAAACAGATGGTTGTATTGACGAAGTATCAGTACGAAAGCACCGCGAGGGTTTGCTGCCTTCTCGTTTTCGGTCGAGAATTCTTCGATTCCTGCTCCCTCTTCTTGAATCTGCCAAACCCAACGACCAAGTTGTCGTGGGTCTGCTTTATTTGGCAGGATTGGGAACCCCCTCGATGCCCCGCAGCCTCGACGAGGAAGAGAAGTTTGTGGCGCGCGAAGCAGTGACGCTATTGCGCCAGCTCCATTCCCCTTCACGGGCGGCATGGCGAGAAAGTGTCAACCGAGTGATTTCTGCTGTCCCTACTACTCCAGTTGGAGAAGACAACAATATCATGCTGCGGCTGGGCGTGCTAGCCTTCCTCTCTGGCAACATGGAGGTTATTGGAAAGGGTTCCTATGTGCTGCTCAAGCCCGCTGCTGCCGTGCCGCTTTCGGTGGATCAGCAGTCAGGTCCGTCCAGTAAAGGACACTCGAGCGGAGTGGGGGGCACCGGATCGGGGGTCGGCGTTACTCCTCACCATACCGTGGGGAATGGCACTGAGGGTGTTGTCGCAGGGCTATGTAGGCATGATGCCTCTGCGGGCCTTGTTAGCAACATTGACATGAAGAACGGCATTTGTGAGGTGGTATTGCTGACGAGGGATCCTGTGAGCGCCGACGAGAACGGAGAGAGCTTGCTTCTTTCCAAGCCACGCGGCTCGTCAGGCCCAAGACATACTCTGACTGTCCGTGCTTTGCGGACGGCCCTTTCGGATGTTGTTCATGCACAAGAGGCTCCCCTCCATCTGGACGAGTCGATGACCTTTGAAAAGTTGTTTGATTCGCTTATCGAGACTGCTCTTTCCAGTTTGTTTGCTGTGATGAAGCCATCTGCTAGCTTGAGTGCCGTGGGCGGTGTAAGTGGGTCTACTGATGACTCGACCGAAACTGGATTCTCTGCGTACAGGTCGGGCCTGCTGAGCATCTCTGCTTCGATAATGCTGCTACGGTCCGCCATTGTGGTACTTTCTGACAAGAGAATTGCCTCGAGTTTCTTACAAGCGAAGGATTCGAAGAAGATTCTTTCTCGCATTCTTCGATTGGCTTGGCCGGCTGACCTTGAGAAGCAAGATGTGTCGGACTACGTTGTGAAAGCGCAACGATCATTCTTGTCTTCCCTGCCTGTCCATGAGGCTCGCTACGGACACTTGGTCTCCATTCTTCGCGATTTGGCACTCCGTGATGATGCGACTGCTGGAATTTCGGACGAAGAATGGACCAAGCGTATCGAAGACCTCCGTCGAAGGCAACTGGCGATCGGAGACGAAGGAAACAAAGATCCGCCAGCGGCAACTGGCAGCCCAGAAAAGCAAAACAACGCTGCAACGACCGAGTCAGAGTCTGGAAAACATGGTGTTACTCAATCATCAGAAGGCGCATCTGGATCTTCTACAGGCGGAGGAGGCGACGCAGAAGCGGGCAACCGAAACGCAGATTCTTCAAATCGAGCTGCGTCGCAGTCAACGATTAACAGCAACAGCGAAGACGAGGAAGAAAGTGAAGCTGCTGCAACTGCTGCGGCTCATCTCCGAGAAGCCGCCATTGCACAAATGGCTGAGCTGGGCTTGCCCCGTTCATGGTCAGAACTGGCCCTGAGACGGACAGGTGGAAATGACATCGAGGCTGCGGTACACTTTTGCCTTGAGAGAGGCGGTGAGATGGAGCGGCTTCTGGCAGAAGAGAGGGAAAGGGAGAGACTTATGCAGAGGCAAGCTGGAGGAGGGCAATCATCTCGTCGTCGTGGATACCGAGGGGAGAGTGGATCCTCCAATCACCTTCTTCGGCAGCTGCTCGAGATGGGTTTCCCAAGCAGGTGGTGTGCAGAAGCATTGGCGGCAACGGGAAACAACGTTGACGAAGCCCTGACCTGGATCTTGACTCACGGAGAGAGACTTAGCGAAGAAGACGAGGCCATGGAAGACGAAGACAACGGAGAGGATGTCGATGACGAGGACGAGAGCATCGAGGATGAAGATGACGACGAGGATGATGGAGGAGGTTCGGTCTCTGGCGCTGATGGTGCCAGTGAAGCACCACCAAAGAGCAGCATCGAAGGAGCCACCAACGCGTCGGAGGGTGGAGCAGACGAGCCCGTTTGGTCAGGTTCTGTAGTACCATTGCGATTCATCTCTGGGCGGTCAATCATCGATTCCAAAACGCTGGCAATATCTGGGCTCCCAACTGGTGGATTCTCTTCTGTTGGTACAAAAGGTATCCTTCTTTGTTCAGGAAAATGGTACTATGAGGCCATCTTGGAGACGGCTGGGTGCTTGCAAATCGGCTGGGCAGACGGGAGCTTTGCCGGGCACTGCCATGCAGACAGAGGCGACGGGACAGGTGATGGTCCAAGCTCCTGGGCGTTTGATGGTTGGAGAAGATACCGTTGGCACTCAACAGCAACAGAATGGGGCTGCCGATGGAAGGAAGGAGATGTTGTCGGCTGTCTAGTAGACATGGATGCACGGACCGTGTCGTTCACACTCAACGGAAGAGGCGAGGAAATCGGCATGGGTGTGGCCTTCTCGGGAGAAGGTTTCCGTCCGTGTGGCGGTGTGTATGCCTGTGTGAGTTTCAATAGGAGAGAAAAGCTTCGTCTGAGGCTCTCAGAACCTTTCAAGTATCAGCCTCCTGATGGTTATCAAGGTGTGGGTGTTGCGGTTCTCCAGGCAGTCAAAGAACGGGAACAACTGGCATTGAAGGAGCAGATATTGGACAGAGCAAACTCTAATCGCCCTGAACCACCCAAGAGATTCCTTTGTGACTTTTCGGATGGAGAACACGGGCATGAACTCATGGCTTGGGCTCATCGATACTATGGATCAGATGCATCTGTGCATCTTGGGTCTGGGCGTTCCAAACAATCATCAACTGTACAAAAGTCTTCAACTGTCCCTGCGACGGATTCGCACGCTGCTGCTTTTGCCATGCGCAGAATCGAGAAGGTTTGGAGCGATGCGAAGGGCTCGGACGGAAATTCAAAGGGAGTCATCAAGAGTGATGTAACCAAAGACGAGGTGGTATCGATGCTGAAGCAGGGATACATCGAAGCAAGCAAACAACTCGACGGCCAGCTAGTGAACGAGTCCGCTGTTCTTGCGATTCTGTTTGCTCGCAAGTTGATTTTGCACTTGACAGTAACCATGGGCCAAGATTTTGATCTCACCTGCTTCCTTGAAGATGGGGCCGATTCAAGAAGTAATGCTCGTCAGTATTGGGGAACGGTCGAGTCCTGTGCAAGTCTTCGTTGTGCGGGTTGGGTCGGCGAAGCCGGGGCGATGGCAATTGCTGCTGAAGCGCTGGGTCTTGGCATCTCAAGCAACGATCATGGCCACTCTCGTCAAACATCATCGGAAAGAGCAGGAATCGCTTCTGCCACGGATCTCGATGAAGGCGCAATGCTACCCGCGGGTGGCATCACTCAGTTGCTCAGCAGCGTTATGAAGAGCGACACTGACTCGACAGCGAAAGAAACTGGAAGTCTGTTGGCAGCATGCGCTGAAGCGGCGATTGGAAGTGACGGAGGAGGTGGCGTGTTGGTCTTCCTTCAACAAGGATTACAGAGTGCTGTGCAGAAGTCGCCAGACTTGCGGCAAGTTCTTACAGCTGCCGTCAGACGGTCGGTCAGACTCCTCGCTGTGGTGGAATATGAAGGCGATGATTCCGACGGTTCTGATCAAGCCGAGGTATGTTTGTGTTTTGTTTCACATAACTTTTTGGATGGCCTTTCATGACTCACTGATTACACACTGATGCAACGAACTTCGACAGGACGAAGCGGACGCTCCTGCTTCGACTGAAAAGAAGTCATCTTCCAGCAAAGACGACGACCATGATGGCTACGATATCTCGGCATTACCGGACGCGCGGCTGACTTCGTTCTTGACGGGGTTGCTGATGAGTAAACCGGTTGAAAGGACCGTCAGCCAGGATGACTTTGGAGGGGTGGTCGAAGATTTGTTCCAAGCATGGAGTATTGGAATGCTCTCCGCTTCTCTCCCTTGGCGTATGGTGTGCGCTTTCACTGTGGCTGGAATACTAAATAAGAGCCCAAAGGCGCTCTCCTCGGCTGTTTCTTCCTTTCCTACTCTAGCGAGGTTTTATGGTCGGCTCGAGAGCACCGTGTCCCGACGTGTATGGGCGGAACGTGCTGCGGTTCCCGTGTGCTCTCGTTATGTCCAAGCTATGATTGAACTATTGGCTGCCGTCAAGCGATCGATTTCTGTACAGAAGATGCCATCCGAATTCATGAAGTTCTGGGGCAAGATATCAGTTGACGCAGCAACGCCACTACCAATGGCTGTTTATGGTGAACCAAGGCAATCTGAGAATGCCTATTGGGAATCTGACGATGGCTGGGTCTCTAGTGACACCAGTTGGGAAGTTTGGACTGGCACTGTGGAATACATGCCTGTTGACTGGGAAACGCCTTCAAGGTCACCGGTAAGGTCTCTAATGGACGGTGGAGAGGGTCCACCTATGCTTCGCGAAGGCTGCTACGTCATGCGAGGGCTCGACTGGTCCAACGAAGGAAGCGGCTCCAAAGACGGGGACGAAGATGGCAAGAAACTGTACGAAGCTGAAAAGGCAAAGCGCGAGAAGGAAAAGCGTCGAGCCGAAGAGGAGGCCAAGGGCTCATCAGGCGCCGATTCGGGCTCTCCCCAAGAAGACAGTCCACAGGGTAAAGGCGACAAGAGCTCAGCTGCGTCCGACCCAACAGTTGAATCTTCTCAAGACCCCGTGGCAGAACCTTCTACACCAGAGGACAAGCAGAAGGCAGATCAAGGCGACTCTGCATCATCAAAGAAACAGAAGAAGAAGAAGATACCCAGTCCGAAGCTCCCTGTTGGCACCGTGCTTTCCGTGGAGCCGTGGAATGGCATGCCTGGTCTAGGCAGGAAGGTTCGATGGCACTTGACCGAAAAGGAGGGTATCTACCGGTATGGTGGAGATGGTGGACGTTATGACATTAGCCATGTTGAAATAAACGAGAAGAGTACTCGGGTGAAGAAAAGGCACCCGCTGCCGGAGAGCTCAGAGCAATGTGCAGCTCGCCATGGTTTTGGAGCCAACAAGAAGTACAGCGTCATTTTGCGGCTGCAACGCTGTAATAAACCAGTTCAAGAAGGATCTGACGAAGTTGAGAGAACGGGAGTGCTCGAATGGCCCGATTTTGGTGCTGGAGTGCTCGTTCACTGCGTTCTTCTTGCCGATGGCGCGATCACTGTCACCGAGAAGCACTTGGTCTACGGGTCAAAAGATGCTGGCTGGGAGGCTCGTTTCGGTCACCCATCCTTTGTGCCTGGTTCAAGCTTTGTGCTGAGTCCCACGAATGCTGCTGCAGTTGCGGCGAATGAAGTCAGCACCAGGTCACCTTTTTTGTCTTTCTACGAGGAAATGCTTGGCAGCACCACGCACCAAGTGCAAGCACTGAGGGATCGAGCCAACGGCGGCAACGTGCACGTGACAAGTGAGATGCGTCTATTTAGAGGCCGCCAGAAGAACAGAACAAGTCCATCCTCGGCGATTGAGCCCGTTGAAGCTCCTACTCCGCCTCCAATCCATTTCGACCGCGAGTACCATGCAAATTCCTTGTCGTTGTCACGAGACGGACGGACTGTGTCTTGTGTGTCCTCGGATGGCCGTGGGGCTGCTTATGCCTCCGTCGGCTTCACCAAAGGTGTCCATTACTGGGAAGTAAAGCTCGAACAAGCTGATATCGGCAGCGTTTTCATTGGTGTTGCTGAGAAACCAAACTCATCGGGCTCAGGCGGCTCCTACGACACCCCTCCACGCTTGAACAGATGGCCTGGCTGGGGGTTTGTCAACTTTAGAGCCACGTACAGCTCTGGCGCTGAGCGTGTTTATGGCGCTCATTGCCATGCTGGTGACACTGTTGGTGTGTTGCTGGACTGCGATGCCGGCAGAGTTTCCTTCTTCTTCGACGGCTTAAAGTATGGCGAACATATTCTAAATGACCTTGGATGTGCCTTTGAGAACTTGGCACCGTTTGGGTTCAATGTTGATGGCTGCGGCAGCGGTGGTGCTGGACAAGGAGCTCCCAGCGGAATCGAAGGAGGCAGAGGAGGTCGGTACCCAGCACAAGGATCTGTGAGACCACGTGCCCTTTGGCCAGTGATTGGACTCAGAAACCAAGGAGACCGAGTGACTATTTCGCCCAAGTGGACAACGAGCTACGGTGTGGACGGCGTAACCTCAACGAGGAATGCACTTGCGGTGGATGAAATCCTGTTCAAGTATTCTCAGGCCGCCGCAACCACTCCAAACCAAAGCAAAGAGAATTTCCTGCCAAATTGGTTCGTCGAGGAAGCTTTCTGCGAGTACAAACGGTGGTACTCTGACAAATGGAAACGATCAGTCACTCGTGGTAGCGGTCCTTATCGACAAACAAGTTTTGGTCTCGACGTGGATCTTGATGCATCACCTTTGGCGTGTGCAACTTCCAGTGCTGCGCTCGGTTTGAAGCGTGCCCTGCTGGCAGGAGACCGAGTTCGGTTGCTCAGGTCAGCCGGCAGATTGCTGGAACTTGCAGAAGAGGCAGTCATTCTGGGTGCATACCAAGGAAGACTCTTCTACCAGATTGTGTCACAGAAGAGCGAGGGAGGAAGTCTGACGGAAGGCGGCGGTCGAGCCTGGTTTCTGGATGAAAGCGAGGTTGTCGACGGTCTACCGTTTATCGGCCAAGGCCACGCAGGTGACATCGATCTTCCACTCATGGACAGGTTCAGGTGTAACTCTCCTGGTGGTCTCAAGGTCTCTTATGGCGGAGGTGCTGTCATCAGATCTGATTTGGAAATTATTGATGTCTCCGTGAATCTTGGCGTTATCCCAGTCAACACGGTAATCCCGAAACACGACGTCCTAGAGAGACGGGTCAACTCATGTGGTGTCACGAGATACAGGGTACGCGCAAAGGTGGGCGAAGAACTGAAGGAAGGATGGATCAGTGCTAGAATCAGAGGAGGAAGGGAAGAAGCCATTGTCGAAGCAGCTCCAGTCACGCAGCAAGCAAGCCCATCAAAGACGGCAAAAGATGCCGAAAAGCAATACGCAACAGCGTTGGAGTGCGCACTTGCATGGAAAGCAGAGTACGACAAGACCTTCAAAGAGCCTCGTTACAAGTCGGATGGGGCACTTACAGTAAAAGATTTGAACGTGTTCAAGTCCCGTCTTGAGGCTGGTGTGTTTGAGGGTCTATCCATCGTCGAGTCAGACTCTCTCCTTGCATCTGCTGTCGGCGCAATCAGCAACTTCAGTGATAGTGGTGATGCTGTGGACTGCAGCTACGACGAGATTCTTTGTGCAGTCAAGTTCGCTTTGGACGTGAAGAAAGGAGTCAAAAGCGACTCTATTGGGTCGAATCCAGCAGCAAATCAGGCTGCGGCATACGCATTCAATTCTGTCGAAGGAGCCATGCCGTCGCTCGAAGCCATCATGGCCCGCATCGGTCTCGTGCGTGCTTTTAATCGACGATCGAGATTGGCACTTCCTTGGCTCTCGGTGCGCCCTTGTCAGGAAGGATCAGCCATATTCGGTGGTCTGTGCGGTCATGGTGCATCCACAGAGCGATCCGGAAGAAACCGCCTTGTCGATTCTCAACAGTTGGTAAGTTGGGGTGAGCCTCGCTGTGGCGACGACCATCTCTATTCTTGTGTCTCACGTCGCTTTGCTTGCAATTTCTTTTATCTTCTTCCCAAAGTGGATACAAATCCCTTCCATTGCCAAGAGAATTCGTTCTCAACGCCACCTCTTCTTTAGTAGCGTCAAGAAGGGATTGCTTCAGAGCATAACTGAAGCGACAGCAACGCCCACTCCGCTCTCACACGATGAATACGAGCTTCCAAGAGAGATTAGAACCGTGAGAATCAATCGATTGAGGTCCCGCATCGCCATCGCTGGAAGCGACAACAGTGCCAAGCGAAAATACAGCGTCTTTGCACAGCTGCACAACGAAACCAAGGGATGGGGAGGCGCAGCTCTTCGCAGAGGATATGTTGCGAAAGGCCACGGCGGACAAAGGCGGGCGTTCAAGGTCAAGCTCATCGGCGAAGGTGTGAATGACTATTCTGGGCCATACCGCGAAGCTTTCACGGATGCATTTTCCGAGGTCCTCAATACTGATCCAGCTGCCAGCCGAGGTTCTCTTGGAGTGTTGGACCCTACTCCCAACAACAGCGCTGATCTTGGCGAAAACCGTGATCTCTACATGTTTTCTTTGAACGGCCGTGAGCTCACCGGCATGAAACACTTGACGGGAAGAAATGCATCGTCAGAAGAAAACAGAATCTGGCAGAGCTTCTCCAGCCTCACTGCTCCACGCGATGAATTGTCTCGAGAAGTGGAGGAAGCATTGGTGTTTTTGGGGAGAATTACAGGTACATCTTTCAGACATGGAATACCAGTGGATCTTCCCCTTCCAATTCAATCTGTATGGCGCCCCATTGTCGAAGAAGAAGCCAAAGAGGATGATCGGCTACGCGAAGTCGATGAGCTGGCGTACCGACAAAAGACAGAGGACGACTTCTCCCCGCTGCTTTGGTGGCAACAAAAGATGCTGAACTCGTTTGTGGAAGGTATTTCGAATGTACTGCCCGTCGAGATCCTGTCGCTTCTCGATGCAGTGGAACTGCGCGACCTCATCAGTGGAAAGGCTGAGGTGGATGTGGACCTGCTTCGCTCTGTGGTTGAGTATGAGGGTTACGTTGAACACGACAAAGCAATCCAATACTTCTGGGAGACTTTGCGCGAGTTGAGCAATGACGAACGCAAACTCTTCCTGCAGTTTGTTTGGGCAAGGAACCGCCTGCCTTTGAAGAAGAGCGATTTCGAGGCGCCGTTCAAGATTCAACGGGACGGCGCAAACTCTGGCGAGAGGGCTGACCAAGCACTGCCGAGTGCTAGCACCTGCTTCTTTTCCTTGGCGCTGCCCGAATATAGCAGCAAGGAAATACTGAAAGAGAAGCTGCTCTTTGCAATAAACAATGTCACCACGATGGAAACTGATTTCCAGACGAACAGCGCCGAGATTGCCGAAGGGTACCGAGCGTTTTAGCTCTGGGTGCCCTTCCAAACTACCGGCAGAGTAGAAATGCTAACAAGCTATTTAGAAATCTACATGCTATCTTATCCTTGTCTCCGTAGCGGCCTCTGCCCTCTTTCAAACTTGTCGTCATTGTCACCACCACTGAACCAGGATGCTCAACCACAACGGCAGGTTTCTCTTCTACAGGCGCGCCGTCCAACTTGCAGATGTCTCCGTTGCCACTTCGTCGCACCTCTCCGCTCCGTGTGCAATGTGGCTTGGTCCAAGACTTGTGTGTCTCCGCCGTCAAAGTCAAACCAGCAATAACTGACAGGCCCTTCGTGAACATTCCCCTTCACATTGGTTGGCGGGTGTACAGCCGTACATCGTACTCGAAAGCGTAGTAACCTCTTCGTGCACAGGGTCAGCAACCACTAGAACACGTACGGTACATGCCAGAGCTTGCCCTAAAATGCATATGATCTACTAGCAAGTACAACTACAACTACCATGAAGAAGACATGATTTTTGTTTGTAAAGATTGTCTACTATGAGTTATTATTCTATGTTTATGTAAGGTTGTATTTTTAAGATTGTAGAATAGCATCAACAATGATAGAGGTTGGTTGTCGGGTGTCACCGGTATTAACTTTGGACTTTCGTCGAGTGGAGGACGTTCGGACAAGCACTCTGCAATAGAGGCTGCCTAGCACAGGAACCACAAACCTGGCTACCTTGTATGTGACCCTTCAATTGAACCAACTGTATTCATCTCCGCAAAATGTTGTATAGCCCTGCACCCCACCAGATGCTTGCTCATTGTGTAATGTATTAATGTGTTAGTAGTCCCCCAAATCCATCGTTGTCGCCGCCCCCACTTACCTGTTGTCCTAGACCGGAATGTACCGGTCAGGCTTTCGTACTCGCCGTCCAGAACGACTTGTTGTTGTTGTCTGAACTGTTGTTTGCTGCTGTGTGTCCGTCACAGGCGTCGTCGTCTTCTTCGTGCCCATCGCCTTTGACTTTGTCGACTTTTTCTTCTTCTTCGCCGTGCGTCTACCAGTATGATAAATTCTAGGTTGTTCTGCCACCCGCCGTGGCTTTGTCTTGATTTGCTCTGCGATTCTCTGAGATGCAATCGCCGCCATGCGTCTCTTTGACCGCCGCAATGTTGATTGTGATGTGTCCACATTGTCCTCCTCTTCGACTCGGTTGTCGACCAGTGGTTCATCAGCATCAACTTGTTGTTGTTCCTCGACCTCGACCAGTGGTTTTTCAGCTGCCACTTGGCCAGTCACGAATTCGTAATCTGTATCGTCCAAGGCAACGCCTGCCTCCAACCGTAGTGTCTTGTGCCGCCGCATGAATTCTTTGACAAGGTCACCACCATCCTTCATCAATGCTGCGAGAATGTCGTTGGGTACCACTCCAAGTAGCACACCATTCATCATTCGCATCTCCAATACAAATGGCTGTTGTCCGTGCACACTGATCTTGAAGTATTTCACATGCCACTTTTGAACGTATGGGACCACTGCTGTGCATGTGGGAACCACCGCTGCTTCGCATGTGATTGTGGCATCGGATGCCATCTTGTTGTCGCCGACGGTCGAGACTGTTTCTATTGCCTCGATGTCTTTAGTTGTTGTTGGTTGTTGTTCTACTACTACGGGCACTGCATCTTCCATGCAGACTTCCTTGACCTTGCGATAGACAAATCGTCGTTTGGCAATCTGTTCTCGCGTATTCAAGGTGCAAATTTCGTCGTCAGCGTTGCGCTGAATTCCACCGAGATGCAAGTGGCACATGGCGAGTTCGAACATGTAAGTGTTCTTTTCGTTGACCATGAACCAGTGGGCGACTTGCTTGTCATTTCCTTTCTTCGCCTTTGATGAAACGAACAAGTGCCTCGAGGTCTTGATGCACGCATCAATTTCAATGTAAGTTTTGCTTGTTCTTAGGTACGCTTGTCGCTTTGGAACTGCTAACGTGGGGAAATACTACTTGAATAGAGGGATCTTGTAGAGGTAGCTACCACCCGACGAGATCAACTGCAACTATTCAAGACGAGTGCAAGGTAAATGCAAAGTTCGCTTCTAGTAATTCATAATCTGTGTTGTGAGCTTTGATTGATGCGATCAGTAAAGCTAGTTGTAGCGTGTTGATCAATACATCGTGTAGTTGATACTGAAGTCAACGTGGTATCTGCGGGAAAACGGTTCGTTGGCAGGATGCTTTACTCCTGTCGAATAACTCCAATTTACCGTGTCCTTTGTGTCGTTGAGAACGTATTCTTGCCAGCGTTTCTCTGTCCATCGTGTTGACTCATAAAACATGACTCAATCTACTCACGGATACTCTGAGTCGTGGGGAGTAACTGTAACGCTTTCACTCCCCTCAGTGGCGACTGTCTACTCTGAGTGTTTCTTACCGCAATCCTTGGTATCTCCTGACCAAAACAGCAGTGCATTCAGCATAGGCCATACGATGTATAGTCCCAGTGTTTGCTGAGGATATCTGCAGGGTTAGTAGATCCAGTGATCCTCTCTCT